ATGTCGAAGTTACCTATATAAGGTTACCTATATAAAAAACATTCTTACACACATACATACCGGCCAAAATCATAACCCTCCATTTCGCTTGGCCGTAGTCGGTAAAAACGGATAAATAACAGTTATCTCAAAATCGACTTATTCAAGAAAATGCCATTGAAGTTGAGTTTTTTAAGTGATAATTATAAAAGTATTTAGTAATAATAATATTTTCATCATTTAGCTTGATGGAAATATTTTTATCCTTATTTAATTGTAAATAACGCATTATTGATTAAGAAATAGTCCGGAAATTTTACGCCTCCAAAATTGTACAATTGTATATTTTTAAGAAACATACCTAATTGCATTAAGTTTTATCTTTTATCATTTTTTGGCAATAAAAATGTAAACTTAATGAAAAATAATTAAAGGAACTGCACTATACATTTTCGTGGAACTACAACTTATTTCAATGGGTTATTTTCTTTATTTTTGAAGAGGAACAGCAAAAATTCCTGTGACTTAGTTAAGTGACCCGGAATATTTGATCGTAGTATTACCTATTTACGATCTATTTATAAGAATAAGATGGTAAGATATCGCAGTGTTTCAAACAGGTGCCAGTCCATCGCAGAGCAATTGTGTAATAACTGGCAGCCTTGTGAAGGACGCACGTGCGCAACTGGGAAAATGCCCAATGCGTATTTTCATGCGCGCCGGAGGCATAACCCGTAGGGTTGCCTCTTGTGTGTAAATTAGATAATTATCCACGCAATTAAGCCTTTATGTAAAATAAGTTTTGAATGGGTTTAACTACATTTGCACATTTTATTATAATATTAATAAATATAAATAACTTATTTATTTCACAACCATACGAGTATGTATTCAAAATAAAAATATTTTAAAGTTCCATATCAGTATCGTCTAAGAGCAATATATACAATGTATTGGTATTACACTTAGTACCTATAATACGATGCTAATTATGCTTTAAATTTAGATCCAGTTCATACAGTTTATCTAGGGCAAAATTTAAGCTCCTGTTATTTCAGAGAACAGGGAAAGTTATACTCTTAAATATTTTAAACACTTTAGTATTTTTTTGTGATCCTCATAATAAGTCCTTTCATTTGATATTGACATAAAGATAAACTTTTTTAAAGAGCCTTGCCTTCGTAATGATTTATAGTTTGTGTGCTCTCGTAGTGTGTGCAAAAGTTGTCAAGACAAAAATAATCTATATATTATATTAGTCCAAATAATAAAAATAAAGAATACTATAGTTCCGTATTATATAGTTCCATATTTTCATAAATTATAAACTAATATTGTTAAAAAATAAAAAACTTTCAACTTAATGCAATATAAACCGTGCGTCTTGTAATTTGAATGTGAGTAAGATATGTATATTTTTTTTGGTCGCTACAAGCCAAGCTTTGCTTGGTGTAGGGATCGCTAGAATTAAACACAGTTTGTTAAATGTTAATTGAAAATAAAGTTAAAGTTATTATTGAAAATAAATGGTCATGGTCAAGACCCATCTCAGAATGCCAGGAACAAAGTGGATTTTTTAAGCATTTTTCATTACGAATATTTTTCAGTATAGAATTGTGATTGCAAAATTGATCAAATATAAACATTAATGTATTAAATGTCAAGATTGAATCAAGATTTTTGTACAGCCCTAAGTTATGGGGTGCATGCGCACGTGCTGACATCGAAACATGGTTTCTATGATAGATGTCAATGTTAAACAGAATATTATAGTTTTATGTCTTTGGTTAAACATGTTCAGGATTGTGAAGATTTAGAAATAAAGCCATTAATGCTAAAAACCCATATGGTTTATAAAAGACCTTATTTCCTTTCAAAATAATATTTTTAAAGTATCTTTGTAATGTAATACGCAATTTCATTTAACTTGTAAGTAGAGCAAATAGCAAATCCTTTCACATTGCATTGCACTTCAAAAAACTGTTCACTATTCACAACCTGTCATTAAAAGACTGCAATCCTTTTTAAGTATAATAGAAACAGTATATTGTATATCTTGGCAAATCTTTAAAGAGAACCGCAGAATTGTTATTCATAAAGGATATTATTGTGTATAAACAAAATAACTATAATGCCAGGAGACTTTCGATTTTATAATGAGGAATGCAATTACTTACTGGACCGATTTTAAAAATTCTTACACATACAGGAAGCTTCATTATACGTTTTATATTATAATCTATTCAACAGCGTGCCATATATATAAAATAAAATGTACATATTCCACAGATATATTACTTATTAATATATAATTAATATAAAAATGCCTGCAAATGACTAGCCTCTCTATTTTCTCTCAGAGTTTAAAATTGGCTGGTTTCTGAGTTCTTAAATAATAAATTATTATTGCTAGAAAATGCTTTTCCTACTCGTCTTTCTGTAAACGGTAAAGCCTAAAAAAAAACACAAGTTTGTCTTAGGATTCTCAGTAATCGATGAAATCATTTGAAAAAGTATAATGTAATTAAAGTTATGGTTACCTAAAATAACTGAAGATATTCTAGAAATCATGATTAAAGTGCTTACTTACACTTCCTTAAAAAAAGTAAATTAGAGCAGTTAGTCGAGGAATAAGTTCACTTTACGATGAATCCAAAGTCGTTGGAGTAAAGGCCATTATGTTATACAAGTACGTGAATATAATAAAAATTTTGGCAGAAATGTATAAAAACTCTCTGAAACATACGTTGTTTAAAAAGAATATTTTTATTTGACAAATATAAAATTTACACAAATAGACAATGTCATCGGCATGTGACCTTGTGTCCTTGGTGGTAAACTGTTAGAAATGTCATTTGCATGAATATTAGTTCTTGTTTTACACAGATGGAACCCGTAATGTGAACCCATTACTATGTTGTGTGAATGTTGTAACATTCTCAGAATACCAGATCGTTCGAAAGAACTTTAAGGTTACTCTTACGGTGGTTTGAAATGAATATGTTATTCTAATATTTTTCAAAGATTTTTCATTATTAAGAATTAAAACGTAATAATAGGTATGTAGTTAAAACTTAATACTAAACTTGGAAAAGAAAGTAGGTAAATTATTTAAGCTGTTTATACAGTTATATTATTATTATTAAATAATATTTTGATTTATTCAAATGGATAGAATTGTTGTTGCTAATATGAAATGCATATGTTATGTTGGCTAAGTACACGAGAATACTACATTTAGCTGACACAGTGTTACAAAAACAAAACAAACGACGTTATAGCGACGAAAAAATTTATTTAGTCAACTTTTATACTAACTTGGATATTAACTATAATCTCTCTTTACTTAGAATTATTAAAACATGACTATAATTAACAACAAGTTAATTTAAATTGTATATTAATAAATTAAGTCGATTGTAACACTGTGTCCCGAATCTGGGGTAATCTGTTGCAGGGTTATATCTTTTATTTACGGGAATAAATTAAAATCGCAAGGTGCGAGGTTGGGGCGATTTCCTCCTATACATGTCTTTGCAATGTCATGAAATTAATATTCTTATCATTTGGTGTCTTTCGAAGACTAATCCCACTTTGGACAATCAAAGTCACTTTTCTTATGTTTCTTTCAGTATAAAGATCGTGACCATTTCTTTTAAAACATAGGCACAAAACGGTTGGGGCCCATTGTTGCTTTAAAAAAAAATTAAAAACAGCAACAGAGATTGAGTTTACAATAAACAATTAAATATAGAAGCCAAAAATCACTTACTTAATTCATATATCAGGATTTTTTCCTTTTAAATTTATTATATGGTTTACCAACATTCGGGAACACAATAAACTTACGTACTAAAGATTGTAAAAAGATGTATCACATGCATGTATGTAACGAACAATTACAGGTAAACACTGCATGCTTAGAACAAACAAAATATTCAAGAAAAAAAAATTCTAGGTTTGCTCATCTAAATTCATTTTTAAATAAATAACTGTTTATACTGGATAAAGTGAGGTAATGAAAACTGATCCAAAATGGCCATTTAAGAGTTTATTAAAACTGTATACAAACATTTTAAAAATTAATGACAAGGATGAAGATATGTGCATTGTAACAGTGTGCCCCACACCCTATAGGTAGTATAGGTAGAGCCTATCCAACGCAAACAAATATTTTTTCTTTATGATAGATATTTTGTTGTACAAAGATAAGTCTCCTATCGATTACAACAAACAAATTGGCATTTTAAATTTTGGTTATATCTCCAAGCCCGCCTCCAATTAAATTACAGGCGTATTCCCTTATAAATATCTTCCTCGTTAAAGAGTTAGTCGTCATGTACAAATTTTATAACTTTTATTTATATAGTAAACGGTTGACATTATCCGTAACTGCTAATTACGGATAGTGGTGTATTTGAAATAGTAGCAAAGTTTAATAAATTACAAAATAAAATGTTGAAATTATAGTAGTTTTGAATATATGTACTAATGCAATGTTTAAAGTTTAACAAGATGTGAGTGGGCATGTTTAACATACTCGTCTGATAATGTGCTTTACTTACATGCAGCAAATCACGTCATAAATTGCTTACCATATAACATAACTATTTCAATATAATCTTGAGACAAAGTAGGTAAATAATAAGGAGTTTTCTTAATTTTCTTATACCTACAGATTTAATCAATTAATTAAATGAATCTAGTCGTGGATCCACATCGATTAACCGTGAAGTTCGCATGATAGGTCTCCTGAAACAAGTTGTTTTGAAGATTGACCGGAAAATTGGCATGACCGCGACGTTCATAGGCTCACGCGGTTGCACAAGTAGCGGCTTTGTCTGCGGCATTGTCCACTCCAGGCCGGACTGTACGTGCGTACTTGAATATATTTAAATTTGGAGATGCGGCCAGGATGAGGCAAGCGTAGTGCTCCAACTACTATAAATGCCGTTAGTGGCGAACAGGGGTTACAGTTGACAGCTCTAAGCAACCCTGTCTACATCTCAACAAAAAATAAAATGGCTTTCAAGGTACAACAATGGATTGATATTGTGAAGTGTTCAAGTGTCAGTGTTTTCTATAAAGTGTACCAAATATGTGTCTTGAGATTGTTTTAACATGTCATATTAGTTAAATATTTTCTGAAAAGAGTGAAAAATATAAAAAAAGACATGTTATAATATTTAAATTAGTATACTAATGTGATATATGAGTCTGGTGTTACCTCAATAATATTTTTACACCTTTCATTATCTTAATCAAAAATACTTATTTTTATTTTATAGTTGGTGGTCTTATCCTGCGTTTTGGCCGTGGCATACGGCAGTGTGGCCCCGGCTGCATACGCAGCAGCACCTGTCGCTTACACTGCGCCGGTCGCCGCTGCCCCTGTAGTCGCCGCCAGGCTTGAAGAATTCGATCCTCTGCCCCAGTACCGATTTGGCTATGACGTAGCCGACTCCCTCACTGGTGACTACAAGAGTCAGACAGAGCAGCGTGATGGGGACGTGGTACAAGGTTCTTACTCGCTTGTGGACCCCGATGGAACCCGTCGCACAGTGGACTATGCTGCTGATCCTATAAACGGCTTTAATGCTGTGGTTCGCAAGGAGCCATTGGTTGCAGCCGCGCCTGCAGTTGTTGCCGCGCCTGCAGTTGTTTCCGAGCCTGTTGTGTCGGCCGCTCGATATGCAGCTGCACCTGCAGTTGTTGCCGAGCCTGTTGTGACTGCTGCTAGATATGCCGCCCCTGCACCAGTAGCCGTAGCTGCAAAATTTACCCAACCCACTGTTTACGCAGCAAACTACGCTGCCGCTCCCGTAGCCGCTGCTGTGCCTGCAGCCCCCGTGGTCGCGCGCTACGCTGCTGCACCTGTCGCCGCCGCTGTGGCTACAGGTCCCGTGGTCGCACGCTACGCTGCCCCTGCGCCTGTGGTCGCCGCTCGTTATGCCGCCACTCCTGTCGTAGCTGCACGCTATACAGCTCCAATAGCACCAGCGTACACCGCCGCCTACACTACTGCTTATGCAGCTCCGGTAGCAGCGCGAGTAGCAACTGCTGCATACACCGCACCTGTAGCTACCGCAGCCTACGCCGCTCCCGCCGCCGCTGCCTACGCCGCTCCCGCCGCTGCCTACGCCGCTCCCGTCGCCGCTGCTTATACCGCGCCTGTCGCCGCTGCGTATACAGCGCCTGTCGCAGCAGCGTATACCGCGCCCGTCGCCGCAGCTTACAGAACACCTGTAGCCACTGCGTATACAGCACCAGTGGCGGCTGCCCCGGCTAAACTAGCTGTTGCATCAGCGCCAGCTACAGTCCGCTCTGCTCCTGCCAAAATTGTAGAACCAGTGGCTGCTGGCTACAGATACCCTTGAATAAAACAACTAACTTGATGGCTCATTTTTTAAAGACTTACATTTTTGAATTATGTATATAGTTAAGGATATTTTATTTTATATGGAATAAACAAAGTTTTTGATACCTATTATGCGATTTTACTACAATTTTATTCTTTCCATATATAAAATGAACCTTACGTGGTTGGTACTATCAATAAAACCGTCCAGCATACACCTACCTTATTGAACTACAGTGATTTGATCGAAGTTTAGATAATTATTAAGCATTTTTCCTTGGTCAAAAAAGTATTAATTATACCATCAATAGCATGATTGCTCGTACACTTGACTTACGGTGTATGAATCATCTTTTCATCGATTCATAAGGCTGACAGTTATGAGTGATGCTTAAAATTAGATTACCAATATAATATCAATAACGGTGATATAGGTATTGGAAGTTGTCAGTTGTAAAACGTGTGCTGTTAGCAAATCTATAGTCATGTTATAATGAGGAAAGATTTGTTTGTTTGTTTGCTTGCATCGAATAAGCGCCGAAAAACTGTTACTATACTGAAAAATATTCTTGATGAAAAATGATTAAAAATACCACTTTGTCCATGGCACTCCTCCTGGCAAAATTTTCGTCTATGGGTATATGAAAAATGCACATCAATATATGCACATCGCTAACTTAAAGTTTAAAGTATAAAGATTTTAAGTATGTAAGATTTTATCCATAAAAAGCCGTTATCCTTGCTGGTATTTTAAACACTCTGTATTAACCAAATTACCAATATAATTCGGCATTTTTATGAGTGACAGATTCATTAATAATTAAAATCCACGTGACCTAGAAAATTTATATTTGACATAGAGGTAGACTATTAGGTAAAGAGAAATATCGGAAAATTGTAAATTATTGATAATTAGTATCAACCAAGTAATAACATAGTTAAATATTTAAGGCTCCAGGTCTCTAACATGTCTAACAAAAGAGATTTTTTAGAAATCGATCATCAAATTGCGGTAAAATCATCTCCGTCGAATATATAATATATAAGCTCTTCCTTTTCGATTTTCAAGTTGGTTAAAAAGGAAGATTTTCTATGTAGGACGACTAGGTATTATATTTTTATGTCGCTCTATGTACAGTCAGCTTCATAAAAATATGAGGTGCCAAGGTGGTCAAATACATGTCAAGAGCAAAGGTTCAATTTGGTCATTTCATTTACAGTTATCTTCAAAATGTGCACAACTATAGGCCCCATATTTATTCAGATCATTATAAGTACATTCCGTAACCGTTCATTGGTATCTGAACGTCTAGACTATTTATAAATATATTCGCTTTAATAGATTATTTAAATTCTTACTTTATCGTAAACTTACTTTATTACGCTTTACACCAGCGACTTCGCCCGCGTGGTCCCTAGGGAACTGTTTATTTGAATATCCATTCTTCTATCCATTACCATTAGAATATCCATTATTAGTAAGCAATGGTTGCTACATCTCAATTCCCTATACAAAGTTCCTCTCTTATTTTCATCCCTTTATTTTCGGGATAAAACATAGCCTATGTTCATCGCATATGATGTAGCTTCCCGTAGGTGAAAGATTTTTTAAAATCGGTTCAGTAGTTTTGGAGCCTTTTTGTTGCACACAATCAAATCATTCCTCTTTATAATATTAGTATAGAGTATAGATATAGATAAGATGGCATAGACATCACCTAACCTAACTCTTTAGGTTGATGTTTAGTATAAAGTAGGATATTTCTTTAAATACATTTTTTAAATACAGCTTCACTGTAAGAAATATAAAAGCTTGCAAAAGCTTATAGATATTGTGATGGGAAACTACTGGTTAGCAGAAGGCATAAGTAGGTATTAAAGGCCTCATTTAAAAAACTATATCTGATAGTTACAGTTGACTTTTGAAAAGCAGTTAAGATCATAGTTCCTAAGGAATTGTTATTTATAATTATTGGGTTATAGTGTATTTTAATGAAGGATGTCACATAAGCCTTATCCTTTTATGAAATATTTTGTTTAAAATTAAATTGTTAGGTTATAAAACCATTTATATAGTTTTAATACCTATATTTAACAAAAATTATGAAATTAAATTTATTGTAATATACTATAGTTTACTAGTGATCTCAATTTTTTTTAACTAACTTCATAATCGAAAAGGAGGAGGATGACCCGCGAATTGTTGAACGATTTTCATTTTTTTTTATCAACAGCTCAATGGACCTTTGCGGCCATTTAAATTTTATCGAAATTAAATCAGTAGTTTTCTTATTATAACAAAACAAAATATCATTTTCATTTGATATCAACTAAATATTAGGTCCTTACATATGAAATTGGTGTTTGGTATGGGAGGAAAAAAAGGTCGAATATTTTTTAATTTAAATATATTTATTTAATCAAAGTATAAACCATTGTTATCTATGCACTTTTGCCAACTCATATATAGTTCATTGATCCCTTTACTAAAAAAACCATTCGGACGGGAATCAATAAAATCTTTGAAGGTGATTTGCACTGCCCCATTGGAGTTGAACTGTTGGAGCAAGGTCCGGAGAGTACGGTGGTTGTCTTAGACATTCCAATTGAAGCTCTTCTAATTTGGTAGCCGTCTGTTGTAGAGCGATTGACCAGCCTCGATTGTTTTACAGCTAGTTTTTCCAGCATGATTTGCAATTGCTGACAATAGACGTCTGCCGTAATCGTCTTGCCAGATTTGAGAAAACTGTAATCAACGACACCGGCACTAGTCCACCAAACGCTTTTACAATTAGTATAAGGGTATTTCTAATATTTTTCAAGTTTGAAGTTTGTTCTTTTCTTTAAAAAATAATATTTTAGGTGCCTTACCAAAAAACTAAACCTTTGATAAAACTCTGTCTGTCTCTTTGTTACAGGTGAAACCATACTGAACCAATTGATCTGGAATGAGCTTGAAAATAGCCGTATTTTCTCGTTGGAAAGTAAAACAGAACTTTTGGAGACCATATTATGGACATGTCGCAGACGAATAGCTATAACAGATAGTTAGCCCTTAATTGAATTGTACTTCTATTAGCTGATTAATTGCACACAATGGTCTACACTATGGCTGTACAAATCGCCTTAAGAGGACCAAAAATCGTACATTCGCCCATCACCAAATAATGGAATCGCAATTCGATTCCAATAGGGAGTACGACATGACCTACCACCGAACCCAGTGCTGATTGGTGGGTTTTAACGACAGTATATGCACCCAGGTCCAGAGGCACGGAAAAGGTGAATAATAAATTTTTACTCATCCATTCAATCCTTGCGAAATTTGCTAAACCAATGTCGCCAACCACTGCGCTACCGAGTTGCTCTTATATTATTATGATACCAATACCAACATCAAATGGAAAGTTTTAATTATTGGAAGAAAAGGCGATGATGTAGGTACCTAAAATAACAACTCTTTTTATTCGTTTAACCAAGAAGGGCTAAATTTCTGCGATCACTTTTCAAGTAAACTAGCAACAAATTAAAGTTTAAAATATAAAGAAAAGCAATTTTGCCTTTTAGTAACGTATGCTGATCACCTTTCAATAAACAATGAAAAGGAAAAGATTATTTAACATACGATCTAAACAAAATATTTTATTGCTTGTATCTTTTCCGTTTCCTTGTTGCGCCGCCCGCCTTCTTAGATTTTCTGTTAGATAACTCTCCAGTTCAGTTTTACCATAATTTCACTTACATCTTTTCATATAAAATAATTGATCTCAAAGAAATAATGTAAGTGTATCACAACATATCGCAAGTGAATCGTCGCGTAACTCACTTTCTTCAATATGTGGTGTGGTATGGACCTCACGTCCAGGCGAGTTGCGTATTACTCGATATAAAATGCGGAGGCGGCCTGGGATACTAACACTCGACCTCGAGGACTCTGCAAACCACCCCACACAAGCAGACATGGACACCAAGGTAAGAGAAATATTAATATATAAAAATGACATAACAAACTGAAAAATCATTTCAGACGGGGGATATCGAATCACAATTATTCAACAAATCAAGCTCAAACATCTTTTTTTACTCAAAACTCAACGATATCTATAATAAGAGAATTCAAATTGCAGCTTCTTTTTATGTTTCATTATGAGAAAATAATAAATACAATTAAAAATGTTTCAATCGTTCAATAATATTTATCAATTAAATTATTGCGTAGTAAAGTCAAAAACAACTCGTGTATTAAAATATGCAAGAAAATAAATGTCAGATCTTTCAAATTATTTGTATAATACAATATCTGATATTATTCATACATATGAGTATTAAAATATCAGTCCTAAGTAAAAAAACATGTAAAACGTATAAATAAAAACGAAGAAATTCGAATCATAAAATAAAATTGATAGTCGTAATATCACTTTAAGTGCCGAATGATGTCACGATATTGCATATGTTTCTACAATAAACAAGTTTGTGGATTTGCGACAAGTAGATCAAGTGTAAACTGACCGTGAAAATCATATTAAAAAGATGGCGCGGTGAACTTAAAATTCGTATCCAAGATTCAGACACGAATTTTAAGTCCACCGCACTGGATTTACGCAATTGTCTCTGTTCGAGAATATTTGATTCAGAGTAGCAATCTGGCCTAAACTCAATTATAGTATTGAAATTTGATTTTGTTAATACAATTAACGTATTCAAGATTTATATTTTTATTATGCAAATTAAAGCTAAATGTTTGTATACAGCATGTATATACGTTTTACTTTATTGTGATATAATCGATCCACCGATACTCTCATGAAGAGTTAGATTATAAAGAATTGATATTAAAAGCTATATTTATAATTTTTACTTGGATATCAATTCGAGCGTAAAATTAGAACTAAAAATGAACATATTATGTTGTTTTTATATTATTAGCATAGACCCGTTTCTTTCTAAGTGTGTAATGGTTTTTTATGCTTTACTTATTTAGTGTGCTATACATGTAATGTTTCAAAATTTAATTTTCAAATATGGAAGCCCTGCGAGTCACGTGTGCCAATTGACTAACGCGATCCATATTGAGGGTTTGCGACATCGCTTCTTTCTAAACAACTCGCGCATTCGTTCTGAACTATCCATAACAATGAGTGCTATGTGTTCTGATATGCTTTTAAGTTTAAAAAGCCTTTATTAAAAACTTTATCATAATCACATACACTTTTATTATATGCAAATATAATATTTTATTAAGTTAGTTCCATAAGATTACTTCCAAAAAATCCGTTAATATCTTATTCCTGGAAAAACAATTACCCAATAATTGGATTAGTTTATTGATTATTCAACACGTTTTACTGGTATTTTTATGGAATAAATCGTTAAATTATCATTCAAGGTAAAATAATTTAACTACATTTCATAGAAAAGACATCAACGAGCGATACAGACGAAATCACAAACATAGTTGAAATTAAATTATTATTATGTTAGATACAACAAACATGAAATCATTTTAATATTTTTTTACCAAGGGCTAGAAGCACATCATATTATTTGCGATCCCTTTTAATTTCTAAACGATTAAAATATCCTCATTATGAGGCCTGTTAAGTGCCGGAGTTAGTATCTAAATGTTACGTAGTGAAATGAGACAGTAATAAATTCTTGGTCACTAGGGACCGCTCGAAGTGGTCATCGTTATACTTACTGTCGTATAAGTAATGTGATTATGCGACACTTTAGACTCACAGTGACAATTGTTATGCAACACCCATGTTGGTAGCATATATTTCATTTGTCACGCGTCCTTGCTGAAGACTTGAGCGATATTACTATGTGATTCACTAAGTTATAATCGGAATCAGAGTAAATAACTCGAAAGTTTGTATATTTACATAGCATAGCTTTGATAACACGAAATTACATTAAACTATAATATTTAATGAACAATAAATAAGTAGGTATTCTGTTGCATGTCACAAAACGTTTAATTACAAATTAACAATACCAGTTTTTATTTTAGCTATATTGTTGATTTACAATTGCTTGTAATTGCGTTGTCGAGCTCGCATGGCAATTTCAATGTGTCGCTTTTTCTGAGGTCCTGGGTTCAATTCCCGGTCACGGAAACGTAGATTTTTTTTTCTATGTTTTCTATGGTTCCTTCTTTATTTGAGATTTGTATTATAGATCTAACAGATAAATAAATGTAACACATGTTTCTTTATTTGGGCAGTGAATGTGATATTGTCTAATATTTATTTTCTTATATGCTTTCATCGAAACATCACAGAACATTGAAATTAAAATATGTTAAAGCTTCAGTCTATTCTTAAGAGATAGATACAATTTCATTTATATTAATTAAGACATTAAGATTGATTAATTTTAGATTATTGAGCATATAATATTTTTCTTGTTCCAGATTGTAGTATTCATCTGCGCACTGAGTGTGGCGAGTGCCAGCATCGTGCCGGTAGCGCCCGCCGTTCGCGTTGATCCTTTACCTCAATATTCTTACGGTTACGACGTTCAGGACGCCCTCACTGGCGACTACAAAGGCCACCAGGAGCACCGCAACGGAGACCTCGTCACAGGTTCCTATACAGTCGTAGATCCTGACGGCACGAGAAGGGTAGTTGACTACGCTGCTGACCCAATCAATGGATTTAATGCTGTTGTACGTCGGGAACCACTTGTTGCAAAAGTGATCGCGCCCGCTCCTGTTCTTCCCGCCCCCCTGGCAGCGCCCGTCATCCCCCGTGCGCCTGTCCTAGCCCCAGCTCCAGCACCTCTTCTAGCCCCCGCCCCAGCACCACTCTTAGCTCCAGCACCCGCACCTATTTTAGCCCCTGCACCTGTACCATACAGGCTACCTAGTCCATACTACTTTTAGATGAATTATTGCAATTCTGTTGTGTTATTATTTTTGTAATATGGATATTTCAAGTGACTGTTATTTATGATTATCAAATAAATTTAAAATGATCACTATGGTTTTATTATAAACAACGATTGTACGAGCCTTAACTAGGTACTGCAAATTAAACAGATATCAATTTCACATGAACATTATATTGTAAACAGGAACGTGAGACTGTGTAAATATGGATCTCTGATTCACAAGCGAGGTTTATATGTGAGACGACACATATTCAGTCCAGAAGATATAATAAAACTCTTTCAGAGCCAGTAACATCGTAGACTTTTTACAGGTTACGAGGCTAAAAGAGCTAAGCGGTTGCAAAAGAACTTTTAGGTCATAGTAACTACATTTCCATGAGTAACTACAAAGCCCCTTAATACTAACTAGTAATAAAATGGTAATTACGAATACCTTTTAGATGTTATTGCAAAATCTTTAAGTCGGGCGGTAAAATAATAAAACTAATAAAACTTGTGATGTTGCCCAAGTTAATAAATCAATAAAAACTTTAGAAACAATAGAAACAACTTCAAACTTTATAAAGTGATAAATAATACTAATCTCAAAAGCGAATTATTCAAGAAAAATGCTATTGAGGTCGGGCTGAGGTTTTCTGTAGGTTACTAATTAAATGATAGGCGCCCTTCAATAGCATTTTCTTGAATAAGTCGCAAATCGATAAATTGTTTCAATAACTTTTTATTTCATGATTTTTATTAATATTTATATTTTTTATGTAATAAAAATATTCGACAAAGTGAAAGTCTTAGAAAAATATTTTTTTTTATATTCCATACTCATATTATAAAGAGGAAACATTTGATTGCTTATTTGTTTGCATGCATTCAGGTTCCGAAACTATTGGAGCGATTCATAAAAGTCTTTCATCTACGGGAAGCCACCTAATACACTTTGAACATAGGCTATAATTTACGCATGCGAAGTCGCAGGGAAATAGCTTGTTTGATAGAAATTGGTTCACAATTCAAGAAGAAATCGATTACCATACCTACTTTCACATTAAATATACATACTCCTTGAAAATAGAAAATTCTATGAAAATTCTCCTTTCGGATTTTGAATAATTTCAAAATGGACAATCTTTTGGTTTTTTTTTTGTTTGAAATAAGATAGCATATAATATTTAGGTGATATTATCGAATAAAAAAGTATTTCGAAAATTGATGAACAATGGGCGGAAATATCGGTGAACATACATAAAAAATCATACATCGCCTTCCTCCGCCTTTTGTATTTTGGAGTTAGTAAAAAATAATCCAATGTCTAATTTGCGATAAACATAAGAACAAACATACACTTATGTTTAGCATACTTGTTTAGAAGCTCATTATGCTAATGTATATGTTTATTACGCCTTTCTAACAAAATTAAAATCATACTTGTTTTTTATTTTAAGTTGGTTGAAAATATATGATTACTCAATCCAAATGAATAATCCGGTTTATACGTATGCAGGGGTCCAGGACGACTGTTCTTAAATACCTAATATTTTTTATTTCGCGAAAAAATAGTAAGTTAATTTTATTAACTTAGATACGTATGAACAGGTATTATTAGACAATAAATGTTTCGCATAAAGATGGAAGGAAATCATAGTGATAGCATAGATATTATAAGTGATAGTATGAAAAGTCATGGAGGATTAAGATTTCCGGATTATTCGTTCACTATAAATCTATGGTCGTAATACCTAAAAATCTAAGGTCGACTTTCACTGTAATGTAGTTCCAAGTATAGTAATCTAAGGTGACCTTACATGATCGTAAGGTAATGTACGAATGCGAGGAAACAACTGTGCCACATTCCTTCGAAGATCGCGACCTTGCATTAACCGCCTCAATTAAAAGCGAAAGTTACAATAAGCTCCTCGTACGAGTTCGATTACCGACCCGAATTTCGTGACGTCATCTAAAGCTTATAGTTACGAATGGACACTCGGTGAATATAAAAGGAAAGCGAGCTCTCGATTCTACAGTTCATTCTCACTGCTGGAGATAAACATAACAAAAAATGGCATTCAAGGTATTATTTTCAGTGCGAATTTTTAATCGATATAAAAAAAAAATTATAAGAAAACCATTGAATATTTGGATTTTTTATAAGCTTTTTATTCAATAATAATAATAATTTTAGTTATCTTACCAATAAGAATTTATTTTAAAATTACTAGTATTTTAATTATTCATTTTTATCTTTCAGTTTGTCGTATTCAGCTGCCTGGTCGCTGCCGCCAGCGCCGGCATCATCCCTGCCGCCGCTCCCATTGCGTACTCGTCTCCCGTCGCTTATGCCGCGCCTGTAGCCAAATACGCTGCCCCCGTGGCCTATGCCGCTGCTCCAGTTACCAAAGTCGTCCAAGCTGAAGCTTACGACTCCCACCCACAATACACATTCGCATATGATGTACAGGACGGACACACCGGAGACTCCAAGACACAGCACGAAACTCGCGAAGGTGATGTTGTTAAGGGTTCCTACTCCGTTGTTGACCCTGATGGCACAAAGCGCACCGTCGAGTATACCGCTGATCCCCACAACGGTTTCAATGCTGTCGTGCACAGGGAACCTCTCGCCGTGAAGGTTGCCGCACCCGTCGCCTATGCCGCCCCCGTTGCCAAGGTTGCTTATGCTGCACCCGTAGCCAAAGTTGCCTACTCAGCCCCCGTCGCGTATGCCGCACCCGTAGCTAAAATCGCAGCCCCTGTGACTTATGCCGCTGCCCCTGTTGTACATTCCGCTCCTGTTGCCTACTCAGCCCCAATCTATCACCATTAAGTCATTAATTTTAATTAGCAAATAAACTTGAATGCCATAATGTAAATAAATTATTGATCAAACACAAATAAAAATTTTCAATCAACGCTATCCTTGTTCTAAGCTCGCTTTGATATTTAATATAATGTAGATTAAAGTAACATATTTTTACAAATCAGTAATAGTTTTCCATCATTAATGGTGTCTACATTCACGCGAATCACCTTATTTTAAAGGTGAAAAATTTGGCAAATCTGAAAACCAAAGTTAATAAGGTATAAAAATATATATATTATAATAAGTTCTATTCTCACCAACGCAAGATTACAAGAATGCGACATGTTTGCCTGACCCAAATTAGTATGATTTTTGTCAAGTAAAACACGTGGGTAAATTATCAACAATCCTGCGATTAACACACTGTATTGAGGCATGTTGATAAGACAAATCTATACATAAAATAAAACAAAGTCGCTTCCCGCTGTCTGTACGCTGATATCTTATTCACTACACAATGTAATTCAATGCAATTTTCATCAATATACAGAGTGATTCAAGAGGAAAATTTATATGTATAATACAGGACCACATGGGTGAAGCCACTGGTAGCAATGTAAAAAAAAAACAATCGTGTTATCTAAAATACAATAAAGAAACAAATATTTCCTGTAAAATTAGGTATAATTTATTTGCAGATTTTCAATAGTAATTGAAAACGTTAAGTTAAATATCGAACACCTGGAAACCAAGAGTGTCAGACTTGGGTGGTGGTGGCAGAGCTCTTTCTTTTCCAGGAATGACAGTGAGTCCACGTTGCTTTCGACGACGGCGTTCGGAGCGATTATCAGCAGCTTCGGCTTTACGTGGAAGAACTGAAAATCTACGTCCGGGTGGTACCGTGGACATGCGTTTGAATAGCACCGATGTCTCTACCTTTTGAACCTCATCCATCACTGCTACTATCTGCTTTTCTCGTTGTACGATTGCTTTACGTTCATCCGCTGCTACTGTCTCTTGTGCCATCTCTGAACACTTACATAGAAAAGCTTGCACTCTCTCCGGATCCTGCAATTTCTTAGACCACTCATAAGCCTCTTCAACTTGTATGCGTACCTCATTAGCATTGCCTTGTTGCATATCACCGCTCATTAGTACAAAACATCCGTTTAACCACCATACAACGTTACCAAGTTCTTGAGCTTCTCTCTGACAACGCTTGGCATAAAACTTCGCAAGGGCATAATTTTTTTGAGTACATAATAAACGAGCCAATTCGTACATAAGCCAACATTTCATTGTAGAATTTTCACACATTTCAAGCGTTGCAGCAACCTTCTCTGTAGCATGTTTGATGTCAATAAATTTGTAAGGATAAGTCGCCATGACAGAGTCGAAGGATTGAGGGCGTCCAACTGGAAGACCCATTAGGAATGCGATCCTACGTCTATTACCCCTTTCGCTAAGCGTGTATGATAACCTATGTTGCGATAAATATCCCTCACCAACAGCTCTATACAATCTATCGATATAATATTCTTTATCTGGCAAAGTTCTTGGCGTCTTCATGTCTAAGAACATCTGCATGCGCTCTGCTTGAGCAATCAAATCCATAACGCGGTTCTGTCGCATGCTCTTTTCTATTTGTTTCAGCAAACGTTCAGCAGTACGAGCTCCAATTTCACGTTCCTTAATCAGAACTGCTTCTTTGTACTTATTCTGATATTTAGAGTCTGCTTTTTCAGCTAATTTAATAGTGTAATATGGTCGTTGAGAACGCAACATATCTTGTCTTTCCGTGAGAGAACGTAAAGCTTCTTTTACAATGGCCCTTAATTCTAAACTGCCTCCACTATTTGCGGACATAATTCGACGGTCTTCAGTGAGTTCCTGTAGAAAAAACTTATCATAAGCCATCGGACCAAGGTATTTCATTGCAAGTACTCTAGAGAGTGTCAAATGTTTACGTGCTTCCATTTGAGTCAACTTACGTTTTTTCTCCGGTCGTGGGATTCGGCACTTGTGTAAAGGTTTTTGTGGTTCATCTTCATCAACGTCCTTAGTTAATTCTTCGTTTTGTTTTATAATTGGCAAGAAGTCTAACATAACATTACCCGCGTTAACTCCGATGCAATCCTGTATCGTTTCTACACCTTGATTAATGCCTTCCATGAAGTAAGGCGGTTGGCGACGGACTCTTAGGCCTCGAAAGTTCATGACTACTGATCTTTCAAAATCTGACATTGTATACATGGCGCGAGCTTGCATGTTTCTAGCGATCATATTTCCAGGTTCTAGTTTCAGGGCCACTTCAGCATCAGCGTAGGCTTGCACGGGTTGGACAGCGTCGGCACATACTTGACTGCGCCCCGTGAGAGTGCGAACATCTTCGGGTGCACTTTTAAATGCTTCATCGTAGGACGCTTTAGCTTTTTCGAACTGTTCTAATCGTCGTAGGTATGCCCCTCTCTCTCGATATACAGTTAGTGCACCGTATAGTTGCTTTTCTTCCATCTGCATTTTGAATAAGTAATAAATCACTACAAATATAACAAATAACTCAAAGAAAGGACTTATTTAAATGTCTATGCGTAAAAAAGGTAAATCGGTCCAAGTTTTTTTTGCTTTTTAATAAAGGTGACATTTAAGATACGAAAGATAAGGTCTTCTTCATGTAAAGATCTCAGGCAAATAAAGATTTTTTTTCTCTATGGTTTAAATTATCTTTGTCATAAAGATTTATGCATGGATGAAGGTTCCAAGGTAAAAAGTTTAAGTTCTCTTTGGTTGACATAAATTTAGCAAAAAAAGAGCTGGATATACCAAGTGTGTTTATTTAGCATTATAATTATAACATAAGAACTAATTATATATTTCCATCCAAAGAAAATTTAAAAACTACGCTTTAATAGCTTACACTTTCGACCAACATGCTAAGCCTCAAATTTATGTTTTATGATATTTAGATATTTATCTACATCATAAAGTATAAATGATTACTTTTAATCAAAAACTTTTATGTATACTACTAGAAGTTTCTGCTTATAATGCGTGTAAAGTGTTCTAGATGTTTGGTAATCAATGGTATTAATTACTAATATAAAAACCACCATTTCGAGTACAAAAATCGTTTATTGGCCATTTACACTTATATAGATCCTTTGGGTTTTCTAGATTTAATTATTTAACAGCTACTATCGGGGCAGCTGCGGGGACGGCTCTTACTGCAGCTACAGGGGTGTAGGCTGGGTATGTTAATGGGGCGGAGTATGCAGCTGTGTAGGTTGAGTAAGCAGCAGGGAAACCAGCAGTGTATCGCGCGGCCACTATCGGGGCAGCAGCGACTGGCGCAGCAGCCAGTGGGGCAGCCGCAACTGGAGCAGCCGCAATGCGAGCTGGCACTACTGCCGGAGCAGCAGCGACTACTGGTGCAGCGGCCACCAAAGGCTCCTTGCGCACTACAGCATTAAATCCATTCACGGAATCGGCCGAGTAGTCGACTATGCGGCGGGTGCCATCAGAATCCACAAGCGAATATGAGCCCTGAACTAAATCTCCGTCTCGTTGCTCTGTCTGACTTTTGTAGTCTCCAGTTAGGGAATCGGCAACATCGTAGCCAAAGCGGTATTGTGGGAGTGGATCGAATTCCTCAAGTTTAGCAGCAGCTACCAGAGGTGCTGCCACTGGTGCAGCAACAGCTACTGGCGCGACTGCAGCACTTGCGCTTACAGCTGCTACCAGGCAGGAGATGATAAAGAACTGTAATTATATATTACTGAATTAATGTCCTGATATAACAGAAAATAATAATTATTGCATTTATTTTTATTTCTCTTTTAGTCTGTGAAGAGTAAAATTTAGAGAAATAGATATATCAAAGCATGAATTTACACTACTAATATTTGTAGAGAAATCATTCAAAATAAAATTTATATTCATTCAATCAGGCATCTTAGTATCGATGGCGATATTAACCGTAAATTATCCCTAATTGTCGCGACAGTTGTACTTGAAATAGTGACACGGTTTTGTGAAGGCGAGACTAGTAATAGTTACGCAAGCGCATGTGCGGAGAAATTACAAACAAGCCGATGATACGGAGTCTCAAGGACATCCGAGTGATGCTTCCCGCATCTAAATTAACTAACAATAACATGAACTACAAAACACAGTATGTAAGTACTAATTCAGAACTACTCACTCTTTATCTTAATACAGATAGCCATAAATAATTTAGAGGAATATGTAAATAATAATATAACCATCAATATTAAACAAAATCAGATACATCCCAAGATAAGTAGCAAAAACCCTCTAGCTATGGAGTATCTGAAACATCGTAGAGTATTTGAAGGTACTAAAACACTCAAACCTGAGATAATAAAAAATAGATCAATTTCTACACTCTTTCTATACCCGATCAGGCATCGAACCCAGGTTCTCAGATAAGGCGACACCTTCAAAGCGGCATGTGAGTCAATTAGTTTATTATTCGTTATATACTAGTGGCCGCCAGCGACTTCGTTCGCGTTTTCCATTATTTCTTCGCTCCTAATAATTGCAGCGTGATGGTATATAGCATAAAGCCTTCCTCGATAAATGGTCTATTCAACACAAAAATAACTTTTCAATTCGAACCAGTAATTCCTGAGATTAGCGCGTTCAAACAAACAAACTCTTCAGCTTTATAATATTAGTATAGAAAATTATCTTCCTTGACAAAATATGTTAGTATTTAAATAAAATTTTAAATTTTTTGTCACATTGCGATTTTATAAATCGCTTCAACCATTTTCTAGATTCATTGAATTTAAGAAAACTTATTGTTATAAAAGTAAATTTAAGTATATGTTTTACATAGTAGGTACTGACGTTTATTTCGATAACTTCAAATTTTTCAACATTTATTTCTGTTAATAGATTCAATTATAAGATTATTATTTTTTTAATTGTTTGAAAAGAGAAAAGATAACATTATATCACAAATAAATTTACCTTGAATGCCATTTCTGTTCCTGAGGGTTGATGTTGACTGAAGTCAAATGTGTGTCTGTTCCCGAAAGAGTTAACCGTCGTATATATATAGTGAGTACGCGTTGTGACACATTTCCAAGTTCGCGTTTAGTATTGTGTCGACGCATCACTATGGATGTGAACGCAATTAGAAATGAGCTGCAATTTGTCAATGGCGGAAAATTCGAATGCGTTCTTGACTTTAAGCCAACAATTATGAAATAACCCGAAATTGAGAGCATTTTATTTTGTAGTCATTACGAATTATGATAAACATTATCTTATTGAAAAATAATAAAACAATAGTACAAAGGAACTAACAATGTCATTTTAGATACTTTATTTTTACATTTAACAATATCTAATAGAAAACGAAGTAGGATTAAAATTGCTTTTATTAGTATTTTTACGGTATCATGGTTTACAAGGTACTATTTGTTGTCTGTCTGTTTGCGGTTTAATTCAGAGATTCTGGAAAGCCGTAATTTGACATAGGCTCACATCAGTACATAATCAAAGGCTCACATATTATATAATTAAGTGTCCACAAAGTGGTAAGATATAATCTCAAAAAAAAAAAATGTTCTATAAGAAGTGATGTGCGTTGTGGTGTGGAGTTATTTTTTTCTTTGGCTTCTCGTCGGAGAGAAAGAGAGGAAGCAGATATCGTCCAAAAATAATATAAATGTGTGAAAACAATTTTTCGTTGTATAATATTCGCTTTACGATGTTAATTTTTATTATATTTGAGCAATTTTGCATTCACAATGCTATACTGACAACGCTGACCTAATGTGGATTGGAGGGTATTAACGACTGCAAATGCAGCCGTGACCTACGGCTTAGCATGCCTTTCGAAGCACGGAGTAGTTTGAGATAATAGTGTTTGGTCACCCATCCCGTGACCGACCCTTGCGAAAACGTGCTTAACAACAACGTTCACAGGTCGCGGCGCTTAACCACTTCGCCACCGAGCTTTTCATATATATAAATATATTTGTTCTCTATCGTTATATATACTTCGTATTATTAATGTTACACATTCTGACCTCAACATTTTATTTCTGAGGTTCTCAATTCAACTGATTCTTTTTTACGAGTATGTACTTTCTACGTAACTTCGATAGTAGCGGACTGTTTTTGATAATTCGGTTTATGGTTTTAATTATAAAACTTATCTTGATCATGTTGTTGTAACTGAAAATTCAACAACATCTTTTTTAATTAAAACTAAATTCAACATAACAGAAAAATATATCTTTAAAATTACATTTGGGCATGGTTAATAAATTTAATAAACATCAATTTAAGTCTGGTGGTTAAATTCAAAAGGAAGGGCATCAACCACAGAAATATGTCTAGTTTTATTTCTGTGGCATCAACGCTCGCGTAAAAGCCAAGAGAGGAAAAACTGAAAAGAACAAAATAAGCGGTATCAAAATACGGTCATCTTCTCAGTCATATTTTTTTTTGAGACCGCTTAAGACGAATAGGCAAAGTACATTTTCTAGTAGTTACATGAGTTAATGCACCATGTGTACTATTGCACGAACGATTTGGAGTCACTTTTCAACCCTTCATAATTCAAAATCTACTCGTATTTAAGATAAGCACATCTAATTTGATTATATATGGCATGGGTGGCCAACTTGTTTAGACCCAAGATCGACTTTTCACTGACGACACCCAGTACGATCTACCAATTAATTTACTTTTTAAAATCTTAAATGAAACAGCATATTTCATACACAATTATGTTTAATTTTATTTTTATTTTTTGAATTACCACGAGCGACTGGACTAATAGTCGCGTTCGACTGGTTGGCCACCCATGATATATGGGAACCTCCCAGATGAGGTAGTACTCTAAATTTCATAAACACAGATCGGTCTTACTTGATCGAAAAATATTAACAACCAAAAATAAATAATATTATTATTAACTGATTGACATAAATAGATAAAAAATCTAACCCACATTTTTTTTTAATAATAGGACTGATTCCAAACATAAAAAAAATGTGAATTATTTTAAAAACTTATCTTAAAAGCAACTTAATAAAAGAAACTGAAGTTGGAACGGAATATATGATAATCGCCTGATGATATATTTTTTTATAATAAGAATATTAAATATCTACATATAAAATATCTCAACATAGTGAAAGTCTCACGAAAGGAGATTTTTTTTTATTTGCTCGACATATTTCATTAATCTATATTATAAATTTTGATCGTTATAGGAAATATTTGATCGTTTGTACATTTTTTTAGAGAATCATTTATTTATTTAAGTGAAAATCTTATTCAACCAATTACTCGCCAAATTCGAATAAAATAAAGATGATAAATGGTTTACCGAAGCATATAAAAAATAGCCAAGTCAAACTTTTAGATGCTGTTGATTTATGTTTTTTACGTTTATATTTGCCTTTTGAAATTGGCATCCATTTACTTATCACTTTTTGTGTCGGTGGAGCTGACAATTACACCATATTGAGCTTCGATACATCAAACTTGGATATAAATCTTCATATTTATGTTTTTGGTGGGATATCTTTATCTGTATTACGCCTTATACTATTTTATACTACACTACACTTATACTATTACGCCAAATTGGTAATAACGTTTCGTGGCATAAGTGAAGTAAATTTGGAAATAACATAGGAATAGAATATCTGAGAGTAAAATTTATACAAAAAATGGAATTAATAGAATTTCTTCACTAAATGACGTGAATTCGAATACATGAGTGCATTCGAATTCTGGTTCGGATTTTGACAGAATCACTCTGCAGTAGTGGATTGGTTTTTGATAGTAGTTTGATATTTATTGTTGATTTTCTCTTTTTTTATATTTGTATACTTTTTATGAACTATAATGAAATCTTTGTCTAAGTTTATGCAACTTTTGAATTCTAAAGTATGATATGATAAATGAGAACAAAAAAAAAACAACAAAATTACGATTTCATATCGTTTATTGCGTTTAAATAGAAGTAATAAATATAAATAACATTGCTTACTAAGATCGTAATAAAGTTGTAACAATAGATCAGTCGTGGATTAGTCTAATTAATGGTGGTAAAGAGGTTGAGAGTAAGCAACAGGGGCGGAATAGGCGACCTTGGCAACTGGGGCGGCGTACGCGACAGGAGCGGAGTAAGCAACCTTGGCGACGGGGGCGGCGTACGCGACAGGAGCGGAATAGGCAACTTTGGCGACTGGAGCAGCATAGGCAACGGGAGCGGCGATTTTAGCGACTGGAGCGGCAATCTTCACGCCAATTGCTTCCTTGCGCACAACAGCGTTGAATCCATTATGTGGGTCAGCAGTATAGTCAACAGTACGTTTGGTACCATCAGGGTCTACCACAGAGTAAGATCCTTGAACGACATCGCCGTCGCGGGTTTCATGTTGAGTCTTAGAGTCACCAGTTAGACCATCCTGCACGTCATATGCGAAGCTGTATTGTGGATGTGGGTCATACTCTTCAACGGCTACTTTGGCAACCTTCGCGACTGGTGCAGCATATGCCACAGGACTAGAGTAGGCTACAGGGCTGGAATAGGCTACGGGTGCGGCGGCATAAGCCACAGGCGCAGCAGGTACTATGCCTGCGCTGGCGGCAGCTACCAAACAAGCGAGAGATATTAACTGCAAAAGAAAGAAAAAATATTATAAAAAGTTCAAAAAAATATAAAAATATTTTATATCATCCTATTTTATATAAAAAAAAAAGAATTACATTAATACAATAATACCTTAAACGCCATTTCTGCTAATTGATCGAGCAACGCGTCATGTATGATGTTGACAAAACACATCCATGAGATTATATATTCTACCAGTAGCGCCTGAGGCGAGAGCTACTGTGCGCCCCCAGTCTGCCGAATGCCGGCCAATCAATTGTATCAATAAATATGGCACAAGGTCTACCACACTACATATAGCTAATAAATATTTGCTTACATACACCGGAATCTGGAGTAATTACTTAGAAAGATGTCAGTCGAACACATCGTGTGATTTATTTAATAATTTACTAATACTGATTTAGAAAAAAATGCAAAGTTAATTTATGTTTCCTATTAAATGCGTCTAACTGGATAATAAACTTGCCTAATCCATGAGTATCGCCATATATGATCTTAACAAATTATATTAAGTTCGGCATAAGCTTAAAGCGCCTGTATCTTAATTATACAGATACTTTGTAGCTTATGTAGGTTTAGCTATGCCCATATAAACTATTAAAACACCCTCGAACTCGACGTCAAGCACAGTGTTACGCCAGCATAGAGGCTCAATAAATTAAACATTTATTAACATTTGGAGTAGGTGTTGTTTGATTAAACTTAACGATATGATAGCGCTGCGCTTGACGTTCAGTCGAGGCTATTTAATCAAGAAGCACCAGTTTCCGCGCCAATGTATAGTCAACATCACGTCAGGTTATATACGTACATATCTGTCAAATTCTCCACTTGATTTGAGGGCAAGGTTTAAAATCAACTACCGTTTGACATATTGTGATAACCTGACGTGCAGCCGTGTGTACATACAACGTTTCGGTGGATTATACCTGTACAAAGATTAATCATTTATATCAGGGTATCCCTTATATTTCGAGTACTTTATATTTTTATGCATTCCCTTTTAAAATGTTACTTAAAAGTAAATATTGAGTAGGAAATTTTTTTGGACCATTTAATAAAGGAAACCCATGCCGACTTATGTAATGAAATTAAACGAAACGAATGAATTGACTGACAAGAAGAACAAGCGAAAGAAACTTACCAGCTCTTTATCATAAGTAATGATAAGTATTTACATAAATCATGTCATTACCGAAATAATATTTATTATCACAATAATAAATACAACTTTCAGTCTGTAGGTCATAGGTTGTACATACATATAATTAGTCGTTATAGAACAAAGCGAAGGCTATTAATTCCATGCATTGCGATTCTTAAAATAATCATCAACTTTATAATAGCCTTTACTCATAAGTATGTTCTTTACATGAATTTTAAATTTATTTATGGGTAGGTCAATTACATTTTCTGGAACCTTATTGAACATAGCAATGCGTTTACCCAGAAATGATCCTCTGGTTTTCTGAAGTCTGAAGCTTGGAACGGCAAATTTATTTTTATTTCTTGTGTTAAGATTATGAACACTACTTTTTTTTTTGTGAAGGAATCGTAATGTTTTCTTGCGAACATAATATTTTCATAGATGTATCGAGAGGCAACAGTGATAATATTTATTTCTTTAAATATTAGCGCGGGCAGCTCTCTTTTGTAGAAAAAAAAATATCTTGAATGCTAGCCGCAGCGCCTCACAACAATTTCTCTACTAAATAAGAATTTGAAAAAAAAAAAATTATATCAAGTGACTGAACCCCTATAAAAATGACTGAACCACTATAAAAATGACTGAACTACCGGGAAAACAAGACTATCGAATTCCACAAGTAATTTCATCAAAGCATTTATCTTTAAATACAATGGCATAATTCTCCGATGAATATTGTTAAGTCAAGAAAGAAATTAAAGGAATTAAACACTCTAAAATTATAGCATTAGCCGTTATAAGATTTAGTAAGAATAGAATATAAAAGAATAGAAATTTCTTTATTGTTAACATTACACAAGTAACATTTACAAACTTAAAACAGTTTTAAAAAATAATGTAATAATTGGCGGCCTTATCGCTTAAAGCGATTTCTTCCAGGCATCCATGGACTGGAGAGAGATATTACAATTAATTAATGTTCAAATAATCTTAATTAAAAATAGACAACAAAATATCTAGTGAATCCATGCATAATACAAATATATAGGTATACGCAATATACATACACACAAACTTACATATACATATATATTATGCAATGCCAGGAATAGTTAAAATCAGCATTAGCGGGATATTTAAAGATATAATTTCTTTACGCTATTTTTAAAAATTTGCAAAGATTGCGCTCGCGTTATAGAAATTGGAAGAGAATTCCAGAGACGAGCAGTTTGTACAGTGAAAGAAGAATCGTAAAAAGAAGTACTGTGAGATGGAATCCCAAGACTCAGGCACTTGGATGGTTGCAATGTGCAAGAATTTGCTCAGTGCAGAAAACTGAAACGTTCTTTGTGATAATGAGGGAGGAATGACTGAACAAAATATTGTAGAGAAGAGATAATATACGAGGACTCCGGCGAAGTCTTAAGGGAAACCACTTGAGTTCACAGCGATAGTTAGAAACATGGTCATATTTGCGCAAATCAAATATGAACCTGATACAAAAGTTTTAAAGACGAAGTTAGTTTATTTAGTTGGTCCTCCGAAAGATCAAGGTAGCAAGTGTCAGCGTAATCATGAACAAGAAGAAAGGACAGAAGATTGTTAAGTTGAATCTAATATGTTTACGGATGTTGGTTTATTATGATAGTTTTAATCAGACTTCTAAATCGAAAAGGAAGAGGATGTTCGACGACGATGTATTTTTTTAAATGTGTCTTTACAGATTTTTATATTTATTAGATAAGTTATAGGCCCGAGTTGGTCACACACAATTTTTTTTCGAATTTGAATTGGTAGTTTTGTTCCTAATATTAGTGTTTCTGTCAATGTTTTATTTGCAAATAATTACGTATTTTGGTGATTTTTTAAAATCATTCCAATACATCTGGAGTCTATTCAATGCAAAAAACAAATCATCAAATGTTTCTTTTTTTAAATATTAGTATGAAATAGAAAAAAATATGTATGTCGAGCAAATAAACACAATCTGCTTTCCCAAGACTCACTATGTTGACATATTTGTTTATGTAGATATTCTATATTTTTTGTGTTACATACCTATAATAAGAAATTAATATGGCTAAATATCATAATTTCTTTTTTCAGAAAATAGAACCGATTTTAAACTTTATAAAAATTCTGTATTTGAAAAAATAGAACTTCTGATTCTTCATAAAATAAAAAGTATAAATCAAAGTTGAACTGTTTCACAACATGAGTTTGAAAGAACATAAGATAATAGTTGTTTGATCATTAAACTACTATTAGATGAATTATACACCAACTATTTATGAGACTCAAGCGCTGACTTCAGTAGCTGAAGTGAGCAAATTGATTTTAATAGGACTCAGCAAAAAAGTAAACCAATGAAATTAAAAATCGTCTTTTCGATAAATATTGTTTTATAAGTCGGTTTTGCTTTTTTCATTTTCAGGTACTGCATGTATGTAATATAATATTTTGGATATAATATTAAAACGAATGTGACGTTCTTTTGATCTTAATATTTATTTTTTAATAAATATCACTTGAATGACTAGTGGCTAGCTTGGCTATCAATGGTGGATAAGAGGAGCAGAGTAGGCCACGGGTGCAGCTATTTTAGCCACAGGGGCGGCGTGATAGACTGGTGCCGCGGCGTAAGCAACAGGGGCGGCGAGCTTAGCGACTGGGGCGGCGTAGGCGACAGGGGCAGCGACTTTGGCGACGGGGGCGGCATAGGCTACTGGAGCGGTAACTTTAACAGCCACAGGCTCCTTATGTACAACAGCGTTGAATCCATTGTGTGGGTCAGCAGTATATTCAACAGTGCGCTTAGTACCATCGGGATCGACTACGGAATAAGAGCCTTGAACGACATCTCCATCACGAGTTTCATGTTGGGTCTTGGAGTCACCAGTGAGACCGTCTTGCACGTCGTACGCGAAGCTGTATTGAGGATGCGCATCGTATTCTTCAACGACCTTGGCTACAGGCGCGACTGCGGCTACTTTGGCGACGGGTGCGGTGTAAGCAACTTTGGCTACAGGTGCGGCGTAGGCGATGGGTGCTGAGTGCACCAGGGGCGCGGCCGGAGCAGCGTGCAGAACGGGAGCAGCTGCATATGCGACCGGCGCCGGGTGTGCCGTGTAAGCAGCGGGGGCGATGATGCCCGCTTGAGCGGCGGCGAGTGCGCACACTAATATTACCAGCTGAAAGATACAATATTCTTAATCACCTGTTAATGCAATTTTGTTTGCATGCAAGACTGTCTCAATATGAATCAATAACATAATACATTATTTGTTTGTATATATTCAGAAAACCCACCTTAAAAGCCATTTTAGTTAGAATGACAGTGACTTCACTACGAGGAGACCTCAAGTTGAATGTGCCATTATTGTGCACTCCGGACTTTTTATATGTCTCACGAGAGCCTGAGGCATTGCATTATCGCTGTACCAGTGAGTATGAGAACTATAAACCGGTTGTTTTGAATGTTTCATCGTATATATTAAGATCTTTAGTATTCGAGATACTATTATATTGTGTCGTATTATTCGAAAATAAGAACAAGTAGATTATGATTGATCTCACTCGTTCGTAGTAATAAAGATCCCTTGCATTTTTAATGCGAGGCTTCTTTCTTTCGGTGGTCCGTCCTTGCTACGATGCTTACTTATTATATTACGAGTATAATTAATTTTGAATAGTTAATTTTGAGTTACAATATTATCGTTAAAAAGTTCTATGAATAAATCCTTTGCAATTTATAAAGGAATCAGCTATTTATAAAAAAACTATATTTGACATAAATTTCAATTGACATTAATATATGTCATTAAGTATTCTATTGTATTAATGTCAATTTTGTCACCAAAAGCTTAGTAGGGATTATCCAGATTTATACTAAGTAATTTAACAGAAATAAGCAGCCACAGGTATTATTATATCATCATATCAATACAGATTAAATTGAGATTTGAGTTTTCGAGTAGGGTGTTTACTTTTTACATTTTTTTAAAGTCACTATCCACATTTTACTATTAGAATATGAGCATCTAATAGCTATGTTGTTTATACATTATATAATCTAAGTTTATAGTTGGTTCTGTAACAGTTAAGGTAGCTAGTGAGCTATTGTAACATACAGGCAGTAAAGAAAACTAACGACTGGGTTATACCAATCGATGAAATCCGCGTGAGATCCGATAATTATATCATTAACTAACGAGATGAGTTCGCCGAGGTTGCCCGTGATCCGTTTGCTGATCCCGTCAAATAGTGTAACTGAGCCAATAACAACTATTTAAGAATTTCCAGTTATTTTTGTCCTTTTAGGATGTGGTGGTCGAGAGTAGTACCACGATTACGTCAAATGGGCACTCGAGTTTACGGACAATTGCATGATCCCCTGGACCATGCGACCGGTATCGAGAAAAGAGAACTGCTGGCCCACCTCGCAGGGGACTGCGACCCTTTTCGCGTATTGCCCATCAAGAGAGGTTTTGTCCGTCATATTAATTAACGAGGTCCCTTTGAAGAAAATGATCTACTCGTAACTGGACCAAGTCCAATATTTTTAAAAATATTCAATCCAGTCAAATATTAGACATCAATAATATATCAAATTGATATATGCGTTGAATTATTTGGTATACGAAAATTAAATAGGATAAAATCATTTATCCCAATACCCAAAGGCTTTTTGTCATCTTTAGAATTTATCAACATGTTCGGCCACATTCACTACTTCTTGTTTTTTTTAGTCAGGTCCTGTCTCCTGATATCGGATATCCTCAATTTGGGGTCTAAGCAATGTATATGATCTTTGATATCTATGATGACGGTGACGTACATATATTCTATGTATACTATAACTGTTCCCGTGTCTTTTCCTGAGTGAAAAAAATCGGTCGTTTTAAATTCGGTCTAGCAGTTTCGTAGTTTATTCAATGCAAACAAACAGACAATTCTTTCTTCTTACAGTATAAATATAGATTAAATAAGTTGATCAGAATTATAAAGAGAGGAGAAATATTCATGACTGTTATGTTAAAGCGAAACAGTAATATCGATCCAACAACTAAGAGAGCAATTTTTCAAACCACATAGCTTGTTTAATACATGGAAGTCTTTATCTAATATATATTTACTCTTCAGGTCCAGGCACTCGCGAGAGGCCCAATCTGATTCCTAGCTCAAATCAACAGCGCCTGCTGGGTTGCAAATGTAATGATTATGTGATGCATATTGAGTACATGTGGCTGCACATGGGCGTACCGAAGCGTTGCGGTTGTGGATACTGGTTCGAGTTGTGTCCGGTAGCTCCGCTTTGAAATATCACTGCTACGTAAACTTAACAAAGTCACGTTGTTTCTTATTTATTTGATGAGTACCATTTCGGTCTTTAGTGCTTAATTAAAAAGGTTCATTTGAATAAGTTGTGTTCTTTATTATTTACATTGGCGGATTTACCAAAAGCTACTATTTAGTAAACTCGAGGGCCTAGGGCGGCCAGATATAAGGGGCGGCCAATAATCCTACTAATACCACTCTGGTATTACATGAAAATGTTGTATTTTTTATTTTTTATGTTTGTATTCTTTTTTATTTTTTACTTCCTTCTTCTCTTATACATTATCATTGTTCATGTAAGGTGTGGTCAATAAACTTTCTTTCTTTCTTTCTTTCTTCTTTCTTTAATATTATAAATGTAAAAGTTTCTTTGTTTGGATGTTTGTCCGTCAATCACGCCGAAGTTACTGAACGGATTTTGATTAAATATGGCATACAGATGGGGTATTAGCTGTCTTAGATAATAGGATACTTTTTATCCCACTAAATATTTCCCTAGGGACCACGCTAGCGAAGCCGCTGGCGAAAGCTATACATATAATAGCATATCAGTGGGGATTTGTGGATATGTGGAATAGGGGTAAAATAGTGTGTTAAAAGGAAATTTAATAAAGATGATTACTATATTTTTGTCTGTCAGTTGAGTCTGTTGGATAACATTAAACACGTATATTTATTATTATTTTTGGGTAATTAATAAATTACTGCAATATACTGGTTGAAATGTCGCCTTACTTCACACCTTTTAATATTTTCGACGTAGTTGTGACGTAGCGAGCATGTAATCTTCAACTTTAATGCCTATAATTTAAGACACTTGTTACATTCAAGCAAGAAAAAATTCTGACGGACTAAAAAAAATTTCGTCTTTTTTTACCCAGTCACCATCTCTATATTCTATCTTCACCCGTTTAGCCAAGACAAAGTAATAAAAAAATATACATATTTATTATTTAGTCAGTCAGTTAGATTTTATTTTTGCTTCAACGTAACAAGTGCTGAGCTGAGGAAAATGGGAATAAAGCTGTTATTTCATATACATTTCAAAGTATTTTCAAGAAAAAAAAAACTATTATTAATGGGCAAACTAGGCATGCCTATTCTACATTTGCATATAGCAACAGATGTTAACATTATGAAATTAGATTATTTCATCACGACATAAACATAAAAAAAAACTATTTCAAGAAACATTCTCAATAATGTGAATTCATATGCAGTGCCTAAATAATAAAAGCTTTAAAAAAGGGCCGGCTAGTACTACATAGCCTAGAGCAGCCAAGCCTGCAAATCCGCCCCTGATTATTTAAATGTAATTTGTCGGATGTAGTAGTATCCTTTACCAATTATTTTTACGTTTAATTTAGTTGAATATTACATTATCTATATTTGAAAGATATTACGACTAATAAAGGGAATTATTCTGGATCTAAAATGGCGAAAAATTCAAGATGACTGGTTACGTTTTAAGCACTCATGTATGAAATGAAAGAAAAGGGTAATTCTCTCATATATATAAAAAAATATATATATATTAAATTAGAAAAAACGAGTCTTTGTTTTAAATGCGCTAAAAAGAAAAAAAATAAACCAAATGAACTAAATCTAATCTATCGTATTAATATTGTACAGACAACGTTTTAACCATCGAGACACCCGAAGTAATAAAAACTATGACAAGTAACGGAGATCATAATTTCAGCCAAAAACGTTTACTGCGGGACAAAAGCCTACAAAGTAACGGGGATACTTACATTACATGTTTCACCTCTTCTAATCAAGATGGAGATGGTGAAATTATGGAGTCGCGTAGGCGTTTGCATCTTGCCATGGTTATATTCGATTTAATGAAGTCGAAAAACCCGGATTATGTATATTCAAAACTAAAGCAGTCCACTTTCCATCATCATTAAGGTTTCATTGTTCAGCGATATATACGGGCTCCCTTGGTGATGCATCATCACAAGACTGTGAGCTAGTAGTAGTTTACAGGCGACTGGAATAATATACCTCCGCCTATAAGATTTATCACATGTAGATGAACTTTTAAAACGCTTTTGAGATCTGAGTTACTATAAAAATAAGTTCCCGGCAATTAGTCGCTTGATGGTGATGGTGGTGGAAGTAATATTAACTCTTTTTTTATATTTTATTTCTAATTTATACAAATGTGACTGTGACTTTGAATGATCCTGACTAAATGAACCGAATTAATTTATTACTATCTATTTACTTTATTTTATTAATCTATATAGGTTATACTTTTATTACATATTTTAGTAAGTTAGTATTTTTTAGAATTATTGTAGTATCTAGTTAGTATTGTAGTTCTATTATTCTTTGTAAATTCTTCAATTTTTTATATTTACACGAGCAATTTGGGTAAAAACTATAAATCTGTGTTTTTATTTGTCTTTAAGTAAATACCTACTGTTTTTTTGCCAATTTGCAGCACTGCGGTACACATACTGTTTGTTTGTCTTGTTTTAGTTACATCTTGTTCTCTACTATTTATTATTTTTCTTTCTCAATTATTTATGGAAATCAGTTTTGTAAAATTTTGTGTATTCATGATGCAAATAAGGAATTCTTCTATCTATCTAACATTGTCGTAAATTAACTGCAACCACCGTAAGCAGTAGCAGTATGTTATTTTGCTAAAGCTTTTTAAATTTCAAGAAACCAGGGTTGTTTCAACTCACCTTGTTCTCCCCTACAAAAGATTAATTATATCTAGACAAAGATATAATTGACCATCTGTACTTGACATCTTTTTGATCACCTTGGGCGTTTCGATAATTATGATGTTGACATATATAATAAAAGCTTGTCGTTTATTTTTTAATTAATAGACGTAGTTTAATTTACGTACAGGAACATACTGAAGCTGATTATTTACATATAAGTTATAATAAATATAGTATTTGACTATTTGTCAGGGAGGAGGTGAGTGAGCGGCATGAGGTCGTTCGCCGCTCGCCATACGCCACCGCACGGTGGGCAAAATCGGTCGTTATCGGATCAAAAATGTATAACTTCATGATTTTTTGTAGTACCGCAATGAAATTTGCTACAAATATTCAGTGAGGTTTGGAAATTCAAATGATGTATAATTTGTAGTGTTTTTCTATATACATATATATGTTATATGTCATAGAGATTAAAAAAAATGGGTAAACACAAAAATAAAATGGTAAAAAAAATAATTCCAAAAGAAAGACAAGTTTTAATGACCAAAAAGGTTAAAACTATGGTTAAATACAAAATTACCCAATTAATAAAAAATAAAAAATATTTTTTTTGCTGAACAAACAAACTATACTAGGTCCTGTAGCTTCAGAGACTGATATAACTCGTTACAAACATTACTAATAACTAAATATCAATATTATTTTTATTTTGGTAGGTACCTATATTGCTTCAGGATCAGGGTCAGTAAACGTGCGTTCACTTTCAGGTACCACTTTTAAAAGACTTATTGCCTCTTCTTCAAGATTTTTTACATTTCTTAAGTATGGTTTTCTTAAACTTGTTATATATGGATCTGACGTGCACAAAAGCATTTTAAAGACATCTTCATTTGTTGCAGACCGGGAACATTTTTTGGCATGATGAAGTCGCATGTTTCTGTAGTCTTTGTTGCGAGACTCTTGTGCGTCTTCCGACAGCTGTCCAATAGGATTATCTAATTATCTAGTAATTTCTCACGCATAACGAGTGCAAATTTGATAAGATTCCTTTGTTATCGCTAAATAAATAAAATATTCCAAAAGTAATATAATTATTGTCCTTGTAAACGGTGTCTGTGGTAAACCGCAAAAGATACTGATTTTTATTTTCCGACTTTTCACATATTATTTCTTATATTTTCTAAAACCGCAAACTTCCGCAGCTGTTTTTTTCTGTTACTGAATAGTTAGACTATCAATTAACATAAAAAGTTGCGCGTGGGGAGTCGTGGGTAATATTGAAAACCTTAGACGAAAAAAAAGAAAAGTAAAAAATAAGGTATGCCACTTTTTAATTACTTACTGACATAATTGTCACTGCTTTAGAAATTAAGAAGCTGTAACGTAATAAGCATGAAACAACCTTTCCAAAAATGTATAATACTGCATATATGTACCCAATATATATTGCACAATATGGTTTTCAAACATGTATATGCGTAGACTCGAGTTCGGCACTCCCGTCTTCTATGTACTTCTACCTATGAAAAAAATGTAACTTCGTGCATTTTCGATAAAAAAACTTAATGAATATTATAATTCGATTATTTGAGATCCTAATAAAATCACCAAATCAAACAAATTATGATATTCGTAAAAAGTACTTTTGATATGCTCTTGTTCTACCATTTTCCACTGTGCACCGGCCCACTTCCCGCGCGACCTTGAACTGACAGCTTAAGAACCGATTAACAACCGGAACTATATCGTTTATAGCGAGGTATAGCCCATTATCATGTTCACATTATTTTTAGCTCTTAAATCATGGTTTTACTTCAAGTTATCTCGCACATTTGTAAAAAACGACATTTCGGTAATCTGTACTTAACAGGGGTAGTAGAGAACCACAAACTGTCTGTTATGTTCATAATATTGGATAGTCTTTCTTTTATTTTGTTAGTTTAGCTTAGCGTATAACCACATATCCATAATTTTATTACGAATATAGAGTGCTAAAAATTAACTTATAGCAAAAGCGAAAGTGGTTTTTGTTATAGTAACACTACTCTATTAGAATCGTTTTAAATAATCAATAGATTAATTTCTACCTATTGTCTCTTCTTCGATGTATGCATGACAGAAGACGCACTGTTGAAATTTGTCTAAAGCAAATCATTTCAACAATTTACCTCCGTGATCGAGTGGCTTCTAATCCGATCTCTGTATGTCACCATCTCTGAGATCTTGGGTTCCATTCTCGGTCGGTTCGATGTAGAAAATAACTTTTCTGTATTTTTGGGTCTGGATGTTGTGTTAACTCCTTTGTTATATATTTCCATCATACAAGTGGTTTTACCTACTTAATTTGGAATCTGAGCAATGTATGTAATGTTATCTAATATTTATTAGCATGTAAATTAAAACAAAAGTCTTGAATTTTTCCATTCAAAAGACCAGAGTATATGTCTGGCCTATATGTTGCGCGCACAGCCAGGTATGACCAAGATACGTAGCTAGTATATTTTATTGTAATTGTTACTCGCTAAATATATATTGATCACAAAGAGTTAAGCCATAAAACAGTACTATCCGACTTTTTTCTTTTTTTTTATGGCGTTATCGCTCGTTAGTAACTGCATCTCCTTTCTCGTAAGATATATTAAGTAAATTTTCAATGTTTATTGTTTATTTTACACAGGATGATGTAACATTGTGCACATCCTGCGTCTGTCTGAAAAATGAACCACGATTTTTTTCATTAAGCGGTTTAGTCACTTGTTAAATCATAATTTTATAACGACGTAAGAAACAGAATAAACAATTACCCATTTTTTCTAAGAATATGTCTCTATTTATCTATAATATTTATGACTTACGAAGATTCCAATTATTATTTTTTTTAACAGAATATTAATACCCTCCTTTTTTGGTAATCGTGTAATAATTATTACTAAAAATTTATATTAACCACAACGTCTAACAATTTTAGAATAATATTCATGGTACGGCCGTGCCCTCTTTACTTTTTTGCTCGACTTGGCGGCGGCACTTCCGTGCCCCCCGATACGTGAATTGATAAAGATCGAAAATACCCAAAAGGTTATATTTGTGACAAAGAAAAATACTTTAAGTTTATACACACTTCATTTTAACACAATATAGGTAAACCATCAATAACAATAAACTTAATTAAAAAATATTTTCTTTTATTAAACATAATACGGGGGTAGAGAGTAAACGAAAATAAATACCTTTTTTTTCTGGTAGTGTTTATTATACTATTACCTATCATACCTTCATGCTTATTATATTTATAATATTGCTTAAATTTATTATGAAAAAACAAATATTTTATGCTCATTGTCACGTGACCACAAACAGCACGTGACGTCACACCCTCTTACTCATACCAGAAAGTCAACCTTATGAATATATATAACGATATTCGTTTCAGAGTGCCGTGACGTCACAGCGAAGCTTAATTATTATAGTATTTAGTATTTTTTAGATAATATACTATAGATAAAAAACTTATCTACTCCCATATCATGTAATATCATAGGCTAATTATTCATAGACAAATAAAGTGCAGGTACTGTATGCGGAACTATCATATTATGAAAATATTCACTTCTTTTTCCTTGTTTTGTTGTAAACCTTAATAATAATATCACATATTTTGCTCAATACTTATTAATCAAACCTCAATATTGCATCAAACTCTATGTGACGGAATGAAATATTGGTCATTGTGAAGTGAATTCGTACCGTCTGTTATATCATTAGCAGGAGAGAAGTAAATAACAGAATCAGGTTGATATTTTTTAGAATAATAAGGCAATGGTACCGTATCAGTATATAACCTATTGTTAGGTGCCGCTTCAAATTGACGTTGGTACTTTTGAGGGTTATTAACTTGTATCACATAGTTCTTAACTGGTGTGGGACTCCGCTGACTGGTAGCAGGTTCAGTATGGACCACTGCTGAGAATCCCTTCCTTGGATGTACATTATAGTCCACGATACGTTTAGTACCATCTGGGTCTACTACGGAATATTGTCCTGTCACTATATTTCCTTGTCTAACTTCATGCTGAGTTTTGGTATCTCCAGTTGTAGGATCTTGTATATCGTACGAGTATTTATACTGAATAGCAGCCGGTGGCGGATCGGTAACTATAATGCCGATAACTCCAGGCACAGTGAATACTGTTAACAATAACTGTAAAAAAAAACACGATGACACTTTAACATAATGTTTACCGGATATCCTTTGGTGATCAGTGAAGTTGTATTAAAACCTGAACAATAAACCTGACAATAAACCTGACAATAAACCTGACAATAAACAAGGTTTAATTAAAGGTTTACACGATTAAAAAAAGTAGGTCACACGCACCTCGTGAATACCAAACCTGAGTTTTATATTTCAAGTCACTTGCGGAAGTCACTTTATTCTGATAATTTAAATTTGACATTTATAACTGTTTACACATCATTCACAAAGAAAAAGGTCACAATCATAAGAAACGTTAAAATAAAGTAAATAAATATACCCTAATCATGGTGTGATGCTGCAAAGCACTCGACAATAGGACGGAGTAAATAGCGCAATTGGCACCGTGGGTCGTATTTATAAGCTGTTGTAGCATTCACTCGAATGTTCTGTACCGCAAACGGGCTGCTCCATTTTCGCCTTTTCTCTATATTTCTTACGATTCATATACGTTTAACTTTAATTACTCGCTTATAAAATACATTTATAATTATAAAAAAAATAATATTATACTTATGCAGTTTACAAATATAATATATAGAACTCTCGTGTTTTTCCACACAAATTCAGTTACTGACATTGAGATAAACACTGCAACGTAGATATTGCAATTGTGTGTATACTTGCCTATCCACTTACTTCCTAAAGTACAGGTTATGAATTAGTTTTGAAATGGAAATTATTCAAAATATACATATTTTTTCGGTGCGTGTTTGATCGTACAGTTTGTTTCATTAGCATTCAATTACAAAGTCATCGCTCCATCATGTCAAGAGCTTACGATACAGCAGATGACCGCAGAGATAGTATTGTGATGGGTAATGCAACATATGTAAACACCTACGAGTATCGACCATTAATAAATGCCATGCCTATTGTGAACGAAGGCTTGTAATACAATTGACGTGATAAATTATTCCGAAAGTATTTTGTTTTGTAATATACATTACTCCTATAAATTTAAAGAAATTTTATCTGATCTTGACTAATTATATCTATGTTGTACACTTCGTTTTTGCAAAAATAATTTAACTAAGACTACATTTGGACAAGTAATTTGGAGTGTCTGGCTTCAGCAAATCTACAAATATCAGTGTCACTCAATTGTCTGTTCTTTCAGAGCCTACCTAGATTCTAGAAAACTGATGAGAGAGATAAGCGTCCTAGTGATTTGGCATGGCTTCCAGGCTCATCTTCAGAAGAGGTATAACACCGTAGGAGGTTTTGTGGAAAAAAAGAGGCGGCAAGGATAGTGCCTAACGCAATTCTACGACAAAAAAATATTCTAAAATGCTAATAATTTTATCAGTTACATAATGTATGGTTAATAATTGAATAAGGAAATAGACGTTAAAGTTAGTTTTAAAAAAATACATTCATTAGATTGATTGACGCGTTGTTTTTATCAATATGCCTATTGCATATTGATATAGTAAATTATCAGAATATTAACGACGATTGTTGACGATACCGGGATCTGAAAGTGAAATCTGGAGGGTTGGTAGTAGAGAATAAGTAAGTGCATTAAACTTTCTGGAAATTACACGTATTTAGGAACTAACCTTCAAAACTGTTAAATCAACTTAGAATTTGTATGTATGTACATACAGGCATTACAAAAATCTACAAATTGATTCGCGAAGCTTCTTAGAGTTGCCCAATCAGCTTATTGTATACTTCAAGGCAACGACACGCGTGGAAGTCATTAAAGTTAAATATTGAAAATATTTGGTCAAAAAGAGATTGCTTTTGTTTTCTATAGTAATATTATAAGGATTTTTTGCATTAAATAGGCTCCAACATAATAATGTTGGACCTTTTAAAAATTCTTTCATTTGTAGGAAAGTCATCATACGCGGTTGACGTACGTGAGTGAAGTCGTGGGAAACTGCTAGTATTTTTATAAAGATAATAGGTACTCCCTGGCATTATTGCTATTTGCATAATTTAAAAATGGTCGAGCAAGTTCTTTACATTCTGTATTTTCTAGGTTTTAGATTTAGTGGTGTCGATAGATGGAGAATAGTCACGTTACGCCAAATAGACTAAGGTTTAAAAATAACTACTATTTTGGTATGAATTCAGATTAGTTTTGGAGTGATCATATTTTGAGAACATAAAGAAAATAGCTGATGTTTGACAGCTAAAATATTCAAACAATTAAAATTCTGTAAATATGTAAAAAAAATTTCGTATTAAATAAAGTTTTTTTTTTATTCTAACAAATTATATAAGTTAATAAGTGTATACCAATTTTACATTGTTATCGTTGCAATAAATCTAGATACTTATAATAGCAACGACATTCGCATTAAAATAAAGTGGCTAATTCTCGATGATGTAACGTGTATGTATCCGAATAACTGTGCGTTCCATCTTATTTGTGCCTCTTCTGCAAATAGTCGATATAATAATATGTATTTCTGTTTATAATAATATGTATGTCGATATAATAATATGTATTACAGTTTGAAGCTCTTTTATTCCGAAATAGAAAAAAATAGATTACATTTTATTCCGAAAATGTGCACTAGCAAAAACAGTGAAGTTTTTATGGGGAATAATAATGTTACCATAGCAACCATTATTTAGAATTTGATTTGTCATTTTAATAAATCTATTAAACATTAATTTATAAAGATTTCTTTATATAATGGTAGGAATTGGTATTTGATAACATAATCATTACATTTTAAATACTGAAGAACAAATAATTTAATTTATATAAAAAAAAACAACTTTGTACAATAATAATTTTCCCTAACTTTGTGCACGACCCACAATCACCTGCCACCAGTATCAACCAAAAAGTTGCCTGGAAGAAATCGCTGTTCAGCGATAAGGCCGCCCATTGCACAAATGTAATTTTTTTTTTGTTCCATGCAATGTATTTATTTTTACTTTTTTTTGTGCAATAAAGTGTTAAATAAATAAATAAAAAAGGAAAGATAGATCATGTCAGTACTAATACGATGACAAAAATTATCCAGCATATACACACGCACATGGCACGATGCTCTCTAATTATTCATAGACTATAATTGAACATGACACAGACCAGCTATATAATAATTAAATGCCTACTTTTACCTAAACGAGTTTAAAGACTTCAAACAACAGTTCAATTTAAAAATGTTGATGTCTCACATTATTATTTCTCCTAGTCGTTAGTGTATATATTATTTGCCCGTGTATAAATAATGAAGCTTTTCAAGTGATAAAATAAACTTGACACTTATAATATGTAAAATAACACGAGGGCTTCGATCAAAATCTTAAACGGAGTATTTTTTTTAGCTCCGGAGATAGGTTTTGATGCTCAGAAATCAAACACCGAATTCAAACATGTCGCAGGCCGCGGGCTTCAAGCCAGAGGAGCGCCTACTGAAAAATGAGTTATTTTTTATAACGCCAATCTTTTTTAATCTTATCAATTGACAAAACCTATTTTTTAAAATAATTAGAAAATACAAGTTAACCAATTGTCGACATGTGACCGACAGACATGTATTATTTTTATATCTCCTGCAAAGTAAGGGGATTGCTTTAATGCCATTGCTTTGATGGCTTAAAGTCTATGTCTTAATTAATGTTGTATTATTTTCCTGCCGTTTTAATTTATATGATAGTAGATATTTTGTATTTTCAAATATCTTACCGTGTGTACCAGTTATTTGATATCATATTAAGAAAGTAATTTCATGTATAGCTGTTGCTGTACCTTAAACAAATAAATATAGCTTTTTGTTTGTAGTGTCTTCGGAGTAGAACATCAAGGTAATTATTCTAATATCGCGGATATTTTGCTATAAAATTAGTTTACACTTATATTATAAAGAGAATAGATGTGATTGTTTGTTTGTTTGCAACGAATAGGCGCCGGAACTACTAGACCAGTTCAAAAGTATCTTTCACCAACGGGAAGCTGGACAATATTTTGAGCTGATTGAGAACCAAATCAGTAGTTGTGCGGAAGGTGAGCAACTTTCACAAGGGCTGCTATAGATGGGTGATCTAAAATTTATTATCTTGAGCTCTTTCGAGCTTCGGTAGGGACGTTAAATCGTTGATCTCAGCTGCATGCAATCGTGAATACCCACCTCCGGTACATCCACTTCGGGCCCGCGTGGTGAGTTATTTTCCATTCTCCCTATTCGATTAGATTTCATCCATGGAAAAGGCCTGTGCCCCAGCAGTGACGTTATTAGTAGGTTAATGATAATTATAAAGTAAATCAGATATAGTTCATTCGCTCTTTAAATATATATCTTAGTAAGTACGAGTATGAACTTAATTTAGGATTTCAACTTATAATATAAAAGCATAGTTTCTTACAGTCCAATATTATATATACTCTTTATTGCACTCAAAATTTTACATAAAGACAAGTAAATAAATTTGTTACAAGAGTGGGCTTATCTCTAGAAGAGATCTCTTCCGTAGGACATAGGAGTCGTGGGAGAGTAAAATGTAAGCGGGTGATAAAAGTGCAGTTAAATGATATTACGGTTGGAAAAAATATATATATAATATATAATACAAGAAAAAGATTGCATATATCTTTTTTTTTGTATTATTTATAACTTATATTTTTTATAATATATAAAATATACACATGCATATGAGAGCATATTCTTATGGAAAAGACATCAACGCATTTATAACTCTTAAGTTGCTATAGCATGTTTAACACAATTACAAATATAAATTTAAGTACCGATTCAAGACCAATTCCTTCATTGTTTGGAGGTTTTAAATTGATATCATTGTTTAAAAAAAAAATACTAAATAGGAAGTATGATTTTGGAGGCCAAAAGTGAATTTAACACTGTGCTATTGTATATCTGTGACTGGGGTAATAAAACCTGAAACCGAAGACGTATAGATTATTATTTTAAATAAACACAGATCGTTGCAAATAAACAAAATTTATTATCAAATCGTCCCGCCCACCGATCGATATAAAAATGTTCAACGAACCTAAATTTTTACCTGTTAAGTTTATAGAAATTGTTATGTTATCTAATGTTAAATGTCATCCATTAATGAATGTAGGTACTCTTATTTTTTTAGTAGTAATTTACACGGGTGACGCCTTCTCGAGAATAGTATCTTGATACACTTGTGCCAATGTTTTTTGTGTAAATTTTTATAAAAATATTGCACGGTCGCTCCTTCATAGCTAAGACCCCACCTAACTATCACTGAAGTCGGCTAATGCTTACGTTGTACTCCACTATTCTATTGACTAATCTTGAAGCTTCTTTAGAGTTTTATGCAAAAATACAGACTGCGGTCAAATGTGAAAAAAAATGTCATCCGTAAAGTGACTTACTTCCCTTTGCGTACCGCTTAAGTAGTTATTTTAATTTTAACACCCTATTCTTTTTAAATTATCTGTTAAGAAGTGACCAGTGCATCTCATAAAGGCTGCAAATCCTAAGTAATCTTTTAAAATACGCGCCATGGTTCTAGGTGCTTTGTTCATCTCCCGAGGTTAACGCTTTTGCTTTTGGACAGGATTTCTTCGAATTATTTTCCTAACTGCTTTGATCGCCATTTTTGTACGGACACTACATGGACGCCAGAACGTTTTTTGTCACAAAAGGAGGAGGTTTCATTATACCTATCTATAGCCCACAAACATTTGACTAATACTAAAAGTATGGAGGCTTTTGAATATCTGTTTGGCTCCATGCCTACTTTATGTAATGCAATCACAGCGATGCGGTTCTCTTCATCACCCCACTCCATTTTAATATAAAAAAAATATTTTATAATGTGTTGGCGTGAAAATATGAAAAGACAATGAACAATCATATAAAAATGAAAGATTCGAAATTAAAAAGTAGGTAAGCCAAACTAAGTAATTAATAATAATAATATAATCTTTATTGCATACATACAGACAGGAAATCAACATCAAATTACACGGTATAACAATACAGTGTACATGAGGCCGCCTTGCCTAATTGCTAAACAGCAATCTCTTCCAGGCAACCTATGAAGGGGAATAATAAAAGAAAAGGGAAAATATAAGGTATTGAGTGCAATGGTCAGAGATTGTAAGATATATCTTTACACATTAAATAAGAAAGTAAATCTTCTAACTATCTTCTGGGAGAAAATTCCATAAACGCACAGCATGCACAGAAAAGGAATAGAAGAAGAAAAAATTAGAAGTATGACGCGGGATGTCCAAACTGAGGTTGAATGAGGATCACGAGGAACTCAGTGACGAAGAAGAGCGAAAAGAGTAACATTTTTTGAGATAATGTGGAGAGGAGGGTAGGAGAAGTATTTATTGAGAAGTAAATTACATTGTCATTGGAACAAAAGGTAGGTATATTTCAAATTTCAACTCGATCAGACGCCGGGAAGTGGATGAAATTAGCTTGCAAGATATGATTACAGAAGGCAACCGTCGTCGGACAGATGAAACTAAATAAAAGGTTGAAATATAAATAATATGCACTGGATCTTTAACGATTTGTCATTTGACATATCAATTTTACATAAGCGTTAGAATGAACCAATATGCCAGAGAACCTTGATTTCGATTTTTACGAGTACTCATTTCAAGTCAATATATTTTAACATAAGTTTTGCAGCTGTTACTGGGTTGGTGCAATTTTTATTACCTGTCTGTCTAGATTAGGAAACAGCTATCTTGTGTCACAGCCTTTTAATGCGAGGGATAGGCTTTCGACAACTATGATTGTCAATTTGTTTCGGCACGCCCTTATAAATCATTGAACTTTGTGTTAATTTATGCATAAACCTACAGCATAAGCCGCTTCAAAATTAGATGGTTATGTAAAGCCTTAAATGGAATTATTTTAGATAATTACTTTAGATAAAATTACTTTAAACGTTTTCATCGTGTGTATTTTTTTTAATTATTACATTTTTCAAACATCTAGAATCCTTTAATTATGAGCTTAGATTATTAAACGTCTGGGTTCCGTTAAAAAAATACATGTTACAAGAATTACTTTAGGAATTTTAAAGTTGTCTACTTCATTATTGATATAGATAGACACCGACTAATTATGGAATAGTTATTTAATAATCCAAAATGTTGTTATTGTTGGTGCAGAATCAATCTTCAAAAATAAATATTAATTGTAAATATATAATGTTTGGATATGTGCGTGTTTGTTAGATACTTCTTGACGATCAATTTTGATGAAAGTTAGTCAATCACTAGATAACCTAAATAACATATTTAAAATGTTTTTATTCTATGAGTTTTCGTAACTATAATTAGACCTAAAACTTTAATTGTGAACGTAATAAATGTAATTGATACTTAATTCTTATATTTTATCCGCATCTAAATTTAGAATAAATTTTACATTAAAAACTTTGGTATATTTTACATTCCATTGATATTTTGATTTACTTATCTATATATCGAGATCTTGAGGTACCTGGGATTAGTGAATTAGGTATATTTGAGAGAAATATAGGTTGTCTTATTTATTACATGGGTGTGTTGATGTATATCGGAACACGCCGTCAATTTTTATTTTTACTTTTCTTTTATTTTGATGGCTGATTAAGATACGGACTTGAGTCTAGACCACGCGTGTCGATGTCGCAGACATGCGCTCGCGCGCGCCCGCACCGAATAATGGCAGGGTGCGGCTCGCGCACATTCACGGACGCATTATATTTATTTCACCAGGTATAGGGTTGACATTAAGTTATGAATGAGGTAATATCGCAGATATAAAAAGTTTATATCATTAACTTATTCGTTTAACCGCTATCAGTATTTCTTTCCTATGTTAAAAGTCGGTTGGATAAGATTTTAAAAGAGAATGAGAAAACCATGTAAATAACTGTAGGAAATGATACAAATAAAACTTTTAAAATGTTTTTATATTATATATGTATTTTTTTTTATTATATCTTTAAAATACCTACAGCTTTTTTCTTTTCAGGTGTTGGTTTCCTCAAATATTCATCGCCTTATGCCAATGAATAAAAATATATACTGCGTGCGCCTTCTTAGAGTAAGAATTTGACGAAAACTTAAAATTTTTACATTAAATTACATAAATGTCTTTAAAATATGTATGACATCATCAGTTTATAGCTCGTGTCAGTTTTTCAAATGGAATAACATAAAAAATTTCCAATCAAATAAAATAATAATATTTTTTTAGTTCAAGAAAGCAGTGACAACCCTAGCCAAACCAATTGCGCTATGCCGGTTGCTGTTCTTTAAAGCCATTATGTATATTCGATGAATGTTTACGAGCTCATGTGACCTACTTTTGGATAAGTAGAATCATATCAAAGCTCTATGGTTATGGTATGACGACTATTAAATATTTTAAGTAAAGAGTGTCAAGGGGGTCAGGCGACCTTTGAAAATTATACCAACTTTATTGTGATGAAAGACAAAAGTGGTTTTCAAGAATCACCTATATGTCAGCATTATGCTTCAGCAATAAAGAAAAATAAAGCCATAGTGGGATAGTTAATATTGGTGTAGATGCATTAAATTATGCACACGATTTTGGTTCTCCTTATTTATTACCTTAGATTTAACATTAACATACAACAATACGTACATAAATACATATAATTAACATGGTTCAGGTCACTCAAACGAGGTCGGGTCAGCTTACACGGACAGAGATCCGACGTCTAGGCAACATCTCACCTCTACCTCATCGACTGCTAATGTATAATTCCCCTTTATGCCTTCCTTATAATCTTTAACTGACATTCACATCCCATTAATTTTACTACATTATAGTTTTATAAAAGGGATCAATTGTTTTTTCCTTTCTACTCACAAAAAGTTATTCTAATTCACAATATGATCTTTTCTAAATCAGTAAGGCCCCTGTCCGCTTCTGTAAGCTTTTACAAACAGTAGGTTTAATGAATATAAGCGGGAGCAGCCACTGCCTTAACGACGCCTCCAATAGGCTCTTTGTGGACGACTGCGTTGAATCCGTTATGAGGATCGGCTGTGTATTCAACCACGCGCCTCGTACCGTCCGGCTCCACCAGGGAGTAGGAACCCTGTACCACATCGCCGGAACGGCTCTCCTGCTGACTCTTTGAATCACCTGTGTAAATAACGTAATTCATTATTAATTCTTGAGGAAAATTCTCTTTGTGTGAAAGAAACTATTTCTTAGTGTCTCAATATCTTTGGCATGCATGCATGCATGCATGAACATATATGAGACATTAGACATGTCTCAAAAACTAATCTGACTTACCAGTTAGAGCATCTTGAATATCATAGGCATAAGAATACTGAGGATTCGGGTCGTATTCTTCGACAGGCGCAGCTACTTTAGCATAAGCCGGGGCTACGGCATACGGTGCTGCCAACGCTGGCCTGGCCACTGCCAGCGGGGCTGCGATGCCGTAGGGTCGTGCATAAGGAAGGGGCGCCGCTGCGTACGGTGCAACTGGCACTATACCAGCTGCGCTTCTACACGCCACCAAAACCGCAGCTACAATTACGACCTAAAACCATGCCTCAAATGAGTATTCAGCCTTCCTTACACGAAAACTCAATAAGAACTTGTTACAAACGAGTTGCTTTGTCGTCTCAGCCCATACATCGCTTTCACGCCTAAACCACGGTACAGGTTTTAATTAAATTTGGTACAGGGATAGAATTGACCTTGGGAAAGGATACAAGCGACTTTTTTATCGTGAAAACTGGGGTTGGAGTGGTATAGGTCATGAAAGTTCGTAATTAAAATTAACTCTACCACGCGGATGAAGTCGCGGGAAAAGCTATTTGTTTATATTGAGAATATAATAGAAAAGAAGGGAAATACAATAATATTGTTATTAATTTTTTTTTTTTACATTTAGATGGGAAATGTGAAGTCAATCGAAACAGTAGTTTTTTTATGGAGCCACTGAAACGTGTTTAATTAAGTTTTCATCGATTTTAACTGTAATTATTTTAGTTGTATGAATTGTATTTACCTTCATGTTGTGTATATGGACGCCTCGAAAGCTGTGAACGCTGCGGGGTGAGCAAACGTCGCTTATATACGAATGTGTGGTGCACAAAACATACGCAGGACTTAGAAAATCGGTCATTTGTCACGGCCGACCCTATATGTTGTACTATGTTATTTCATAAAGATTTAATTTGTTTCAACGTACATAGACAGGTAGGTAGGTGATACCAACACAAATGTACGTACGCAATCCTGTCTGTGATATTACAATATCTTAGGGAGCAGCAGTTTTTCTGCGACTTCGCCCACGTAAATTATAATATTTGTAACCCACGTATGAGGTAACTTCCCGTATGTGAAAGATTTTTTAAACCAGTTCAGTAATTTCGGAGACTATTCAACGCTAACAAAAAAACAATCAAACCTTTTTTCATTATAATAATAGTTTAGATAATATAAATAAATACAAAAATGAACTGAAATTTTTACAAGGTTTTCCGTGACTTCGATTGAGGACATTATATGACAAACAATTTCGGCCGCCCGCCCTAGCTTATGAACATCTGATATTTACATACAGAAGGCATCATTTTTCTTTCGATACATTAATAATCATCGTTATATCACAACTGTACTTACACGGTAATCGGATACTCAACCTTAATATATTACACTTTCGATAAAACCTTCCTTACACAGTACGGTGATAATCACATGAAAATCTGTTCAGCAGGCAGTGTTATTCCTTTATAAAAACAGCCTCTAGCAGCATCTAGCGAAGCGCTGTCATGGCATAAAAATTCAATCAAAGAAAACTTACTTCAAAAGGTTATTTACCTACAAACGGGGATAAAAGACTTTATTTCATTGACTCTTTATACTTTAACACCGCTTTGCTCGACGTCGAGTTCGAGGCTTATAGCGGAACATTATAGCAGTAAGTTTTCAGGTTATTGCGTCAAGTATTTTAATCGGGTAGGGTAAATACTTTTTTAACTCGAAATTATCTGAAGTCACGGATTTATTATCGGGCGGTTATCATTTAATAATCTACAGAGCACCTCCGTCCGATTCCAATTACTGTTTCTAAAATAATTAACCGCTGTTAATTAAAATTTGATTTTAAGTATGTATTATTTTACAAATTCTAAAGAAGGTATGATATTCTTTTTTGAAAAAAAAAATTCACGAACCGCAGAAAAAAATCTACCTCAAATATTGGCATCGTGCTCTTAAATGAATAAATTATTATTATAATAAAATACCATTTGGCTTAGTGTGTGTGTTATAGAGGTTTTTAGGTCACAGCTGCACGTTATCAGTCCGTGTGTGATAGTGGTCTGGTCTCACTACATTCGATAACAATTTTAGAATAGCCCAACCCATACCTGTAATTGATCTAGGTTCTAGATAGGTGCCTAATTGAATAAATTGAAATTTCAGACACTGTAATTTATTAGTACTAGTTATTATAAAAATAACACTAAAAATATTAAATTTCCATATAAATAAAAATATTCAATATAGTGAGTCTTACAAATGGAGATTTTGTTTATTCACTCGATATATTTTTTAGATACATCATTAATTTTTTACTAACATAATTAAGAGGAAAGTATTGATTGCTTGTTTGTTTGCATTGGATAGACTCCAAACTGTTGGATCGATTTATAAAAATCTTTCATTTCCGGGAAGCTACTCGTACATAATACACAGGGGACATATGCTTCCCTGAAATCCAATCACGAAAAGGCATAAGCTAAGATGAGATGTTAATTTATAGAATCGTATATAAAGATATTCGAATTCTGCTGGGGCTTCTGAACACCTTTAGGTATAACATCTTAATTCTAAAGTATAGTTATGACTTTATAAAAAATAAAGATGAAGTACATTTTTCTCGTTCTAAACATGGTACATTTTAATAGATTTTTTACCTTAGAGAGATGAGGAGTCACTCAGTCTGGACGCGGCAGGCGTCCTTAATTTTTGCCGCTCTACATCACCCGTCTTAACTACCTTAGATCGGAATGGCAGCGAGGACAAAAATAATATGAGGATTAAAAGGGCGCATAACACCCAAAGTCATTTATTTCAAAACCAACATCAAAATCACACCCAAAATTTGGTGTTGTACAAAGAAATAATAAACTGAATCATAAATATTTATCACATCAATTTTTAATTTAAAAAATACATATAAGTCGTGGCCAGATCGTAGTATTGATCAATTCATAACGCGGCCAGCTATTTCATGAAATGGAAAAATCTTGCTGCCCACATTCAGACCCGAGACAATTTAGAAGTAATTTTTTATACATAGACCTGACCGAGAATCGGACCCGGTACCTCAGAGATGGCTACACCTTGAAACCGGCGTGCAAACCACTCGGTTACGGGTATAAACGGGTAAAAAAGAGTGACCAAACGGAAAACAATTACTTGATTAAGTTTAGTGCGATAATTGTAATTGTAGTGGGAAGGCTCCCCTTCCAAAGACTATTCTATAGTTTTATGGATATGTTGTAAGATTATGATAAAGGCAGGACTTTATATAGCTCCTGAGGATGATAAAATATATAGGAGGATATAAAAGTTTTCGTGATATGAATTGAACTAAATTTCCTATATGATTCACTACTGTAGGTCACGTGATAGGTTATTGTAATTATATTCGTATCATAATATGAATCGATACCTGTCGAAATACGAGATGAGTGTGGCTCTCAAACAGCTCAAGAACAACAAGGCGCCGGGGGATGACGGAGTCACAGCGGAGCTTCTGAAAGCGGGTGGACTACCAGTCCGGAAAGCGCTTCAGAAGCTATTTAACTCCGCCATACTCGAGGGCAAGACGGCAGAAGCATGGCATAGGCGTGATGGTGCTTTTCTTCAAAAAGGGCGACCGGACCCAATTGAAGAATCACAGGGAGTCATGTGTACAGGCTGTTTTCGAGAGTCATCACGAATCGTCTCGCGCGTAGGTTTGACGACTTCCAGCCTCCTGAACAAGCCGGTTTCCGAAAAGGTTACAGTACCATAGACCACATTCATACGCTGCGACAGATTATACAGAAGACTGAGGAGTATAATCTGCCACTGTGCTTGACGTTTGTGGACTATGAGAAAGCCTTTGAATCCGTCGAGACCTGGGCCGTGCTTAGGTCACTCCAGAGGTGCCAAATAGACTATCGATACATCCAAGTGCTGCAGTCACTGTATGAAAACGCCACCATGTCAGTTCGGCTCCAGGACCAAAACTCGAAAGCAATACGACTTCAGCGTGGAGTGAACAGGGCGATGTTATATCGCCGAAACTGTTCACAGTGTCTCAAGACGAAAGTCTGCAATTCGTCCGTACGGTACTGAGACGTGGCCGCTTACGATGGGCCTTATAAGGAAGCTCAAAGTCGCTCAGAGGGCAATGGAAAGGGCTATGCTCGGAGTTTCTTTGCGAGATCGAATCAGAAATGATGAGATCCGCAGAACATAGCCCCAAGAATTGCGAACCTCAAGTGGCAGTGGGCAGGGCACATCGCTTGCAGGACTGACGGCCGTTGGGGCGGTAAGGTCCTGGAGTGGCGAACGCGTACCGGGAGACGCAGTGTTGGGAGACCCCCCACAAGTTGGACTGACGATCTTGTGAAGGTCGCGGGAAGGCGCTAGATGCGGGAGGCGCAGCACCGATCGCTTTGGAGATCTTTAGGGGAGGCCTATGCCCAGCAGTGGGCGTCTCTCGGCTGAATTGATGATGATGATGACTTGTCGAAATAAACAGTTCCCTAGGAATCACGCGGGCGAAGCTGCTGGCGAAAAGATAGTACTAATACAGTAAAGAGGAAAGATTTCATTGTTTGTTCGCAACATATAGGCCGATATTACAGGATCTTTTAAAATTCTTTTACCTACGGGAAGCTACATCATATTCGGTGTGCATATGCTATATTTTATCACGAAAACAACAAATTACGGGGTTAACAGAGTTTCATAACTTCTAACGATAGCTGGCTTTTTGATAAATTATTAAAAAGAAAAGTAAAAATAATCACACTTGCACAAGATGACAGATTCATTCATTGAGTACTTCAACAATTTTGAACAATATCATGCACACGATAATTTAGTATGCGTTTTAAAAAGAAAAAATGGGAATTAACAACTAGGCCCCACTGTTTCATTCCAATCGCCAATTTGTGTTTGTGTGAATTGACATTATCATCAACGGCCAATTAAATTTGAAAAACTTTATTCTTCATTCTCAATGTAGTAAAAATGAATCCTCGAACCTTTCTTAGTTGATGGACCTATCAAAAAGAAGCTCATCCTTCACATTAGAATAAATATAATTTTTAGTACAGTCAACAACACTTTCGATTATACAATACTGGCAAATTTCAGTTGTGGAAATTGACTCACAGTCAGTTGCACAAACGTCCATGAAGGGTTTAAGCTCTAATTAATGTCAAATATATATGGGTAATATTGCTTTAGTCTAATGACAATTGTTATGGACGTTTATGCAACTGGCTGATATTGTGGTAATTTGATGTACAGCCGTATGTAACTTTCTTATTACATCTCAATTTCATTTCTAAGCCATCTATTGTGTCCTAGTAGTATTAATAATAAAATAATGTAAAACAATACGAGACAGGTACCGAAGCAGTTTCACAAAAGCGCCATCTATGAATATATCTAGAAAATTCGAACCTAATATAATGTTGCCAGTTATTCTAAATTTACTACTTTCAAAGGTAATGAACAATAAAACAGGTCCAAATAAATTAACACCTAAACTTATGAAGTATAAAATCGCAAGTTAGATTCACAAATATGCTATTATTTGAATGGGCCAACTTATCAGTGTTATTCAACAAAAACAGAATAAAAATCTTTTTCAGGATTTGAAATATTTTTGCTGTAATTTAAAAATTTAGATGTAAAGTATAGTAATAAGATAAATATAATGTGAAATTAGAGATAAATTTTCTCTTTTTGTAGGTATAACGCAATCTGTTAATATTTATGTGTGTGATTATTATTCCCAACATCAAGAAATACCAAGTAAGGACTGTACGACTAAGAATAATCAATCAACACAAATATGTAACTTAAAGAGCATAATTGTTTTACCGTTAATCCGTAGTAATAAGTTATTATACATATAATTATCGAAAAAGACAAGGAATTAATGTCCTATATGTTTAGTATATAAGTTCCTTGTAAAAATATGTAAAAGTAGTTCTCGAAAGATGTTGCTGTGTGTGAACTATGAAACGGTCAAACAATCAATTTATTTGTGCATTCCGATGTTCTTTCGTAAATAATAATAAAACTAAATCGAGTTTCGAACATACTCTAATTATAAACAGTGAGAGATTTAACCTAACCTAACCCACTATTCTGGTAGCATGTATAGCAATTCATTTATTAAATTGTAATTAGTAAGTTTTATCTTATGCTTTTCCCTATGTCGATCAATAGTTAATCAAACAAAAAATACCTATAGTCATTTCATTCCGATGTCCAATTACGAGAAATTATACACATGCAAAATATAGCACACGTGTTCAAAAGCCCATATAGACTAACTTATATAAATTTTGTGCCATATTCCAACCAAACTCCTTTTTAAAAGTATGTTAAATTTTTCTTCCTTTTATAAGGACCTTAATTTTGAAGAGTTTATATCTTCAAAACTACTGTACCGATTTGTATGAAACTTGTAGTGTACCCTAAGTCGAAAGCAATTAAACAAAAACTAATCATTGCAATCCGACGTCTAGTTTGCGAGATATACTTAGACATACGTATTATACCCATACAAATTAACATATATAAATTTTACACCATCTCAAAGAAATTACATACATAGACCTTGAATTGATAACCTCTTTTTTTGAAGTCGTTTAATAAAATAACACTTTGTGAATAGGGAGTTAATGTTAGGGACTATATATAAACACTTTATGGCAACACAAGGAATCTGTCTGTGTTTATGAAATGGAAACGTCACTTTTCTTTTCGATGAATGTGTGAAATCCACCAAACATTGTGCTTTGTTATGTGTTTATAATATTCGTGCATCATAAATAGTTAGTGAATAAGTAAAATGGCAGATTTTGATGCTATATATCCAGATGAGACCGAAAGTGAGGAGAATATAGAGGAGACACATGTGACGTTAGTGCCTGATCCTATTGTGGTTCGCGGAGCTGGTAACATGACAGTGTAAGGTTTCATGTAACTTATGTTCTGGTTTTGGAATCAGCTGTTGAGATGATTATTGTATGATTTATAAAATAAACTCAAACTACTATCATCGCCAACCTATACGCGCAAGCAGTCTATTCTCGGTTCTTTGTCGTCTACGTTCAATGGCATTGAAGCGATTTCTTTAGTTGGATATTGACCTGGCGCCAATTTAAATTCATAAAAACTAGAAAAAGGCATTTTTTGTGGTGCAAACGTTTATCATTCACATTATTATATAGATAAATATTCCTTGACACAAAATTATTTCATATGATGAGTCTATCTGTCTGTATAGTTTTATTACTTTAATTACTTGTTAAAGTATTTTATGATTCATTATTAAATAAATAAAAATCCTACTGTCTGTATAATTAAATAATTTAGAATTTTCAATAATTGATTATTTAGTATAAGTTTTATCTCAATAATTTATTATAATTATTAGTTTCACTTGGTGACCTTACTACCAACTACATAAAGTGTATTTTCTCATAGCATAATCCTGTTTGCAAATTCAACTTAATACAATCTTACTAATGATAACTGACTGAATGCCATGATTAGTAAGTGTTTGTTATTTAGCTCTGTGAATTAATGTTATAAAAAATGATGCTTAAATTTTTGTTTTCACAAATTAAGATATTTTATAATTAGGTATGATAAAATGATAACATGTCTGTGATTCCCAATAAATCAAAGCTGTAGATTCTAATGAAAATATCAATATTAAGCATATGAAATATGTCATAGGTATGACATATCATTCAGATTAAATTTTAGTTTTAAGATTATATGTGGGTTCTTTCTAGCAAAGTCAATAAATATTACTGAGCAAGTCAGACTACATTACAAGTATACATAAAGATAAGATTATAAGATTGTTTAGTTTACATTAATTAAACTTGGTAGACATTCAAATAACAGTTGCATATTATTGCTATGTATTGTGAATAGATACAATTATATTTTTGATTTCAATATTTATAAAAAAACATTTAAAAATGCCTTTTAATTCTAAATGTCCACATACCAATGTGTTTGGTATGTATGGTATGGACATTTTTCTGTGTATTCAACAGACTCATCATAACACTAAATTGGACATTTCAGAAATTGGAAATTCAAAATTGAAAAAACCCATCTCATAATACCTGTTATTGAATTTTCAGTTTTGGTTTGAGTAACCGCTTCAACACAGAGTTTCCCTCTGGACTGCAGTCGCGAGTAGCCCCAGAGGAATACCAGGCAACTGTGGTCCGAATCAACAGTGTGCTGAAAAAGACTCTACCTGTCAATGTAAAATGGTTGTTCTGTGGCTGTGTTTGCTGTTGCTGCACACTGGGATGCTCTCTCTGGCCAGTCATTTGTCTTAGTAAAAGGGTAGGTCTTACTATATTTAGTAAACAATTGACTAGATTGTTTTCATTAGTTATATTAATTCTTTAAGCCAATTATTTATCTATTATGGCATGGCCCATGTAATAAGTATATGATCAGTTGTCTTAGGGTTAAGATGGAACTTCAAGACTAAAGTATTTTTAGCTAATGTCATTGCAGGTCCCTTAATTTCATCACATTGATGGCATTTTTAATATATGATTGCATAATTTAATGATTTTTTTATTTGATATGTATGAGAATATCCTTATTCTTTTATCATTGATTTGTTTCCAAATAATGTAATTTATGTATTTTACTGTATTTGGTTAAAAGGGTTTTACATTTTTGTGATGATTGATTGCATACAACAAAGTTATTTGGATAATTAAAATAATCTATAACCATTGAATTACATTTATAATATTTCACCATAAGGAGAAATCAATCAACATCAGCCCAGCTATTACAGCTAGAACATATTGGTAGGTGCTAATGTCTGCAGATGCAACTAGATGCTTAAGGATACTTTTTAAAGCATGTTGGAACTCATTAAAATTTTTGAACAAAATTATTAAACATCATTGGATGTTAATAAATTTTGTCACTCCACTTTTTTATTTATTTATTAGGTAGCACAACAGACATGAATGTATGTATAATAAGTAACACATGAGTAGTACTAACTATTATCCTAAAGGTGTTTACACAATGAGATATGATAAAGAAAATTGTTAAAAAAAACACTTTATTGGCATTAAACATTCTTTCAAGTAGGTACAGCCAGGGCTGAATTAGCTACGTAGCAAAAGTAGAAAATGCTACGGACCCCGCTCAATTGAGAGCCTTGCTATGGTTCAGAGCCAATTAATTAATTTTCAAGTCAGTGTTAAATAATGCAAGAAATAAAACAAGCCACGCTTCTGACTAGTCATATTTTTAGGTATCAACATAAACTGACATAACTCAAGTCACAGATTAGTTGTGTATTTATTCGGAAAGCAAAGGATGACTTTTCTGTTTCGAGGGTGCAGGTGATTTATACAGGCCCTGCTCTGGCTTAATTCGCCACAGGGTACAGCCCTTTGATATTGTAATAATACAAACTCTGAATATCTAAGATACGTATATTCAATCATTTTTTTTTTTGTATTTTTATACAAACAAAATAATCAATAGAATTTCTACACGCAATGACTTGAATTTGGACACATGAGTGAATTTTGAATCGGGTTTGGATTTTTACAGAATCACAGGGCTAAGACAACTTATTGCTTTTTTCATTTTGAAACTAAGAGCCCCTACACACAAGCTAGCATAGCGGTGAAAGCCAATGAGAAAAGAGATGCCAACTGAGAGTCAGAACGCCTTGTGCGCGGTGTCTTAAATATGCGTTAGACGAGCTAAAAAACTTGTAGTAACCGCATTGTGATGTTCATTCATAACGTATTTAATTACCTATTCCACAACACTCAAATTTAAAACATTCAGTTTTTACCGTCATCACGCCGTCGCCGCATGTATGAGCGTAGCCCGTATTTAAACAAGTCAATATACCATATATGTACATTTATAAATCGAAAACTATCTACCGTTAACGTTTCAAATAATATGCTATACTGCCTTAATAGTAAATGTATTCTTTTCTTATTCTATGAAGCTATAAGGAATGTACTACACACAGCAGCAGCATGTCACGTTGCCACAATATGTCAAATTTCCACAGCTGATTTTGAACTCTATCCTCAATAATAAACGCATTGATGGCAAGTTCAAAATTAGAGATGATTTTAGATCAAGCAGAAAAAATTAACAGTTTTGTGAAACCTGATGTGCTGTTGACTGTACTTTCTAATCAATATCTAAAGGACATCGCCGAAATGGCCCCAATACCATTAAATATTAATACTTCAATAATAATTATTAATTTGTTTATTAAATTGGAATCAAATATTTATTTGATACGGACAAGCTGCGATCCAAAATTAATATTTAAAAGTACTTTAACATTAACATTTTTATTCGCAAATATTCACATTCAATACACTTTAATTCTATAGAGTCAGATGGATGTTATTTACACGTCAGATCAAGAAGATCATATATTTTTATTAGAAAACCTTTAAATTATCGAACACAAAAACATTAAATTAAATTGACCGAAAATAAACTTAAATTTACTAAAAGCGCCATCTCTTGGTGGTTTTCTAAACAAAACATAAGGACATAAAAACTGAATATTATACAAACTAAATTCATTAACTGTTGATAATTCACTCTTGTTTATTCGGAAAGATTGATATTCATACAACTTATCCTAAAAACTACTTTGTTGCTATTACATTACCTTTATATTTCTCGTAAACATATTAACATCATGTCATTTACGTATTTAAGGCGCCATCTTTTGATGTAAACCATCAAAAAGTGATAGGTTTTTTTTTTAATTTTACGCTTATCAATAGGTATATTATTTAACTATTAGAATGATTTATTCGTCTATTGATTGACTTAGAAACTTTTACAAATCACAACGAAAAACCGACTTTCTTAAAGTTGAGTTTTTTGCTTCGACAATATAGACATCAATATCATATCATGTAGTTAGAGTGCCATCTCTTTGTGGTTTTCCAAACAAATTATAACCTCAAAATGAATTATATTTTGCGTGATAATAAGTTCTACAACTTGGTCGCGGTATAATAAATACATAATGAGAATTAGTTAGTGACACACAATAAAATAAGTATATTCCTATATTTTTTTGGCTCTGGGGCCACCAATGTATGGACGTTGAGCAATGTCCTTTGTCTTTCTCAATTAATTTTTAACCATTTTGTATATTCGTTGTTAAATGTATAATTGCATATTTTACAATTTTTTCATATTTGATAGTATATAAATAAATACTATAATTCCTCCTAATTGTTTAAGGATTCATTTATTAACAGGAAACTATGACTTGTTTATATCGTATCATTCATATAAACGCACACATGATTCTTCTAAACAAGATATTGCTGATCAAAGGTCATCTCATAAAGCAAAACACTTGTACCCAATAAATTTACACTTTAGGTATAAATAAATAGTGATGGTTACTTACTGGTGAAAAATAACTACAAACAATTTTTAACTTATTTTTGTCTTTGACAAAAATATAAAATAAATTTTTAAGTTTAATGTTTAATTGGGATTAACAAAATACTAAAAGTAAGAAAAAAAAATGTATACACTTTCATAGAGAGCAACTGACGGAATAAAAATGTCGTTCGACTATGGTTTTTAATTTTAAGCTCCTCAATCTTTGGACCGTAACATCTAAGGCAATTCGATCATAATCGAATGCATTCTGAACTCTGTTGCGCGCATATCCTTTGATTCCGAAATCAGCGTAAGCACGTGTATTTGATACCTAGTTTAGCCGTGAACGTCAAGGTAGCAGGCACACCAACTAATTTCAGGGTCTTATGTATGTCAATAAACTGAGTAAATAGTGATAAATAGCATGGTGACACTGTATATTCAGAGATATTGAAAAATCTTAGTGTACCTGCTAACTAAACGTCGAGGCATACTAGAAATACGATTCGTATAAGTTTATTCTTATAAGAATTACACGTCAAATAATTGTTACTAATTAGTGACTTCTATACTACGAACTTTCATTTTACTCACTTCAATAGAATTCTAGATTTTGATTTTTGGTGTGCTTGCTAACTTGACGCTTAAAGCAACGACAATTACAAACAAACGGGTAAAAATTTTAAGCTAAGAAATTATGATTCTCATGATACTTATAAAACCAAAGATTTCTTCTTTATTATTTTCTAAAACTAAAAGATACCATTTCATACTAAATATTAATGGATGCTTGTGATGAATTTTAATCTTTATTGTGCTGTAATAAGGTTCAAATGTATTTTAGTGATGTGGTACCATCGAGTAAAGAAGTGTTATTGGAAATCAGTCTTAATTTTCATGTAAGACAGTTTTCGGAACTATAAATCGCAGATTTTAAGACCCTCAAACTCAATGGTGCTACCTCGACGTTCACACTTAGTGAAAAATTTATGATTGACTGTTTTATGGATTAAAGAGACTTCAATTATCTGTACGTAATTGGTTATTGATTGTTCAGTATTTTGTTTTAATGTTTCAGACTCAACACTCCTTAAATAAATTGTTAGAATGGGAGAACAGTCGCCTTTACAATAAACTTGGTCTGCGCTGGCGTCTGACGAAGCAACACTGCGATTCTTCCTCCATGATGGAGTATGTACTTCTTATAGAATTCATACCTAAAATACCTATATACAGGCCTGATTAGACCAGAAGAGTCTGAATTCTTTTGTATAGACACATTATTGATCTGTAAATATAAGATAAAATGTTATACTAATTATATATCGTATCTAGAATATTGATGTTTTTACCGACGATATGCGCATACGCATTTTACCGCAGAGGTACGAAATCGTCTTTTAAATGTAACATAAACACCTACTGCTATATATACATATTAATACAATAATGATCCATTATACATATATCACACATTTTTATATGAAAAATCAAGATTTACTTTGAAATCTATGGTCTTCAAACTTTACAAGTGAAATACGCTGTATAATACTTACAATTAGATATCCCTACATAAGTATAATGCGTGGCACTTAAAACAAAATAGCGATTTACCGCGTGGACCCTTATAATATATGCCACATAAAATCGCCATTTTGATTTAACTTACCGCGCAATCTTGTTTGGGGCAATGCAAAATATTTATTGTAATAATATTGTTAATTGCTTCAGTGTATAGAATTAATGTTTAGGATTTTGAAGCTTTTATTGCTTAAAATGCAAACGTTAACTCGTTTATAGTATGAAGAGTACGTATTTAATAAAAAAAAACCTAGTGAATAATGTCGATATTGAAATTAGTGGTAATCGAGAATATTATTAAATTCCTCGACAAAAATTCTTTAAAATGAGGCTGTTTATACGAATTATTATACGAAGTCAGTTTTCGAAATATAATGCGACTTTGGTATGAGGTACCTAAGTATATTTTACTTAACTATTAATCAATACGCGCTTCAGCCAATACTTTTGTTTACTGTCTTCGACCTATAGACATTGCTTCAGATTAATTTCGATCTGATAGTTTATGTTAAAAAAAATTAAATTGTACCTTGTAAATTCTTCAAATATTATATGTTTAAGTATAAATATATATATATATATATATAATATTGATCACACGGAATTACCTATATAATACAATGAGGTACAGGCTCTGACAGATAGTCGCTCTTATTGCTAAGAGAATAAGAAACATGAAATGCATGTCAAATTTGTATTTTTTCAGACTTATTACTTAAGATAATATTAAGTATGAACGAGATAACTTTATAATAATACTGTAAAAATAATCCTAGGACCCAATGATAAAAATTTTCACAAATATTTACTTATTCAGATAAAGGTACTTGTTTTAAATATACTTTTAATTTGCTAAAACCTCTGCAGATCTACAAATTGTACACACGGCTGCACGTCAGGGTACCAGAATATGTCAAATTTCTGCAATGATTTTTTTTTTCTACCCACAATATATTAAGGTATAATATCTTTGACAGATTTGTATAGTCTGACGTACGGTTATATATATATATATATATATTTTTTTTTTATTTACGTCTTTTATTCAAATATTATTTATAATAGTTTGCGAAATGCAAAGCGGTCATGCCTTATTTTTTAACAATATACCAGTAAATAATTATTTTCTAATAAATTAATGATATAAGCAGACTCGTTGGTGCTACGGATTCTACTAAAAATGTATTCACTAAAGGTGACTGGAAAATCTTTACCATAAGAACTATAGTGAACACTTATGCTATGTATTTGGGAATGGATTATAAAATTTGGGTATCGCTAAGAAAACATTTGCTGCCACTTTATATCCTCTTTTACCCGGTCAACACTGTTAAATCTTGCTTTTACTTGCCAATTACAAAATTATGTAGGTGCCTAGTCGTAGTAGGTATACAACGAAAATAAAGACTATCAACGGCTTTCTTAACGTAACAGTGAATTATAGTTCTCTATGTCCTGAATTAATTGATCGTACAAGCACCTACAACTTTTTTTGTGTTAATTATTAAATACAATTCAAATGATTTAAAAATACTTCTAAACGGTTTTTCGCGTGTATTTAAAATAATGCAGGCACTTGCGAAAATATGAATTATCGTAAACATAAGCAAATTGCCCTTTACTTGGACATTAGTCATGTTTAATTTCCTATTAAATATTAAAACATGCTGCTCGAACAGTTGCAGCCAATCAGAGCCTTTTAAATCCGAGAATTCATCAGTTATATGACTCTGTGGATACAAAGAAACTATTACCCTAATTATTAGGTAGTGGGTTCACGCGCCAAGACTACACAGCATTGTCACTCGAATATAGGATTTATTTAATTACATCGTAAGCATTTGTAATATTTTCAATTTCATGCATCACTAAGGCATCTTTAATTTCGTTGTCACCAACAAAAACAGTTAGGTTCATTTATTTATCTTTGTGTTGTAACATCAATTCAGTTGCTATTATAAAAGATATTTGGGAAGTTAAAGTTAATTCCAATTCTGTGCAATATAATAACCAGTTAATTCACAATTACGTAGGTATAGATAGGTACGTTGCGTTTTAAGATTCAAACACTTAATACGAGGGTCAAACTGAAAGTTCTTAGAAAATCAAAAACTGATTACATTAGCCAGTTATTAGTTTTATTATATATTTTCAAAATATTGTCCATTCACGTCAATACACCGCTGCATGCGATGGAACCACTGGGAAAAGCACTTTGCCCACTCGTCCTTAGGGGTCTCTTCAATGGCATCGCGATACGCAGCCACCGCTTCTTCAGCATTCATAAACCGCTTTCCTTTAAGTTTTTCTTTAATTTTTGGAAATAAATAAAAATCACAAGGCGCGAGGTCGGGGCTATACGGCGGGTGACCCAGTAATTCAACGTTTGATGTCGCCAAATAGTCGATCGTTCGCTTGGCGGTGTGCGACGAGGCGTTGTCGTGGTGAAGGAGGATCCTACTGCGAGGTCGTTTCTCTCGAACTTTTTCCAAGACAAGTGGCAAACAATTGGTAGTGTACCATTCTGCAGAAACTGTTTTTTGATCCTCTAACACAATTGTTGCAAAATGACCTATCCTTCCAAAGAACGAGGCCACCATTATTTTTCCCGCACTTCGATCTCTCTTCACTTTAGTTGGCAACTCCTCGAAAGGAAACACCCACTGAGCAGATTGTCTTTTGGTTTTAGGATCATAACAGTAAATCCAGCTTTCGTCACCTGTTAGTATGTCGAACACAGCATTTGAGTCACCTCCGTTAAATCTTTCAATCATTTTACGACACCAATCCACACGATGGAGTTTTTGAGCCTCAGTCAAATTATGAGGTATCCACCGGGCGCAAAGCTTCCTGACCGCTAAATGTTCGTGGAGGATTTTGTGCACTTGACTCATACCGATGCCTAAGCTTGTCCGAATCTGTTGATAGGTCACTCTTTTGTCAGTCTCTATCATACGCCGCACAACACAGATGTTATCTTCAGTCGTCGCCGTAGAAGGCCGTCCCTCACGTAAATCATCAGTGAGATTAGTGCGACCACGTTTAAACTCATTAAACCAGTTGTAAACAGTCGCACGAGATGGGGCTTCATCGTGAAAGGCCAATCGTAGTCTATCATAACTTTCTTGTTGACTTAAATGACATCGAAAGTCATAAAAAATCATTGCACGAAAATTTTCTCGTGTTAAATTCATGATGACGTGACACAGACAATTTTCAATTTGCCGCCAAATCGTAAAACAAATGACAAATGAATGAAATATATACTCAGTAATATTGGCAAAGAGTTATATTTTCAAATTTTAGAATTATTTTTTTATTATATTGTTTATAAGTGGCCAGTTCTAAGAACTTTCAGTTTGACCCTCGTATTATAATGTATCTTTTGTACCTGAATGTCGATGATAGTTTCTGCAGTGGAAATAGGTATAAGTTGAAAGCCATAGCAAAATATGTATCGTGAAGCTTAAGTATTTGTTTATATTGCGCTAAGGAAATTTTCGGAACTGTGTTATTAGGTCATTAGTTTCCACTAAACGTATGTTATGCTACGTATTCTATATTAGAAAAAAAAATCGCCCTCTTTTCCCTTTTCAACATGTTGTAAACGGTGGCTGTTTGTTTGCCGTGGTTCTAGCTCTTTCCAATACCGTATCATTTAAACTCATGAATATCCATATACTAGCGTAACTTGGAATGTTATCTTGCCGTCATAGTCTCGTATAAAATTAAACTGTTCTTTTAAAAGCAACGGTTGAAAAGTGAACAGGGTATGTTGACATTAAGTTGTAAAATAAGGAATTGTAAATATTGTAAGACCTATAGATTATTTTTGTTCAAATAAATCTCACTTTATGTGATGTAATAATTCATGTTTTATTATATATAACCCACATATATAATTTTATTATACTACACCCAGCTGCACAAAAGTTCGTACCCATCCTATCGCAACGACGCGGCTAACACTGACACGAAGCGCCACCAGTCGGTCATCGGCGGGGTTAGACAAAGTACAATTTGTTGCTTGCAAAATACAAGACAGTAACGGCTTCGACAATTCAACTGTATCGTGTTCAAGAGGCAACAATAGTTTGAAGTTTCTATTTTGTTTATGACGCAACCTGATGGCATCTTTTTTTTTATCTTTATACACGGAAATTTTGCCAACATCCCGTAGTACACGTGATTCAAGAGACTGAACGGTAGTTATAATTACATATGTACGGTAATTAATTAATTCTTCCTTGAGATTGTTCTTTACTGCTGTATGCTGCGTACGGATGCGAACGCCTCGCGTCAAGTGCGAAAGGTCGTCGATAGATGAGCATCGACCCTAAAATACGTCAGTCATCTCGTTAAGTCGAGCCCTTTTACTCTCTTCTCAGTCGTGCACACTATGACAGAATGGTCGTGGATTCTCAGAGAGCATACAATATTATGGGTATGTCCGAAGATATAAGATGACAGAAGAATGTATGCCATTCATTCTTCGGTCATCTTGATCAGAACTGTTTCCCTGGCGATATACCTCCATTTCCGTCAGTTTGCTGTACTGCAAAAAAAAGTTCTCTCATGGTAGCCTGCGTCACTGATTTTACAAGAACTGTCCATTGTGTAGCCGATCGGCTTCTTGATCTCTTGGAGTCAACGCCGTCCTGTACATCAGTACATCGATTTCTCGTTCCTGGTAATGTATCCAAAGTATTTCAGTATTAGCAATTGTACATAGGGTAAGGATGCCGAATATGAGATAGTCGCCAAATATGAGATAGTTAGGTTTTGGCGAAACTAATCGCCGCAGCCATTTGGTGCTACTGTCGCTAGAAGCCACGTGGCAAAAGATCAAAACGTGTGTTAGTGCTTCCCAGTCCAAGGCGAAGTTAGTTTGTGTACACGTGGATTTTCACGAAACCCCAAAACCAAATTTTCTCATCAAATATTTACAAGGTATACTACAGCTGTATTAATTACACTGAATGATTTTAATTTACCGTCATTCTATCAATTATATCATGAATTTTATGATACATATGCAGTTTTATTACATTTTCTTTACTGAGAAATAATGTGCAGCCATTTTGTTGAATGTAGATGTTTTCCTAATATGAGACATGCGAGTGCTCCTAAAATGAGATATCTCGTATTAGGATATATAAAAATATGACTATTTGAAAAATCCTTTTTACTAGATGGGGCCGATCAAAAGGAAATCCTGAGACCATGGATCATGGAGAAGTAACCACAGATCGATTTTTGTGTTTGTGTTTAAATATCTAAGATTTAGAATAAAAGTTTTGACTTTTGTTGATTACCTACTAATATTGTTTAATAAGTATGATTTGAAAATCTCTGTGATTATGATGAGTCTGACATAAATCATATCTAAGATTTAGCATAATACTTTTGTTTTTGATACTGTTTAATAAGTGCCATTTGAAAATCACTGATTATGATAAGTTTAATATAAATTATAACTATGTACGTTACATACATATATTAAGTCGTACTCAGACCTATTTATTTAGGAGTATGATGTTGTTAATTAGAGAATATAGCCAATAAAAAGTTTAATTCAAATTAATTTCTTTCCTTTTTCTCTAAATCTATACTCAAACCCTAAAGAACCTAATATGAGATACTGTCTCATATTAGCAACCCTCAGTATCTCATAATAGGAGACCATTTGCCTGAGACGTAATTTCTGAACTTCTTAATATTTTTTCATATAATAAAAAATCTATTATACTCAGAACTAAACGGTCTCTCATAAATAAACTTCATTAAATACCCTATCAAATATTGCAATTTTCATAATGATTAGTGCAATAATTTATGTTTTATATCCAAAAATAAAAATGGTATCTCATATTCGGCATCCTTACCCTATAGTCGACGAGAGTCGCTACTTGAACTTGAGTTCCTCTTCAGTATAGACTTATTAGAAAGGAAAGCAGTACAGGGGATTCTTTCTTCAATATCCTGTCTCCGAGGCATCAATTTATTGACGATCTTGTAAGCACAGGGACCCAGTTTAAACTCCATGGAGAAATATTGGAAACACGAGAGATTTCACAAATTCAAACTTCTCCTATCTTTTCATACCTTGTTGAGCTTTTCATACACGATTTCTTGCTCACATACGTCATTATTATGTTAGAGCAGAGGTATACTTTAAATGTCCGGTCTGTTGAATATTCTTTGTTTTTTATTTCGTAGGAAGGTTGCCTTCTAAATACTTTTCAGAATTAGGTACATAACTTAACTGCACCTGATGCCTACTTATTACTTAGTGTAATCGTATTAATAGCCAACTAGCAAATTGTAAACAATCAGCGAAAAAGTTCATAGCCGGTTCGCACATTTAGAACTAATAAAAAGTAATATGTACACACAGCTGCACATCAGACTATAGGTACATTGTGGACTTTGTACCGACCGTGCTTCGTATAGAACTTTCCTACTGACATCGGTATGCTTACGGTGGTAGTGTGTAGCGTGACGTGCAGCCGTGCGTACATGAATGTTACACCAAAAAAAGGTCACGATGACTTTTATAATTTCAATTTTTACTTTTTTTTAAATAATAATTAAAAACACCAATTTAATATATAATTATCATATTTTTGATAATAATATTTGAAAAATATTTCACCACTAGAATCCAACACTATCCCTGGTGAAAATAGACGTCAGAATATTTCCAAAAATGTTATGGAACCGTATGTAAAAAAAATACGTTCCCATTAGTACTGAACTACTCAAATAGGAACTGTAGGTTGTTAAAAGTAAGAAACTGACAAAAACAAACTTAATAATTGATATTAATTTAATTAAATAAATTCATTGTATTATACACGAAATACTTAAGGCACTTAGCGCTATGGTCCCCTCAAATAATAATTATCATTTAATGACACAATCAGAATTAACGAAAATAATTAACAAATTTATGTAAATTAATTTAAGTATAAAAATATTGCTTGTAGTTAACCAGATTAAATAATATTATTAAGTAAGAAATAGTCAAGGAAGCTTGAAACTTAAGATTTTAGAATAATGACCTGTTATAAAATAATAACAATTATCTCTATTAATGACTTATTAAAACTGTCAGAATAAATTATATATACAACAATTGATTGCTCGATGATCTGTATTTACAATGGCTTAGGTTCCTTTGGTCCAATTCCAAAATTATAAATATTCAAATGAAATTACTAACTTCGCTTTAATCTTAAAACCCATACAAATCACCACTAATTTTATAATGAGCGTTGTTTCACTACTTCTTCTTCTTCTAAACTTTAATGGCACTTTGCGTCACCACAATACTGCCAACTTCGAAGGAGGTTATTACACGATTTAAATAATCAGGTTGAATCAATGTCAACCAAACAATTTTGAATTACCAATTCTATCTTTCTACATGGATTTACCAAAAACAACACGTGAAACGTTTTAAATACATTATTTAAAAAATATTTTATATAAACAATCATTTAATCATCACCATTTTGAGTCTTACTACAGACCATTATTAAATTAACTAATTGTGTTTAAGTTAGTGAGCGAAAGATAACACCACTGATATTAAAGTTTTAATTGATTATTGTTTCACTAAAGATGAGGTTCAAACAATGACATTTTATTATTAGACATATCATACCCGTATTTTATACGTTTTAAAACGGCCTAGTCTTTATTGTGATAGCGTTACATTATATTACAACCATAAAGGGCGCGAAGAAATAAAAAAATAGTTATCTCCCTATTAGAATCATACAGCATACCTCTTGTTAGAACGAGATACACATACTCGCTTAACTTTACTTGTCAACTCCAATTTCCCCTAGTGGAAGAACACGATGTACGAAAAAATGGCCGCGTTCAATGACGTTTTATTATTTTTATTAAAATAAAAATGAGCAAGTACAGGACTTACGCACGAAATTATATCTTTTTTACTTTGCCTAAACACTCAGGAAGGCATCTCTTCTACGACTTTACACTGAAAATGACACTAGCCACAACGCTTGCTAAATGTGACAAAAGTGAAACTCGGGTAATTGCTTTGTTTTATTGTTGTCAATGTTGTGCGCAAATAAACCCATCTAAACATTTTAATACATCATTGGTTTAAAATACAACGCATTAGGTGTCTGTCACACACGACGTGGACCAGGCATGCTACACAAGATAAAACTGGTGCGACTCACCACACTTATGGAGAAGACTAAAGGACACGTATAAACTTCGTACTTCCGGTAAGTTGGATTTCTACGGTAAGTTGGTTAGATTCTATGTCAGCTCTACGCAAACGAAGATTTACCATACGCCATATTCGTAGGAACTTACTGTAGTTAAATCGTTCCACCTGATCGGCATTTGCCGTGTATCGAAATTTACCCTTCTGCGCAGTTACATGGATGAGCCACATTCGTTATATCTACCCTCAGTTTTTTAACATGTCATACTTATCGTATATAATACAATTAACGTTAATTAAAAAAATATATATAATTTACTGCTACTTCATGTTGTTTTAAACTGTTCTATTAGACCAAGGTCAACCATGACCGTGCTATAAAAGTATCAAGTATAAAATAAGCAATACTGTCTACTATGCCCAACTACACCACATCAACGGGACGAACGGTTGGGAACAAACATTGTATTGAATAGTACCAGATGCTAACCAATAGCCCTTACCGAAACATCGACCAAAAAACGTACAGAACATGAAATGCTCCGTGCATAGCGCAGTGTTGGTCATTTACGGAAAGGATTACCATTCTTTACAAAGAATATATTTTACCTGGCACGTTTCTATCACGGTCATGGTATAATATGATGTAGTAGCAAACAACTTTAATATAAAAACATATATATGTTTTTGTGGTATATATGTTGTGTTACCTTCGTTGTTTCAGATGTTTTCATAATACAAGTGGTGCTTAATTTGGAATATGAGTAATGTATGTTATTTTATTTTTTATTAAAATAACCAATAAAATTATTTTTGGTGTAATATGACGTATATTCGGCTGTAAGCGGTCGAATAATAAACATGTAATTTTACCTAACCTAAATCATGAAGTCTCCAAATTTGCGAGGACGATTAATGGAAGATTCAGTAATTGGACGTTTCTGACATTGATTAACAGGATTTAGATAATAGTATATTTTAAAGGCGATCAACGATACAAATTGGACTAAATTAACCCAAACATTCACAAGTCATTATTTATTCAGCTTAACTAGAATCTCATAGATAAGTAGTAAATTAAATCCTACGGACTAATTTTCAGATCAAATAAAGACTAAAATATAAAACAAATATTACACAACCATTACCAACTAAAAATATATTAATACTCTATGCGGGGGCGTCGCAATTTAATAGAAGCAATAATATATACAATCAATCAGTCACATTGCATTGCATTGTTACAATATTTTAAATATACAAATCACGTTTTCGGGCCGCCATAACTAACATATCATCGCATACCTAACTATTATATTATGGCATCAGTGGTGAATTTTCTAATTGTACATATACATGGCTACACAGATAATTATGTAAATTAAGTGTTCAAAAATCGTTATAAAATCTGACCTTAAACATTGGCTACAAACGTTTCTGACTACATATTACATGCCATATCGATTTGATCGTAAAAAAAATCGTATAGCAGCAATTTAAAATAAGACATCAGTCTTGGTGCCGTTGACATATCACATAGCGTAGTCTAATATACACATGACGGCAAGTAATAATATCAATAGAAATTGGGGCTAGTTGTTTTAGTTAGCACATTTGGACGTAATTGACGGGAAATTGTCCTTTGATTCCGTTGCACTGACCGAAATACCACTCGTCACTGAGTTTGTGCAACACTGTGATAGTGTCTCCGGTGAGGAACTTTAGGTCTCCAGGCTGTGCGGGCTCGAAGTCGTACAAGGCCTTCGCGATGCCGGCAGCTGACGGTGCGGCCGCAACGTCATTCGGTAATGGCACCTTGATCTCCACGTAGTTCGACGGAAATATACCTTCGGCGCCACTGCGAAGACTGCCATACAGCCAATCGGCATCTACCCGCCTTATTAGATTTATCCTAGAATTGGTCTGTAAAGAGAGAAGTTGCTGATAGTGAAACAATTACAAATCCGAATAAAGGTACACTTTATTACACTTCTCAAATTTAAAAACGCTACACTTCAATAGGGAATATGCGTCTGATTCAAATAAGGGTTAAATATATTTTATTACAATCGTTATTGCTTTAGAATAAAGTCTATCTAAATGTTTTTCAAAATTTGTTCGATTTCGACTTGAAAATAATTATTAAAAAGTGCAAAATAAATGCGGTAACTTCAAAATATTTAAACGCCATGCTACTTGTCAGAGCGGATGTGACGGAAATGTACACGTATAGGGATGCCGTTATTACAAAAAGTTAACATCGATGCAATAACATCAAAGTATTAAGCCGCAAAATAAACAACAGATTACAATTTAAATGATGTTTTAGGCTTTTATTTTTATTTCAACAATTTGGTAAATTATATGTTTTATTAAAATAGTCTATTATACTTTAAAAAATCGATTAGTTGTTAATCGATATGGGTAGAAGAATAATAATCAATCACTCAAAATCCATATTGATTTAAAATGTCATATCTCTAGTCGTGTACTTTGACGTCACGACAAGCGCGCCAAAAATTCCGGTGTTTAAACTGCTCGTAGCTATTACTTATTTTCGTCAATGATTAATGTTACAAAAATTTAGTTTTTCGGTGCCGGGTATTTTTTTACAGTTATATATCGATGTTAATTATCATATAAAACCATTTTCCAATAATGTGCATATTCCATATTCTGCATTAATTAAAATCAGCCTAAGGGTCTGTACATATCTGACGCATCTTATGTGTATATTGTTATATTAGTACGCGACGGAAGTATACGGAGAATGGCCCAAGAATGACCCACCACGCGATCCAAGTGCGGATTGGTGAGTGTGAGTGTGCAATGTCTTAACGAGCCTTCCAAAATACGTAGGAGTTCGAGATAATAATATTATGGTAACCCATCCTATGACCGACCCTTGCGAAAGTTGCTTAACGGCCGTATCGCAAACCGAATGCGCTTACCACTTCATTATAGAGCTCCTCTTATGGTTATTTCCTATTAGGGACAAGATATCATACGATATAGTAGGCAAACAACTTTATATTGAAGAGAATCAAGATACTTCAATTATAAGTGACAATTAGCTGAAGGTTGTTGCGTAATTGATTTACTCGCACGGGATGGCCAGTAACGTTCTGACAGCAAGTTTCCTTAACATTTTCAGAGTCGTGAAAACCTTCAAGTACATGGAACATTGGTAGTTTTCATAATAAAATATTATAAGCATATCGAGAGTACTTATAAAATATTGAAAGAATATACACGTGGAAATAAAAAACGTCACGCTTGATTCTATACATAGTTCCTAATTTATGAAATATGTATGTAGGTACCTAACGTGAATTTATAACGTTTTATCACGCCACCTGAATGGGTTGCTACGTAACCGCACTTTGTGTAAACGAAATACACACATGTTCATATCTTTCATTACAAAGACTTAAAAATAACGATTGTTTAATAGAAGTACATATGTTACAAATGAGGAATGACTTATATTAAAATATTCAGAATATGTTGTTATATGTTATGTCAGAATATGTTGTTATTGTTATATGTTATATTTTTAACATTGGCATATTGCTGAATATAATTTTAAAGACAAATACGCGGCAATATATTATCAAACAATAAGGTGACTCGAGAGTAATTTAGCCTATCGTGCTGTCAATAAGTAGTAATAATGATTGAAGGCCTTGCCTTCGCGATGAGGTGTAATGACCCTACTCGTGCAATCAATCGCCCGGTGCAAGATTAATACTTAACGTTTGACCTGGTTATTATTACGGACGTGGCATACGAAACAAGCTCATCATCATTATAATTATACAGAGGCGTATTCACAAAGGGTTCTTTCACGTTTTCCAGATCGATTAAAAATCATTCATCGTATGTACTTATGATTCAATTAACAACTTATCACAAACGCTGGTGAGGAGCGCTATTGTCGTGTAAATCATAGATCGGGGCTGTTTCGGAAGAGGCGCCGCACACTTCAGTTTATTAGTGTGTGAAATCGTGATTAAGTATATGTGTAAGTGTGCCTGTGTGATAAGTCTATGCAAGTTGAGAGAAAATCTCAAATACGCCACTGATTTTAAATGACAAATAAATACCCAAAATCAGGCTGCCATTTTATTATAGAAACAACATGCAGGATGAATGAGTAGAAGCAATTACATAAAACTATACAAAAATCGAATGACATCATCATTCAAAAACTGTTGATAAATCTATTTTTAAACCTTGAATTGGAAAATACGTCTCAGTCACCATAACGATCTTTGATAATCAACTAAATGGACATAAAAACATGATTTAAAGACAATCAAATCAAAAAGTTGATTTTACAAAGAAATATGACCTTGTATTGTTTTCATTTAATAGCAAAGAAAACAAAAGTCGCAATTATCCACCTGATAAGATTAATTTAATTGGGCGTCGTGAATCCTAATACCATTTCCATCTGTACTGTAACGTAGTCTGTATTTAAAATTATAATTCGCAGTAAGATTGTTATCGCATCATTCATTGAAATCTGTATATATTTTTAATTTGTATATATCATTAAATATTATATGATATTATCTTTCCAATCACAACTTGCACACAAATTTATTGGAAATAAAAATTCTGCGCCTCGATTTCTTTCAGTACTTTCAGAGTATTCTAAAAAACAAAGACCTAAAATAATGTTCGTTCGTGGCGGAAGCGCCAAGTATGATAACGAATTAATGATAAAGAGTTCCCGTTTTATTATGATAAATAAACACCTACTCAATGGAATCACCACGAACATTCAACAAGGGATATCGCATTTTTTTCTATATTAATCATTAATTTCCCAATATAACGTAAACGCCCAATACAAAACAAAAGTCCGCGAACGTCACATGAACCGGACAGATGGCCCAACACTTGCGTGACGTCAACAGTCTACGCATACAACAGTAACTTAATATTTACACATTTATTATTTCACAAAATATAATGTTCATTCATAGTTTCTAATTGGGGTTAGTAATTAATTTCTCTAGGTATAAAAAAATTAACCTCATTCAAGTTCAAAGGAAAACAAAATTGACATTTTAGTTGTAAGTATATGAGAACTTAACGGATTCTTTTCCGTTATTATAGTTTGATTTATACGTTCTAATAAAAATTCTGCTAGTCATGGAGTTTTCCTTTAGAGAAAGTGTATAATTTAAATCGATAGATGGTCAAAAAGTTAGCTTTCTTAAAGAAATAGCAATATTAATTTTGTAACAATATTCAAAGGCAGACATCGGATTCAAGACAGTGCCTGTTGTTACAAAATAATATTAAAACACTGTTATAATTAGAACTAACTAGGCCTTGGTTAAAAAGAAAATGATTCAGGCTCTTTTATTCTTTAATTAAAACAAATTACGTTATAATATTTCTGTAACTGTTCTTTTATACGTATTTGATTCTTCAGTCGTGAAACACAATATTGAGGGCGATTAGTTTTCCACTTTCAAAATATATATTTCATTATATATTACACTGATACCAGTCATTTTTAATAACAAGTCAAACTCTAGGCATAGCGCAATTCAGTCTACGATTGTGGAAGTTAAGCAACTAGGTATGGACAGATAGGACAGTCAACGGATTGATGACCAAAATTTTGTGATATCAATGTCCATCCGTGACAAATTATACTATACATAAAGTATAATATAATATAATATAAATAAAGTATAATATAGTATGGAGTCTAATTGAAGTACATTATTTTGACCATCAACTTTGCCGACCGATTTCTTGTGACTAAGAATTTTACTCAAAATCGTAACTAAACTCACCGAAAAGCAAAGGTCATCTGGATGATCAGTGAAGTAGTCATAAAGCGCCACTCCATAAGGTTTCTCTGCTTCATCTTCATCAAGGTCCGTATTGAAGCTCGTTACTTCGACGTCTCCTGCCCACTCGAACGGGATATCTTCATCGGTAATAGGCGGCGGTGGCGGAGGCGGGATTGAAGGCATAGGTGGTGACGATTCTCGCTCTGGAGAACTCTCCCAGCTTGGCTTTGAATTCTATAACAATAAATTCATCATCATAATTATTACCCTATTAACGTCCCATCAGCTGGAGCCTTCATGCCAAGCGCTAATTAGTGACTTGAGGGTTTAAGGTATCTACTAAAGAGCGGCTGAAGGAGCTTGAGTCCAAAGACCATCAACTATGATTGCAGAAGTATGCAATCTTAGTCTGACTGAATGTGCTAACACTGTGCCATCGGACTTTAATAAATTAACAATTAAGTGTAAAACAATATTGCATTACAGGTTGCCAAGAATAGATTGCTGCTTAGCAATAAGGCTGCCTATTCTATATGTATAGCCTGTGTGTATTGTGTGTGTAATAAATTATACCTATTATTATACTCCTTACACAGTGAATCTGTTTAAAGTAGCTTCAAATAAAACCCAAAACTAAAATTTCATCATTACTACAAAATTATAACAACACATGAGTTTTCTATATCAAATAAGGCAGTTATGAATGAATACTTATAATGTTACCTAGTAGCAGTCTTACAAACGTAATGTGATTGGCCTTGATATGGCAAGGTTTCAAAAGATGTTAGATTATTAATAAGACATATACAGTATATGTATTAGTAATAGGCTTTTTATAGGTAACAATAAAGATTATAGCACTTAGATTTTTGGATAATTATTAATTTCTACATTTTGAAGATCACCCTCAAAAAGGTTTTAAGAATTGCAACAAGGTTTAATTAATGTTCATTCTATATTTTGCAGATTTCTAAAAAAACAATTATCCACATGACAAAATAGCATATTTTGTCTAGCAATAGCAATTATTATACAAAATGGCAGTGAGATACATCCAATACACATGTTATACAGATTCTTATGAATACTAATTAACAACTATCATACAGCACCATAATTGGTAGTAATTAAGTAAAATGGTACAATACTCTAATTGATTTCAAGGTTATAACACAATTCGTGATGAATGTTATAAAAATACATATGCAAACTTTAAAAGGTACTTACAAAATTACTTCCAAAGCAATTCCCCACTTTTTGTATAGGTGTGGTGGTGTTCACATTCATGAGAGTCACAGGAAAACTGCTGCCCAATGTATTCTTCAACAATGCAGAGTTATCAGGTGGCTTTGGTCTGGCTGGTTTAGCTCTGATTATAGTTGGCCCTTTTATGTTATTTCCGGCATAACTATGTTGACTACTAATTTTCGCTTCATAAAAATCTTTATCAAACACAGGCTTCCGCATAATTGGAGGTTTAATTGATACAGGTTGGGGTGAAAATGGATCTACAGTAGTAAAGTCTTCTAAAGTATCATCTTTAGGGATTTTTTTTCTACTATTTAAGAATAAATCAAAATCATCCTCAAAGCCACTTTCACTTTGCGATGCATTTCCACCATTATTAACATTAAGGTGATTAGTTGAATTTGTTGCATCTGATCCAAAACTATCTACACTTAAACCGTCACTACTTGATCTAGTTGTAAATGTAGGAGAACTTGGAGGGGAAGACAAATCTATTAAAGTTCCAGTTTGTAAATTCTTTGGTTCACATTTTGGAAACACTCTATTTGTATCCATCTCAAAACCAAACTCATTATTCATTTGGTTGTTAACAGTTACCGTATTATTTGAATTACTTGTAGCAGCTTTTTTACGAGATAACAATGAAGTGAGTACAGTTGGTTTTCTTATGAAGTGTGATGGCTTGGCAGGAACTTCTGGGTGTTTTTTGACTCTTGGTGGAGGGGGTCGTGGTGGGGGCACTTTTTTTTGCACAAACTGTGGAGTGGGTTCAAACACATCTGCACCAAATGGGTCATCATTCCAATTAGTAACTGGTGAGTAGCGATTAACTCCCAGTCTGGGCACAGCAGGAGCTGGCCTAGAGGGACCCTTCATTTCTGTGAACAAGAAAAAAAATTAACATTATTATTGGAAAACAATCATATTTTAACTTAATTATTTATTTTCTTAATCAAAAGAGGATCAAACTTTGTAAACTAGGATAGTTGCACCTTTGATGAATATAAATTATATCAACTTAAATCATATTTTTAACATTGATCATGACAATTTATATATTTTTTTGGCATTAAAACAACATATTGATTTTATTTCAATGATAATAAAGTAATAATAAATTTAATCTTGCAAGTGTTTAGGATGGCTAATCCATTAGCTTTTAAGACTTGTTTGTATAAACAAATAATCAGACTCAAATTATATCTATGATTGTACTGATAAAAATTAAAGTCAACTATATGCTAATGACAATGACTCACTTTGTTTGTAAAAAGGTAAGTAATCTTGGTGCAAGCACTAAATTTGTAATATGATATGATCACAGAGTTCATTCACACATGTCTCCATACAAAGGTAATAATGGTAAACTGTGGTAATTGTAATTTCACTGATTAATGGAAAACAAAAAATCACAACTCAACAGCAGAGTGTAAACAACTAGTTTGGTCGATGTATGCTTGTCTTGACTGGAAAGCAGCAAAAAATAAATGAAACAACTAATACGCCATCACAAACGTTATTTTCATATCAACATCTACCCACCCACCAACGATAACAGTACAGTAGACTGCTCCGCGTAATAGACAGTGTCACTGTGTGCCAGGCACAGCGATACACGACCTTGACTGGGTACGCACTAATAACATTTTACTATGCGGAATAAATAAAGTGCACGTTCTAGAGCAACAATATGTGCCTAATTTTATTTGATAGACTCTTAAATAAGTTTCCTGAATACTTGACGTAGATATTGCTTACCTTGTTTGAATAAATCCATCAACGCAACTGCAATGAATAACGTAGTTTTACTAAACTCTATTGTTGCACTAGATAGTAAAATAATCAAACTACTAACATATAAGCATATTTTTCTTTTGTTTACTATTTGAGATTATAAAAATTAACACTGTCGCGATTTGTTTGCGAAGCACCACAGACCCACAGACTAAAGCGAATAAAAAAAAATAGCGGTGAGGCGTATTTATCGTAACAAGTAAAAAGAACAAGTATTTCCCTACGGAACATAACAACTGTTATTCGTAACAAAAATATCGTAACAGCAGAATCCGCTGTTATCTCCTGTTATTGCTCTGCGGCTGTTATCCCTGTGTTCCTGTTATCCTAGCTAGAACAGTTCCCCTCTCATTCTTACCTATGAAGTCAAAAAGAGAGCCACCTAGTACTTTCTTCTAAATATCAGGAAATTAAAGTTGACCCCAAATCATAGTTTTGCTTCGTTGTATCAACTAATGTTAATCGTCTATTTCTCTCTCTTATTCTCTCATACAGGTCATAAGGCAATAAAAAGAGATGGTGACTAGTATTTTATAATACAAGACATTTGTATTGACACTTCTTTATTCCATGATACATAAAGCAGATAGACTCCTAAAATTTGTTGTATAATTTAGGCGTAGGAATACGCTTGTATATATTACACATAAACTTTTGTTATTGTAACAAAAACACGGGAAAAAATTGAATAGTCATTAAATTATTTTATAAATGATGAATTGTTTTCATTCAAATACGATCATGTTAAAGACATTTATACAAAAATAAAACCAATAATGCCTGGTTTAAAAATGCAAGTATATTTAATTTTATTGTACAAGTATCCGAACACGGGGTCGGCTGTCATCTGTCAATGTATTACTTGGGACTTTATTCTGATAGCAGCAAAGGCTTTTTAAACAAATGACAAGAAAATTTACTTCTTTGACCTGATTGGTAGTTATGTTGAAGCGTTATTGTCAAGCTTATGTTGGTACAAATAAAGAGCATAGTTGCTTGATAATGATTAGTCGTATTTTTGACATTCGAACGGTCGTTTTTTTACTGATTTAAAGAAAATAACAGGCTGTTATTTTATAACAGGTATTTGAAACTGTTAAATTTAGATAACAAGAACAGCTGTAACAGGTATTTGATTTGACCTGTTACGACTCATCATTAAAAAAAAAACACTACGTACCTTGGTCATAGACTTAGTACTATTACAGGAATTATAACTTCTAAAAATTGTAATTACAAAAAAAAAACCTTATCGCTATTGTCTAAAGTAAACTTTAAAATGTTCTTTGTACAGAAACTAATCTGAGGTGAGAAAGATAGTTATAACGGAGGCCGCATGCCTCGTTCTTTAAACTAAAATAACTCTGTGGAAACATTTGTATTTTCATAGCAACTTATGTTTGTAAATAAAATACGTTTAATCCAAAATAAATTTTAAAAAATCGCCAACAATGAGGAAGTATTTAAAAAAAATAAAGAAACTACAAAAATTTGTCACTAGATGGCAGCACAAATTGTTGGATCTAAACGTCAATTCATGACGTTAAACCAAAGAGAATAGAATTGTCAGTGTTGTTATGTATCTGATAACTCGGATTAACATCGAGTTGAAATTTAATTTGTTCGAGTTATGCAAACGAAACTCGATTAATAGAATGTAATCTTTGAATAAATTTATTTTTTATTTGTATAGAGGAAAATGGAAACTAACATAATGGAAGTGAGCACAAAGGTTTTTTTTTTAATTTATGGAAATCAATTGAATTAATGCTGTCACATAATTAAAGGTGGTATTTAGCTACGGTATACAATAATATTACCGCCAAATAGTTTTTATAAATTATGCCATAGTAGGTCTAGGAATTTTTCATTATAATATTTAACAAAAGTTCTGAAAACAATAACAACTAGGTAAGTTAGTTTTATTGCTATTAGTTGTTTATTCAACTTGCAACAACAAAACTACATCAAGTCTCAATAATATTTTTATATTACGTATGGTGAATGGGTGAATAGGCTTTATTAATCAGCAACAAAATTCATAAAAACGATAATTATAATAAAAAATACATTTATTGTTTATATACTTACCCGATGTGTATCAAATATACTTTGTTTTCGTACAAAATAACATAACTTGTGGCTAAAATGACGTTTGTGCAAAGTGTAACGTGCAAATAACTTGTGCTTTCGAAATTAAGACTTTAAAAAGCAATGAGCAGTTATAAAATCTTATATTCATAATTAAATCATCTTAATAAACAATCAACAAGAAACGTCTGTTCATAACGAACAGCAGCTTTAAATTTCAAAATTACAAAGACACGTACAGTTATTATACTATTGCTACTGATCTTGCATAACGACGGCAGACGTCGAGCCATGTGTCAAGTTAATTCGTACGTTGGGTATGTGCTTTTTGGTTCTTACAATAATATTGTTAAAAATAGATTGACTTCCTACACAACGTACTCTAGAAATCAGTTTTATTGAAATATATTATTTACTAAGTACCTAGAGTAGTCATGCTCTCTTAAAATCTCTACGGTGGTGTCGTGTGCGTTAGGTCGATACGTTCCCTCGAATATAGTATAATTGAGTTGTATAGTTGAAATTAAAAAAAAAACAGTCCTTGCTGAGTTTCTTGCCTATTCTTGTCAGTACGAGATCTCCCGCCATAGTTTTGCGAACCGTTGGCAAAGTTTTCAATTTTCACAAGTAATATGTAACAGCCTAGACTGAATTGATTATAATATTTATATTAATATCATTCGTTTCGTGGATGCATAATGACACATACAAATACAAGCTGAATTCTGCGCTCCGCTTTTTGTTCTAAATTCAAAAACCTGAATTCGGATGAAAGTTACGAGCAACCAATAAGTTGGCTCATCACTAATGTTGACGTAGCATCCAAACATCGTTCCTTTACGCGTTACAAAATAAACAACTTAAACTTACGATTAAAATAAATTAAAATTAATTTGAAAGTTGGATATTATAAGAAACACAAAACGATGTCATATTTATTAATTTTCGATACTCAATTTACTTTTATTACGTCAGAAACAAAATTTGAATGAATATCATAAACAAAATCCAAACATCGCGAGTGATATCTAGTAAGATTTCAAGAACTCATTTTTATTTTTTAAATACTTCCTATTAGTGGCGGCTACTGCCTGGCTACTAAGCCTGTTCCTACTTTGTATAATGTTGGATGTTGGATTGTACGCGAAGGAAGACCAACTCGAAGCTATTAATTACACACTATTTTCGATATCGATGGATCAATATCGCTGTCGCTTGGAAATCGATATATATAGTCAAGGGTAACGACATATATCGGTTTTTCGATATATCCTAAGAGAAAAATAATATAAAGATAGAGTCTGGCAAGCGAAACGTGTCACAAGAAAAGGGCGGCAATTTCAAAAATTCTTAAGCAGTAAACACTGAATGTAGTACTGCAAAATAATTTTGATACTTTTATTAATTATATTTAATCTTAACATTTAGATATCAATTAAAATTATTTGTTTTGGAACATTTGACTAAAGCGTGACTGTTCTTAATTGTACAGTTAACAGCATATCAGTAGGCCTATTCACTAACTCAACTGACAACCAAGAATCGTCATCACCGTAAAAAATAGACACTTTGATTGTGTCAAAATCACTATTTCGTATTCTCTATCAATGATGAGCAATTTCGAAATGTCAATATCGGCATTCTCCACTGGACTCCATTTTGACACTTGATTTCGTATCGATAAACTGTATTAAAGTAACATTGTTGCAAAGCATATTTGAAGTCGTCGCATAGTACCTCTTAAGCCATTTGTTGTTAAATTAAAGCGAAAAAAAATACGTATCCAATATTTTTCTATTATCTGACTGACGGACTAAATCGAATCTTTTTTTTAACCCATTCGTTATACCTATTGGCTAACAGCACTTATAATATTAAAAATTCATATTTGTCATTAATTAAAAGGGTGTTTTTTGCAACGACTTCTTTGTTTTTTTGTAATGAATATGGGCGACTCTGGCCACATTTTTTTAATAAATGTGATGTTAGCCAATTTTGATTTCTGGCCCTTATATTTATAATGTGTTCATAACACATACATGTCTCCTAAGGGATTTTCATCACAACCTTTTGCTCTGATCCAGAACCACTATCTATCAAATTAAATTAGTCAATATAAACACCAGATTACAATAAAAAAAACATTTATTTTTGTTACAATTAAGTGCCATGGATAAATTACATAATACAGGTGTCACAAAATCATCATGTTAATCACAATAGAAAATTTAAGATAAGATTTTGACTATGAATCAGACTAAAAATACTTTAGTCTGATTCATAGTCAAAATCTGTTTCTAAATATTCTACACCTGATAACAATGACAAGGAATCATCAGAGTCACTCTCTTCACTACTGTCTGCACCAACAGATATAATAAATTTTTCAAGTTCGTTTTCAACAATGCCATCTTTTAATTTGTAATCATTTTCGACATTTAAAACATGATCAGTGTATTTCTTCCAGTCACTAGGGGTAATTAAGTTAAAACACTCTATTATTAAGTTTTCCATTTCCTTTCCTGGTATTCCAATGTTTCTGCTTGCAATTTTTCTTTTTGCTTGACTCCAAACCATCTCTATTGGGTTTAAGTCACAATGATACGGTGGCAGCAATAAAAGTTCATGATTATGTTCTTTTAAAATCTCTTCAGCTTCATATACAGGCAATGTTTTCTTATCATTAACCAAACACATTAACTCTGCCTTTGTCTGATATTCCTCAAAATGTATTCCATTATTTACAAGCCATTTACGGATATCTGCTTTGGTATTAGACATTATAGGCGGTTTATTGATTTGTTTTATATGGTAGCTGGCATTATCCATAACAATTACACTGGGCTTACTTAAATTTGGTATTAATTTTTCTCTGACCCATTTCATAAAGTTCGATGAGTTCATATCATCATGATAATCAGCAGATTTGGATTTACTACTGAACACTAATAATGCACCAGGCACAAAACCTTCCTCAGATCCAGCATGCACAACAATATGCCGTTTTCCAGAGGATATCTTTGTAGTGACACCAGTTGTTGAAGGTCCTTGCCAAGACTTTTTAACTTTATAATTCTGATGTACATAAGTTTCATCAAGGTACACAATTTGCTTTCCTTCGTTTCGTTTTATATTTATTTCTCTCAAATACTTGTGCCTCCATGCAGAAATCTGGTATTTTTCTATAAGCATAGAACGTTCATTTTCATTGCTTTTAAAAGAAAATCCATTCTTAAGCATAATTTTTCGTAAAGTCTCACGGCTACCACTGAATCCTATTGCATCTTTTAATTCATTGTGAAGGCTTCTTAATGTTGGAACAATTTTTTTCACACAGTAAAATTCATTTACTTTATTCCGAATTGCACTTAAATCAAAATTATCTAAAGCAGACACTGTTGGTTGATGAGGTCGTTTTTTCCCAGGAGTGTCCCATTTTCCTTTATTAATTAATGCTTCATTTTTTATCCTTCTTAGTGTCCTTATACTTACATCTATAAAAGATTAAACACTTTGAAACAAAGATATGTTAAATGTATTTAAAAGCAAATAATGATAGACACATACATCAAAATAATTTAAATACCTATTCAACTATGAATGCAATTTATGTTTAATTTAGTTAAGTTTATGTGCATATTTAGCATGTATAACAATTACATGGTTTGATTAGTTTCATGAATTCTGTGAATTTCCTTGTTAAACAAAACATTCTTATGACATCATTGGATGTCAACAATAAAAACCAATACATCATAAAAAACCTATGTAAATATTATAGGAATACTATCAATCTATCTTAAATCAAAACAAGAAAAGAGACCTGTCATTGAAGAAATTTTTTGTAAGTACTGCGTTTCCGAATTCAGCATTTCTTGTTTTTCTAAAGTTTTTATTGCATTTATCTCCTCCATTATTGGTTGAATATCACCATCACAGTTATCTGAAATAGAGCAATATTTTATAAAAAATATCTGTTTAGTTAATTACAGAAAATTAAAACGAAAGTATCAAAATTATAATACAAAACTAACCTAAAAAAGATACAACTTTATCTAATCGTTGTAATTTCTCCATGAAATTTTTATTTAATTCAGTTTTCACTTCAGTAAACTTGTCAATCATGATGGAAAGAAGTTTCCTCGATGAACTTTTTATCGGCTTCGACATAATTTTTAACCAAAAACACAAGTTCAAATTCGCAAAAACAACAAAATTCAATATTCTTGAATTGTCTAACGTAGTGTCAAACTGACAGTTCTATGTTGTTGCCATATGAAAACGGAAAAATAGGTGGTGTCACGTTTCGCTTGCCAAACTCTATATCGTTGTTCCCTATTTGGGAGGCTGTCATATATACTCTTTGGCGGTTGTCACAGACCAAGAAGATATACGCGGTTGTTTATTTTTTAATTTACCTGGTTATGTTTCTCCTAGTTTTTACGCAATTTTACGTTACATTTTAACGAAATCTAAATTAGTATAGATTATAAATGAATATTAAGTTAAAATATGTCTAGCGTTCATTTGCTACAACTGCCTCCAGAAATCTTAGCGCATATTTTTATGAACCTTGAATTACAAGACATACGGAATCTGATGTTTTCTAATAAATTCTTATTAAATATCATTTTAACAAATAATAGCTTATGGAAGTCTATTTGTAAGAATCAATTGCTTGTAAGAAGCAGTTCAGATAACAGGTTAGTTGGAGAGGTTGAAGAGTTTCGTCTCAAAAATAGTCAATTGAATTAAAGATGTATAGAGTTTTCTGTTTTTATGTAAATAGTCATTAAAGTATGATAACCATGTAGTACAAAATGCAAACTTATTTATGCATATTGTATCTTTTCAGAAAGCCTATCGCCCTTTCTTGTTACAATCGGTATCGCATATCAAAAAATTGGTGTTCAGGAGTTTACAGAAAGAAGGTATGTTTATACTGTAATCAAATCAATGATGTGTACATGTGTAAGTCATCTATAAGGTAGTATATGAAATGCCTAATATGAGAGGGCAATGTTTTAAATACTAGAAATAATTAAGTTGACCAGGCTCTCATGACGGCTGCAGATAGTGCTGTAAAGGTAGCGGAGTTCTGGGCCTGTGACATTTAGTTTTGGTTGCCATTGACACAAAAGAAGAAGATCAAGTAATATATTGTTAGTCACCTATTGGGTTGAACAATTAAAATAAGGTTTTATAGTTCCAAATTTTTTTAAATAGTATAATCAGCTAAGTTTTTGAATATCATCTAAGCTGCTCATATTCCTTATTCAATATGGTGTCCACTTTTATAAAGTAAGTTAGGTTAATTTACTAAAGAATAACAGTTATAAAATGTATCCCTAATAAATAATGTCCAAGTGAACTGAATTTTATTAGACAATATGGTAAATATGCGTCACTATTGTAGACTTTCCATCAAATTATATTTATTAATTTTTTATTTTATTAAATTGCCAACAGAGTTTTAATTAAACTGTTATTTTAGATAATCATTTGTATTGTTTTTTTAGCTAATCATACAACATCAAGTAAATTATATGCCTTGGTTAATATTTTATGATTCTGAGGCATTACTCTTATCAGAAGGATCTGAGCTCAAGTGTTTCCCTACTGACAAAAAAGGTCTTCCTGTTTGTAAAGAATCATCATGGAAACTAGAATCACTACCTGTTAAAAGAAATGACATACGCACTAATGATATATCAAGATTTGTTGTCAAAGATAATCTAATACTTTGTGGAAACAGGTATTTAATTATGTATGATATAGTTAATTAAACAGCTGAATATATGAAATTTGTATTTTTGTAAGGAGTGATAATAATTTCTAAACTTCATTTAGATGGATGATTCTTCCATAATTTATATAAATATTGAACCTTTTATTCACTTATACGATTTTGGTGTCATCTTTATTTTAGAGATGGAAATGCTACTATGTATAAATTTGATCATATAAGACAGAAGCCTACATACTTGTGCCATATTCGAGATTGCATTGAAAACGGTCTGGTGGAAGTGTCTACAGTGGAAATGATCACTAGTCCTGCAAACTGTTATATTTTAACTGGCTCAATGTACAGTTCCAATCTTGCTCATTGGAAATATGAAATTGATGAGACCAATTCGAAAGTATCTTGCTGTTGTAAGTATAGTATTATTATTCACAGATCAGTTTAATGTTTATTTTGTTATATTTTACTTTGAATATTTGAGAGGCCCCTTTGAATTGAAGTGATAGCCCTCCAATGGAACAGCTATTTTAACATGTTAGCTGCAACATTCAGATTACTATTGTAACCGATAGATGGTATTGGTCTCTAGTAGACCACACTATTGATTGTTTGCCTTACATACCATAATAGTAATTTGTAGTTTTCTTTAATGTTTTTAAACTCCCAAGTTGAGTGAAAGAAGTTTTATTTTAATCTATGTATCGTTCCAGTGTATATAAACTGGAACACTAGATCGACGCCCAATAAAGTCCCAACTAAATATAAGACTAATTTAGGATGTAGGTTGGACCAATTAAAAATATAATTTTGTCAATACCTAAAGAAACTTGTTAGGTAGTGATTTGGAGGTACTTTTCATTACCGCGACATGGATTCAAACAAGGAGTATCCTCCTTGAATTCAAACAACAAAATACTTTATTAGGATACTTCATTTTTAAAATTCAAATAATTAGTTAAAACATAATTTATTTGTCATGCCACATGCCCTAATATGAGCAACCTATAACAGGCAGTATGTGTATGTGCCTATATGGACGGGCCCTGAGCACTCTCTAAGTGGACGTTTGGACCTTGAATACAGGGGTTGCTCAGGTTGTGGCGCGCATTTAATACTAAAGAAAAAAGAAAAAAATACCCCTTGGGAAGATTTGATTGGTAAAATTTTAACATGCCCCAACTGTGAGTCGTTCTGTTCTGTATTACTTAACAGAATTCTAAACTACTGGGCTTGTTTCTTTCTTTTAAGTTTTACTTTTAAGTTAATTTTCATCATGTATTTTTTTAAATCCGTTTATACGAGGGGCGTTCAAAAAGTAGTGAAAATGGCTATGTTAATTTTTTTTTTTTTTGACGTAATCACCCTTTGGGTCAATACATTTAGCAAATCGATATTCTAGAGCCAAAATTCCCTTTTTAAAAAATCTTCATCTTGAGTACTCAAAAAATCGTTTACGGCGGCCTTCACTTCTTTGTCATCTTCAAATTTTGTGCCTCAAAAGTGTTCTTTCAAATGCGGAAAAAATTAGTCCGGTGAATATGGCGGATGATCGGATCTCAAAGCCAGCATCTTGGATCGCTGCCATGGGAACTACAGACTTGTGGGCCGGCGTTGTCTTGATGGAACAAAACTTTTTTCGTGACTTTTTCTCGTTAGTTTTTAAGGATTTCCTGACGTAATTTTTTATTTGTTCTGCGTAGACCTATCCTGTGGTAGTGGCTCCATGTTCAAGGTATTCAATCATTATCAACCCCTGGCTGTCCCAAAAAACTGAACCCATGATCTTGCCGGCGGATGGTTGACTTTTTAATTTGTTTGGTGTGGGAGATGTCGGTCTTTTCCAGGACATTGATTGTTTTTTCGTTTCTGGATCATAATGATGTAGCCATGTTTCATTCATTGTTACGAATCGAGCCAAAAAAAGATCAGAATCTCGTTGAAACAGTTCCAATGAGCTCTTTGAAATGTTGAGTCGCGTTTGCTTTTGTGCATCCGTTAGCATTCTTGGGACCCAACGCGCGATTACCTTTTTCATTCCTAAGTGATCTTGCAAAATGTTATGCACACTACCACTTAAAATCTTCAACTCTACAGCTATAAAACGGACAGTTACACGGCGATCATCCAGAACAATTTTTTCAACTTTGTCGATCATTTCCTGAGTGACTGACGTTGAAGGGCGGCCCGAGTGCGGGTCATCTTTAACCGATGTTCTACCACCTTTAAACTCTGCACACCACCTAGCCACTGTGGAATATGGAGGAACAGACTCCCCCAATGTCTCACATAAATCTTTAAAAATTTGTTCCGTAGTAAAATTTTTCAAGCAAAAGTATTTTATTACTGCACGAATTTCAATTTTATTCATTTTTTGCGAGGGTTAACGTCGCGTCACAAACAAATAATTAATACAACTGACACAGACAAGATAGATACCTAATTATTTGAGGGTATTATAAGAAAGACCTAATCTTTCCGTGACCATAATTTTTTTTTCAAGTACCCTCCATTACTACGCCATTTTCACTACTTTTTGAACACCCCTCGTACGCAGTCGGGTTTTTAGTTTTTCTTTAAAAAAAAAAAATTATTTTATGTCACGTCTTTAGTGACACTCGCAAGGTTAAGACGAATCGATTGACGTAAAAATCATCAATATCGGCCTACGCATTGGGTCACAAGAACGCCACATAGAAACAAACATACATACACAGACTGATAATCGACTAATCACAATTTTTACCATATAGCGCTTAAAATATTTTATGACTACCTCGTAACGATGGATCGTTTTAGCCCCCTGTATAATAATCTACAAGTGGTTTAAATTTTAATTTCCTTTTCCCATTGTACAGTTAACTGCACGGTAGACTATACAAAACTGTAAAATTTCCCTATTAGATTGATGAATCAGATTTTTAAAACCTTATATTGTGGTAATAATGCGCTTCCCACAGACGTTGCGTTATAACTAAGTGGCGTAGCTTTATATCGAATCAGGCAGATTCATGAAAAGGTTTATCGTCTTCTAGGTCCGTATTATATTCATATATATATATTATGTACGTGTAGTGTGCATAGCGTATACATGTAGGTATATACCAGTCTATACTCTATCTATAATATGTATATCAATATTATAAATGTAAAAGTTCCTTTGTTTGGATGTTTGTACGTCAATCACGCCGAAACTAATAACGGATTTTGATGAAATTTGGCATACAGATAGGGTAATAGCTTAGACAATAGGATACTTTTTATCCCACTAAACATTTCCCTAGGGACCACGCGGGCGAAAGCTAGTATATACATATAGTATATTGACTGGTAGAGAATTAAATAAATAACTTGACGTGTAGCGTGTACGTATTTATATGAATTTCCCTATCACACATGGAGGTTTTGGTCGTTACAGATTATGCGGTATTAAACTTATCTGATGGAGTTGGCATCAGGTGTTTAAGCGTGCACAAAGATATGGTGGCCATTGGTCCTAATGGAAACAGTAAGCCACTTTTGTTAGATATGAATACGTAGGTGAATTTCTTTTATAAATGATCTAACTGTTTTTTTTGCTCGAATAAATAATAGCCTATGTTACCTGCTTACTATGTAGATTCCTGTAAGTGAAAGAATTTTTAAAATCAATCCAAATGAAGCCAATACAATGCAAACAAGCAAACATTTTCTCTTTATTAATATTTCCTCATTCATTAGTAAGGAGTAGCGTTAATACAAAAATAAGTATAATAAATTCTTAAACCAGTAGGTACCTATTTGACCGTTTGGTAACACTGTCATTAGCTCATTAACTAATTGATTTAATTTGTTATATTGTCGCAGTCACCAATTAGTGTTTTCTCCTGATGCCACTACGAAAACTAGACAGATTGTTCGTGACATCAGATGGCATGATGAAAATACACTATTATACGTAACGCATGCTGGCAAATTGTCATTGGCAGATATAAGGTCAGCCACCGTGGTATGTATGAGTTCAAAAATAAACATTATCTATCTAGTAATTCAGCAACTATTGGAACGGCACAATAATGTTAATTGCTTTTTCGTTTCAATCATATCTGTCAAATGTTTTGTTTAAATTATCAATCATAATATTTTACTGTACTCCATTCATCATGTTACTTTTAAGACTGACGGCTAATTTGCTACATATTCACCTAAACACCAGCAGCTATACTTAACTGTTATCATTCAAGCTAACTATTAAACAAATTTATGAGTATTTGACTAACTTAAATGATTTAATAACTATTACAATAAAAATTGTCCATCTTAAAGAACCTAAAGAAGCAGGGTTGGATAGTTTCGGCACGATTCTCATGTCACTATAATTCTACCAAATTTAAAACGTTGCCCTTCAAACGTTTCGGCAATACAGTTCAGGGCTTGGAAACCGGTTAATTTTTTAAACCGGTTCGACGTAAGTACATGCGAAACTTTTCATAAAAGGTTCAGCTCCTTTGAACAGGTTTTTAAACCGGTTCACTAGAAATGCGGTTTTCTTAATTAACCGGTTTAAATATGGCTCCAAACAATGATCTCACTAACTTCAGCGCGATTTTTAAGTGCCTTTACTCCTATCTATAACATCCGTACACAGGTATGATAAATGTCGTCGCTTAAAATGATATAATTCGCATTAAAAGCGTAAGAACATTGCTTTTTACGAACCAAGCAAATTAACCGGTTTTTATTCCATCCGAATTTCACTCCGCATTTAGTTCCGATCCGGATCTGAACATTATAAGAGAACAGGTTTTACCTAAATAAAAACGGTTTATTCTGAACCGGTTTCAAGTCTTGGTACAGTTTTTTAATTTTGTCAGACTATGATGTATTCATAATTGTCATAATACGTAACCTGGGATTGACATCCGTTGTGAATGCTACTGCCTTTCTTGTTGTGTTGCCGTTTTCCGTGATTAAGTTGTTATTGTTTTATTTTTGTTTTGTTTTTGTTGTTAAGTTTTATTAAATATGGACGATGGCGGTGCAGGCCCGAGTGGCCTACTACATCAATAGTCTAATGTCTGAATAAATGTTATAAAAGTAATAATAAAAATTTAATTTTGTTTACCTTTCTTTACTGGGCATAGATATAACTAAATTCTATTCTAATTATAATCAAATCAACAGATAGATAGTTTTAGTTGCATGTTGGCTTGGGAGAAAAAGATGAATTTAGAAAACACTAGCCTCATCTCAACCCTGAGGTATCGTAAAAATTAGAAAATTACTCAGCTCTTTCAGACTACCTAACGTTCAGAGTTTCAACAAAACTATAATATATATTATTTAAATTTATCTTGAAAATGAAATGTTCTGCACTGCTGCTTCTATGACCCCCTTTTTTAATGTTATAATGAATAGAGTATGACCCTCTTTTTTAATGTTATAATGAATAGAGTATAGAATGTAATAAAAATAATCATCATCACAAGTCTTATCAATCTCCTGTTGCTGGGACATAGGCCTATGGAAAGAAGCAAATCGTACAGGGAGAATGGGTGACTAACCACGCGCGTCTAGCGTTGTTTGGTGTGTGTTAATACTTTTTCTGTGGTGTTAACAACTGCAGATGCATCCTGGACCACCACCCAAACACTGAGGAGCTGGAGATAGTTAATTCACTTAACTCACTCGCACGCGTGTGCAATTGCGACTGTCGATTGTTAGAATTAAGCGAAGTGTTTGCTGTAGAGGTTTGGAGTTTGCGGCAAATGTCAAGCGCACGGCCGCGATGTATGATTTTTTTTTTTGTTGATTTATAACAGTATGAGTTGACCGTAATTTCCTTTTTATTTTAATCATGCGTAGACGACGGCAACGTATGCCGCCTCCGTTGTTAATTTATTTTTTCTTTCAAATTAACAACTGTGATCGATAAAGTCATATTGACATAATGGTCACAATAAACATATTGTCGATGAAACTCCTGGTTTTGGTTTTTTATAAGTATCAGTAAGATTTCCACCTCCCGTCGTTTATACATTGTGTTAGTCTATTGAAAACCTCTACATTCTATAATTTTTAATCTACTTCAAAATCCAAAAGTAGGTTATATGTTCAACGGCGATGTAATTTTTTGTATGTATGTTCAGCGATATTTCCACCAATTGTATACCGCTTTTCAAAATTTCGACTTCTTTTATTCGATAACTTAATGGACCGAAGTCCCATTTAAATTTTATCGAAATCGAATCAATAGTTTTCTTTTAATAACGAAACGGAATACGCTTTTCACCAAATATTTAGTTTATGTGGTAAGATATGGCCCATTTCAGCTAGAAAACAAAAGATTGCGTATTTGAAATTCATTTAAAATCCAAAAGGAGAATTTCGAAAAGGAGAATCCGAAAAGAGAGAGGAGGCCATTTAGCAGTTTCATATCATCTGGTAACTTATTATAGATATAAAATTATACACAAACTGTAAACATTATTTTTGTAGATGTCTTTATGACAAGGAGGCTGGTACAGCAGGTTTCTATATTTTTGTCTAGTTTGTCTCGGAATAATGTCCACAAGTTTACTCCAGTAATTAGAATGAGAGTAAACAAATACACAGATATATTTTATGTACATACAAGGTAGAGGCACAATATTAAGCTTTTTGTACAGCTATCATCAAACCAAGCGTAGGTATCATATAACATGAACACGTTTCTTTTGAATTTTAATAACTCTGTCTAGTTCTACAGAAGCTCCCCATAGTATCAGATCGCAGCTTAAAACCGACGACACATAAATGTGCAGTTAAAGCAGCTTCAACAGAAACTGTTTGTTTCAGTTTCTTGTAAATGTATAAATACAAACCGGTTAAGTTTTTCACGTACATGATCAATATGCTGTTTGTCAATAATGATTCCAAGAAAACGTATTGAATCTACCTAGTCTAGCCATTAATTCTGTTACTGGCTGTTTACATACATTTAAAAAAAACATTAATTTGAATTTCGAATATTAACTTCTATGATGAGAAAATAGACTTCCTTCCCGCCATTATTGTATGTTTTATGTTTAGAAATTATTTTTTTTGAAAATGGAGTGGGGCACTAAAGAGAATAGATTACAGTAATTGCACTGTATAAAGTAGGTAAGGAGCCAGCCGACATTTTTGGTACATTGAAAAAGCTAGAGATTAGCCGAATGTTTGTGTATAGTACCATCCAAAGGTACACTGAAACCATGTTTGTTGATGGCCATGACAGATCCGGCTGTCATTTGTCAGTTTCTCTGGTCGAGAGTGAGATATCGTATGAGCGCACCCGAGAAAAGTGACATTTGAGTGTAGACAAAACGTTCTCGAGTTCGTCATGCTACGCGTGCAGGCCGTTAATGGAGTCAAGGCCAGAATTAGTCAAACTCCCATAAGGAAGCAGAAAATGCTTTCCAGACAAATGAAATTCCACCGAGGACAACTTTCTCGGATTATCAAACAAGACTTAGGTCTAGGGGCTTACCGGAGATACAGAGGACATACCTTAAATCAGGCACTAGAACAAAAGAGAGTCGAAAGATCAAAATAGCTGAATTTTTTTTTACAATCGAGGAGCACTACAACAATCACATATAAAACCGCACATATAAAACTTAAAAATTATTATTAATTTTTTTTTAAATTATCGGATATTTTCTTTGTAACAGAACTAATGGCTAGAATAGGTACTGTACGATCTGATTTAATTGTGTTTTACTTATATTTAATATTAAAATCATTTGAATCCAGCCACATAGTAACGTCTGGTAATGCTGCGGTTATTTTACATTCAAAAGTGTGTATAAATCGGTCAAATTATTTCCGAGCCTATCCAATACAAACAAACAAGCAATCAAATCTTTCCTCTTTATAATATGAGTAGGTATATAATTATTGAAAAAAGTTATGTCGAGCAAATAAACAAAATCTTCTTTTTTAAGACTCGCTGTGTTGAATATTTTTGTTTAAATAGATGTTTTATGTTTTAGTCTTACCTATTATTAAAAAATATGAATAGCACTAAAATGCTAAAAAATAGAACCGACTTCAAAAAATATATAAATAATACTTAACTATTGAAGTCGGGCGCCTATCATTTAATCAATATCAGAAGACGTCCGCCCGACTTCTATGTATTTTCTTGAATAAGTATCGTTTGAGTTAAATATTAAATTTTTCAAAGCTTGGAGTTTATTTTTAAGTTTTTATGTATCGTCTACTTTATAGTTTCATGTTGATACTAAATAAAAATATTACTTTCAGGTGTATAATGCAATGGATCCATTCCAATCGAGTATGTATTGCGTGAAGTCGGACGGCGACCGAACGATAATCGTAGGTACCGCCGAAAATTCTCGCGTCGTCTTTTTTGATGTTAGAAACAATGCGTGTCAAACGCAAGTAAGTATAAACACAAATATTATACATACAGCATAATTCGTAGCCAGTACATAATTTAATGTTGTGTTAACATTTCTTGTGAACCATATTCTGTCTGCTAGTAAAGTAAAATAATGAGTTGTCATTATGTATGAGAATACATCGTTTAATAGATGATATTATGAGAAGTTGACCATATCCGAACTTTGCATTGTGAGAATTTTACCATAATAGAATTTGCCTTAGTGCGATTTCATTTTCTAAAAAGTTGTTAGTTTGAGCTGAAACGGATAAATCTTGATATAAAACGGTAGTGCTAAAAATAAAAAAAGGTCACAAAATCACTATCTAGTATAATCTAAATAACGATGAGATTATTTAAATAAAACCTTTTCAGATGTACTTTACTCAGAAGAGGTCATCGCCCATATATAGTTTGGATTTTGATTCTACGAAACTAATAGCCGCAGCAGATCGAAGCGTAGCCGTCTTAAATTTCAATGTAAATGCATCATCAACATTTCAAAGAGACTATTCTCAGAGATTTCATATATTTTGAATTGTGCAATTATGTATAAAATAAGAATGATTAAGAAAAAATAAAATATAATGAGTACAGAATATTGTTAAGTTGTTAAATTTTATGCAATAAAGAAAAGGGCTGTGTTTATTGACGTTTCATTTTCACAAGGTTTTTGATGGTGGTGACATCGTCGCAATTACATGTACTTATTTAACCAGCTGTTTTCCCGCGACTTCGCCGGCGTAAATTATACAAAGGCTGTTCAGTAAGTCTTGTCGTATGGTTAGTTTTGGAGGGTAGAAGGAAAATAAATATTTATATTTGGAGTGTCACCATTATCAAGTAATTAACATTTGGTTTAAGTAAAAAAGAATGCCTGGATGAAATGATTTCCATATTCGATCATGAAGCGCCGTCTTTATGGACTATAGAACACTGGTATTTAAGATTCAAATGGATTAGACTACGAAATTAGGCCGGGAAGGCCCGTCGAAGTGAATGCGCCAGAAAACATAGCTCATATAGAAGCTCATGCTCATGTGTGAAGAAACCTGTACAGGATGACAGACGTATTACCTACCGGCAGTTAGAAAAACTTACACATTCCTGTAGCTACATTACACAAAATTGTGACGGTACAAATACACGTTAAAAAACTTTGTACTCTTTGGGTACCCCATAATCTAAACGATCAGCAACAGCAACGTCGTGTAGAATGGTGCCAATTTATGCTCAAGAAGTTTCTAACGAAGAAGCAAAGGACGTGATTTCAATTGTTACAGGTGACGAAACTTGGATATATTATTATGATGTGCCAACGAAATTACAGAGCAAGATATGGGTATGATGACGAGGAACAGCCAATTTAGCCGCGTAAATCGAAATCGGTTGGTAAAAGAATGATAGCAGTATTCTTTAATAAATAAGATGTCATAAAATCTGTTATTCTCGAAGGACAGAAGACAGTTACTAGTCTATGGTACACTAGCACTTGTTTGGCTCAGGTGTTCGAGGAACTAGCAAATCGCAGACCAAACTCAAGACTCAGTTCGTGGTTCCTTCACCACGATAACGCCCACAGAGCTGGCGCCACAATGGACTATTTGAAGACGGTGGGCATCAAAGTGTTGGAGCATCCTCCCTACAGCCCTAACCTTGCACCATGTGACTTTGATTTATTTCCATACGTCAAAACTCGCATGAAAAGACGCAAATTCTCTTCGGAAGAGCAGTTGATCGGTGCTTTTGAAGAAGAGCTGGAATTAATTTCTAACGAAAAATGGGAAAGTTGGATTGGTGATTGGTTTAAGCGTATGATGAAATAAAAGTTGTTTGAGGTTCTAAGCAAATTATCAATGTTAGGTTAGAAACGTAATACAACATAATTTAAACTTCCATTGTTATTAACCTCGGAATGATTGCTTATAATTAAAATGGTAATCAACATTAGAATGATTGCTCTCTACCTTGTTTTTGTTGAGTTCAAAGACATTGTGAACAATGGTACGGATATCGAACGTAAAGTAACTCGAAAGCAGGTAGATCGATATATCTAAGAATAACACCACACCCGCATAATAAATCACATACAATTCTAAGACTTGCAAGATCAGTAACTAAAGCCCCCGTATTATGGAGTATCAGAAACAACGAAAGTAGGTACCGCAACACTCAGACCTGAGACAATATAGAAAATTCTATGTTCTACAATCAATCGACCAGGAACGGAACCCAGGACCTCAGAGATGGCGACACCCTAAATCATGCGAGCCACGGGAGTCGTCATAAGTAAGAATTATTGTTTAACAAACTAGCTGTATTTCTGCGACTTCACCCACGTCGCGTATGATGTAGCTTTTTAACAAGTAGTTTCGAATCATATTCATTTGGTATGGAACCATTTTGGAAACCAAATATTTATACAGACTCATAAAATAAAGCAAAATCTATTTATGTGTACTTATGTATTAGACTTTATATTTATCTTGAAATAGAGATATTCCTAAACGAAATGAGTGTATTGCTATTACAGAAGAAGGTCATCTAATTTAAATGTCAAATGATGGCAATGTCATTGATTTGTCAACACCATAAATTTAAAAAGATTATCATGGATTTGTCAACATAACCAAAAAATTAAAATCTCCGACTTCAATAAACAGACACTAACGATAATTTGTTTTAGTCATTAAAAAAGGATGGAGTATCATATTAGTATTTAATAAAAATACTGCAATAGTCTGTCATCCATTAATCATGTTTAGAAACAAATTATTCAATATTTTCAAAGCCACTTGCATTTTGCATAGGAAGAAAATTCTAACTAAAATACGTATATTTTCGCCGGTGACTTTAGGATTTCTAACAACAGCGTCCTGTGAAGATTCCCTAAAAGAATACCATATATCGTGGGACGACGGTAAATTGGAACACGAGTTTCTAATCCGCCAGGCCACTACTGTCAATGTAAATGCAGCTACTCAACTTCTAACAGTCACACTAATCGCAATTCAGGATACCAGTGAAAGGTTTATTTTCTTCCTTATGTTTAAAGAATTAATGGAAAATTTGCAATATTGTATTAGTTGACACATACAGCCCAATTTTAAATTTGCAAGTTTATATACTCGTTACACATTTACAAGTACATCACTTCTAAGAAAAAAATATAACATTTTGTACTTTGCATATAGAAGTTGATCTTTTCAAATCAATGTTTAATCTTTTTATGGGCAGATTAAGAGAAGCCCTTAGTAAAGAGATATGTCTTGTGAAGCAAGCCATTGAATGGGGAGAGGAAGGTACACCACCACACCATTGGGACCAGTTAGTGGCCGTCAGAGGAACTTTATGTGATTTGAAACATAACTTTAGGACACTTTTAAGTAAGTTTCGTTTGTATCTATTATGTGCCAAATAAATTACCCGAGGGTTATGTCTAGAAATATACTTTTTAAATATAAAAAAACTCAAATAATATAGGTTATATGGACTATGCTGAAAAGCTTGCAACAGTTGCTGCTGAAATATCATACTTATCTGGTAACATTGCCGCATCTGATGCAATATGTGAAAGAATAGATCATGCTTGTAGGTAAGAATAACAAAAATATTTTATTAAAACATTTATTAATAATATGTAACTGTTTTGACTGTAGTAATATTCCAAGTATTTTTTTTAAATTCATCAATATCATTGTTCAGTTTTTGAATAAAAAATATTTTTTTACAAAATTCAGCTTACATAATTCATTTTATCTGATATAGAATAATATAAACTTAATTAATTAATTAAAAATTAACAAAATGTCACCTCTTTTGACCTTAACATTGTAATAGTAACAAAAGTTTTTATTAGAATGTAAACAAAATACTCTTCTTTATTTAGTTTTTCTGTACACATTAAGTATTCCATCATTATTCTTTTGTAGGACCTGTAACACTCAGAAGCAGCTGACACATGAACTTCAACAAGAGAGTTTAGAGTTACAGCAACAAGCTATAATCAGCTCACCACACCTCGAGCAGAAACTGAAAGAAGAAACAGTTAGTGATGAAAATGCCAGAAAAGGAAAGATAAAGAAATAATCTTAAAAAATAGGGAAATGCTATATCTAATTTAATAAAAATTACTTAGAAAATTTAAAATGAGAGCTTTTATTGAATAGAATTTAGACAACATCATGAAATAACAAATTGTTGCAGAGAATCGAAATATTTTAACAAATTAATTTTAATGATAACAGATTTCTGTACAAACTTTCGTATTTGTTTACAATCAATACGTTATAACAAAATAAACAAAACAAAATCTACTTGATTTTTATTTAATATAAAATAAAAAATGATAACGCAATATTTTTGCACAACATTGTTTAAAATAAATAGTTCATACCTGTTCAAAGTTGCCCTAAAACGTAGCATCCTTGTTTAAATGAGTCTCAATATCCACTCTACAAATGGGGCAATGCTTGTTGGTGCTCAGCCATTGGTCCACACATTCCATGTGAAATAAGTGCATGCATGGAAGCCGTCTGGAAATTTCAATATTATTTCTGTTACAGTAGGTAGATAGGTTACAGTAGGTAGTATCCCCATTGGTAGGAATACTAGGTTTTTTTTTTCAATTACAGTTACCGATAGGGATGTATGGAATCTGTTACTCCACATACCTCCACCGATTTGCACTGGTTGGGATACTTGGATTTTTATTTCCATTTATCGCTACCAGTAGGGATATGTTGTCTAATATTGTGTTCATAAAAAAACGTATGTCAAGAAAACGATTTTAATGTTTTAATTTTAATGAAAAAAACAAAAAAATATTTGCGAAGGTAAATTAGTGACAAAGATAGTCAAACTCGCACAGGCGGGAACGGACGGTCATTAGTGTGCGCAACCCCTCTTAATATTTTAGCCTAATGTGATAAACATTGTACCTATGTATTAAATATCGTGTCCTGCAGCCATCGAAAGATGTATTAGAACTAGCTTCCTTAATTCACTGCTTAATTTAAGTACCTAGAGTAGGCACATTTTTTTAAAATCTCTGCAGTGGCATCGTGTGCATTGAGTCGTTACGTTCCCTAAAATATGGTTGAGCGAAGCGATGCTGGCTCATGCGTCATGCTCATGAAGAGATGCTGCCAGTGGGGATGAGTCTGCTTTAGACTTCTTAATTTCGTCCATTTTCTCTTATTATGAATAGTGTAAATTGATTTGTCAATGAGTATCTATGACTCTGCAACTGGCATAGTAATCAGTAAAGGTAAAATATCTGTTTTGTTATTTCTATGGCAAGTGACTTCATAGTCTAATTAGTCACTTTGCAATAAAACTTCTCTATGTGAAATAAAACGAGGAGAAAAAGCAGCCGTCTCTGAGTTTCTTGCCAGTTCATCTCAGTAAAAAGTCTAACGCCGTAGTTTTGCGAACCGTTATAACAGCATAGTTTTCGACTTAAAAAGTGCTATATAACAGCCTAGACTGAATAAAAGGTTTTGATTTTTGTCTATTTTGCTGGCAGCGGCTGCGCGTCTCATTTATAGTACTTTAAAACAAATATGAGGCATGGTGTTGTTAGTTTGCACAGGGCAGACCTGCCAATACCTTTAAAATCATATTTATGAAGATTATTTGTGCATCGGACGCAGTGTCAGGTCCACCTGCAGTGCATTGTACATTATCTAAATTGCGTTTTCTAGATGGAATTAAATAGACAGCAATTATAATCAACAAAGAAAAATCAGATAATAGACGAAATTTCGTTATCGAACTCTAATCATAGGATACGATACGATATGTTAGCGATGTATGTCGAAATTTAAGTACATGTATTTGACATATACTTTAATTGCGACGAATGAATGATAAAGTATGATGATTATGGTTTTGACAGCAGTCTTATAAACTTATAACTACTGTGTTCTATAAAAAAAAAATAACACAAAATTTCGAATTTTACACGTAATAAATCACGTAATAAAAAATATGTAAACAAAAACTCGATATTATTGAGTTCATTTCAAAAAGATATTTTAAAAATTGAAAAATTACTGAAAATATATTTTATACGAATAAAACGATTTTATTGATTTAATCAATATAAAAAAAAACATTCCCATTTTCGTTGCAAAAATGTTTAAAAAGAACAAGAAAATGTTTAAAAAGTTCCGTCAGTCAGGTAACAGAAAAATATTATTTTACTTCAATTTGACAAGAAGTAGCTTATATAACAGGCTTAATGCCTATGAAAATGTACAAAAACGTGACGTCATGTGACATTTTAACACAATGTATCGCCGTGATTTAATGATTACGAAAAAAATACGTGTTTAATATCTTTCTACAATCGACCTTTCGGATAAACAAACAAAAATTGATCGTCATCCTGAAATACGGTTTAAAAAAAAAATTTGGAAATACAATCGCGCGATAAAGTCAAAAAAACTCAAGCGCTACACTACGTGATATGGTACTATAGTGTACGTGTGTATGTGTGTATGTGTAGAGGTGCGCCACTCGCCTGCAGTCGGAGGCGAGCTCGAACACGGACAGGCATATGGTGCACTTGTCGTCGGCGCGGTGCGGCGCGGGCGCGTACGCGTGCCGCAGCGTGTTGCGCTCGATGACCGCGCGCGAGGCGCCGCGGGCCGCGCGCCGCGCCTCCGCGCCCGCCTCCGCCGCGCGCACCATCGCCGCCACCTGCGCCGCCGCCAGGCTGCCGCCGGCCTGCACGCACACGCTCGCATTGCTCAACGACACTTCTAAACCTAACGCTCAGCACCGCTTGATACCGACTCATAATAAAACGTTTTTATTTAGGTAAAACCTGTTCTCTTATAATGTTCCGTTCAGGATCGGAACTGAATGCCGAGTGAAATTCGGATTAAAAACCGGTTAATTCGCTTGGCTCGTAAAAAGCAATCTACTTGCGCTTTTAATGCGAATTATATCACTTTTAAGCGACGACATTTATTTACTGTGTACGGATGTTATAGATAGGAGTATAGGCACTTAATGCGTTGCAGTTTGTGAGATCATTGTCTGGAGTCATATTTAAACCGGTTAATGAAGAAAACCGTATTTCTAGTGAACCGGTTTAAAAACCTGTTCAAAGGAGCTGAACCTTTCGTGTAAAGTTCCGCATGTACTTACGTCGAACCGGTTCAAACGTTTCCAAGCCCTGGCGCTCAGATAATCGATTGGACAGCAAACTCATAAAAAATTAAAAAATTCAGAACAAAGTTTATTATCATTTATAAAGTATTTTATTGAATAATAATTATTTATGTTTTTTGAAAGTTGTCCGAACCCCTATTTCGATAATTTCATTCATAGAAGAATTCAAAACATCTCACTATTTATTTGACAATTGTAACTTCCAATCTCAACTCATTCTCTTTGTTATATTTGGAAACAAGACTACTGTTAATTTTCATTAGCCGACAATAATTTATATTTGTTTATATAAATCTAAATATGCAATAAGATAATGTTTCTTACCATTACTGATGGTTGAATAGATATGTGCAAATGTGGAGGATGGCTTTGAAGATAATGATGCATGTGATGATGTATATGCTGGCCATCACTGCAACGAAACAGAAACTGTACTGAACAGAGTGTAAAGGGCAAGTGCTCTTCATATATACGCACCGAAAATGAAACACTTACAAACGTGCAACAACTTACGCCGAGCTTGCGTATATTCCGCGTTATAAAATTTCTGGACGTAAACAAGATAGCTTTGAAATTAACCAAAATATTTTGTATAGTATATTATGGTGATGTTACGGACGGCGGACATGAAGACCCTTCCCCGCAACCTCACCCCCGCAACGAGTGGAGGGGGCACACCACGGGCAGCAGCGACGGGAGCACCCCCCCGCGACCTCCCCGCCGCATAGTGGAAGGGGCACCGACATAACATGAATCTATTAGGTCAATTAACGCGTTAGGATAGTAGCTAAGTGCGAACGAACAAATCCCACTTAAGTAAACCCGATTTGTATGAAAGCATGCCTACGAACGTTTTCGTACTTTGTACTGCAAATAAGAAGAAAGAATAAACGCCTTCAAATCTCCAAACTGTTGTTTCCATCCCCAACAGTTTTCGCTGGTCCTTCAAGAGCCGGATAAGGAGTTCGCTGATTCTTCAGAAGCCGGATAGGAAGATCGCCGAGCTACAGTTTGCTCGTCCGAAGCCGGAAAGAAGAAAGCGTGTTCTACGAGCGTCGAAGCACTGCAAGATCGGTACAGTGTACGTCGGTACAGAGTACGTCGGTACAGAGTACGTCAGGTAGAGAGTACGTCAGGTAGAGAGTACGTCAGGTAGAGAGTACGTCAGGTACAGAGTACGTCAGGTACAGAGTACGTCGGGTACAGAGCACGTCAGGTACAGAGCACGTCAGGTACAGAGCACGTCAGGTACAGAGTACGTCGGGACAGTCTCAAGATACAGCAAGATGCCGCGAACAAGAAGCACCACTAAGGACGACCGCGCCACCGACGCGTTACTGGAGCAAGCGCGCCGTGGATTATATGAGCTGCCACCCGCTTCACCCTCTGTGGTCGATGGAACAACGACCGCTGAACGCGAGAGGGGTCCTATTCCCGTCGGAACCAGGGAAGAAAAGGACTTTGAACAAGGGGCCACGGCACCAATCACAGAGAAGCAGCGTACTCCTACGCGTCCGGCATCGGTTCGATCTTCGGCTAGCACTGCGGCACGAATTTTGAAAGCCGAATACGAAGCCGAAAAACGGCTGTCGGAAATGAAGATCCGTATGGAGACGGAACTTATGAAGAAGAAGCTGGCATGGGAAAAAGCGGTTATACAAGAGTCGGACAACGAGAGTATCGCCGACGATACGAACGTCGAGGAACGCATCGACACATGGCTAAACCAAAGCTCTTCCATCGCGCAACACACGGAGCAAGATTCAGCGCCACAACTGGAACGAGAAGCAACGAGAACAACGCCACACCGCGTGTCGCGACGCGCTCCCTACATCAATGCAGGGGGGGAGCCCGAAGCGCACGCTGCAGAACCACAGCCACAACGACGACGATCGCCGTCAAGACAGCAACGGGGCATGGAAAAGCTGGCAGACGTGCTAGAGAAAATGATGCACGTCAGATCGCCGCCGAGACAAGCAACCGAACTACCCCTATTCAGCGGATCACCGATGGAGTGGCTACCGTTCAAGGCCGCTTTGAACGAATCCACGCAGCTGTACAAATTTACGCCGATGGAAAACCTGGCGCGACTTCGAAACTGCCTGAGGGGGGAAGCTAGAGAAACAGTATCGGCGCTGCTAGCAACCACTACGGACCCGGCTGAGATCGTACAAGTTTTAGAGCAGTGTTATGGACGACCAGAAAGCATCATCTGCCACGTGCTCGAGCAGATAAGAAGATTACCGAAGCTCGGAACCACCGCCGCCGAATGGAACGTGTTAGCGGTTAAAGTTCAAAACATCGTCTGCGTTATGAAGCAAATTGACAAGAGAGGATACCTCTCAAACCCAATGCTGGTGCAAGAAATAGTAGCGAAGCTCAACCCATGCGTCACTTCAAAATGGTGGGACTACGCAGAGGACCACGGATCGGATCAAGAACCAGAGATCGTAACGTTATCAAAGTTTCTCACGCGCGAAGCAAATAGAGCATTCCGACATGCACACATGTCAACGCCCAGCACGATTACGAAAAAAGAAGATAAGAAACCTTTCAACACGGGAGCAACGCGACGAGCGGCAACGCACAACATCACACAAGCAACCGAGCGTCGCTACTGCTGCTGTTGCCGGGGCGATCATGAGCTACCCAAGTGCCCGCAGTTCATCAAGATGAACACGGACGACCGATGGGCGCTTGTCAAAAAGGAGAAAATATGCTTCAAGTGCATAGCCGCGCGCCACCGACGAACATCGTGCAGAGCAAAGCTGTGCGGCCAGAACGAGTGTCGCCGACCCCATCATAGACTGCTGCACGCGGAGGCCGCACCTGCACCCGCATCGACGTCCGCCGACACCACCGAGGAGTGTCACGAAAAGAAGACTGACGTCGAGACCGTTGCCACCACAGTCGGCTCCGAGAAAAAGAAAGAAGTCCTACTGAAGGTGTGCCCGGTCGTCATCAAGGGACCGGCCGGCGAAGTACGAACCTACGCGTTACTGGACGAAGGCTCGACGGTTTCGCTAATAGACAGAAGATTAGCGGAGGAACTTCGCGCCGACGGCCCCACGCAGACCATCCACCTGCACAGCATACAGAACGTCATAAGGGACGAAGAAAGCAAACGAGTGAAACTTCAAATACGGGGCACTAACACGAACTTCTTCGACATAGAAGCCAGAACGATCGACCGAATCGGTATAAGAGGACAATCGATTCCAGAGGCCGTCCTGAAGCACCCGCATCTACGTAAGCTGAGCGCCGAAGAGGTGTGCTACGATCGAGCACGACCACGAATCCTCATCGGCGCGGACCACTGGCACCTCGTGATTTCCCGGGAGCTACGCGCCGGACGAAGATCGCAGCCCGTCGCGTCAAGAACAAGCCTAGGTTGGGTGATACTGGGAAACCTGCCTCGAGCCACGACCAAGGAAAATCACAAGATAGTGTCACATCTGAGAATCACAGAAGATGCGCCGCTTCGCCCGTGCACTAACGACGTCGACGAAGAACGCCTCGACGAAATTATAAGAAGTCACTATGACATCGACGCGCTTGGAGTGTCGACGAAAAATCGAATAAAGCCCGACGACGAACGCGCCGCGGCTATAGTAACGAAGACAATGCGCCGCACGAATAAAAGATACGAGGTGGGGTTACCATGGCGTACGGACGACGTGACGATGCCGCCCAGCTATGACAACGCTCTGAAACGACTGAAAGGCATAGAGAGAAAAATGGATCGCGACCCGTCCTTCGCCGCGGCTTACAGAGCGCAAGTCGAAAACCTCTTCGAAAAAGGATACGCGGAGCAATGCGACGGCACCGAACAAGCGAGCCCGAAGAACTGGTACCTACCGCATTTTGCGGTGAAGAATCCCAACAAGCCTGGCAAGCTACGCCTCGTCTTCGACGCAGCCGCCGTTACGAACGATGCCAGCCTTAATCAAGAACTACTAGAGGGTCCAGACCTATTAACGTCGCTGCAAGGAATACTCTTCCGATTCCGAGAAAAACCGATCGCCGTAACCGCCGACATTCAAGAGATGTTCTTGCAGATTAAAATCAGAAAAGAGGATCAGCCCGCTCAAATGTTTCTGTGGCGAGGAACGGAACGAACAAAACCGCCCCAGAAATACAAGATGACGTCATTGATTTTCGGCGCGGCAAGCTCGCCTTTCATCGCACATAGCGTAAGAAACGCTAACGCCGAAGCCTACGCCGACTCGCATCCGGAAGCACTACAACCAATAACACGTAGTCACTACATGGACGATTACGTGGACAGCTACGACACCGAAGAAGAGGCCACCAAAATTGTAAACAGCGTGGCGCACGTCCATCGGCAAGCGGGATTCGTGCTGCGAAGTTGGAACTCAAACAGCGCAGCCGTCTTAGCAACCATACCCACCGAACTACACGCCCAGTCACCGACCCGACTCGGCGCGAACGTCAATCACTTCGAGAAGACACTGGGACTCCTATGGAACGCCGCCGAAGACAACTTGACATTTAACACCACCATGGCACGGGTACCCGTGGAGGTGAAGGAAGAAAGAAGATCGCCGACGAAAAGAGAGGCTCTGTCGGCTGTCATGTCCGTGTACGATCCACTCGGACTAGTGAGCCCATATACAATCGCCGCGAAAATATTCCTCCAAGATCTATGGCGAAGGAAAATTGGGTGGGATGAGCCGCTACCACAAGAAGACGCCGATAAATTCCACACATGGCTACGGGGCTTACATCGCATGGGAGAGATAGCAATCACACGCTGCTATACAACGGCAACGAAATGTCGACGACGGGAGCTACACGTGTTCTGCGACGCCAGCGAGAGCGCCTACGCCACGGTCGCTTACTGGAGGATCGAGGACGAACACGGAGAGGCTCACGTAGCATTAGTGAGCGGAAGAGCAAAGGTAGCGCCTCTCAAAGCGCAGAGTATTCCGCGATTAGAACTACAAGCAGCGGTTATCGGTACAAGATTGGCGGATACGATAAAAACCGAACACCGATGGGCAATCGACGAAACGGTGTTTTGGACGGATTCAATAACTGTACTCGCGTGGATCAACAACGACGCACGCCGCTACACCGCCTTCGTGTCACACCGACTGGGTGAAATCGCCGAACGAACGGAGCCGAATCAATGGCGATGGATATCCACCGAATTAAACGTGGCCGACGACGCAACTCGAACAAAATACGCCGACGTCGTCCCCGCGAGATGGCTATCCGGACCGGAGTTCCTGCTGCGCGACAGGGAGGAATGGCCTACACGAAGCAACGAAGAGGGACCCATCTCCGAAGAAATAGTGGCCCACACGACCGTCTCTTCTACGAACGAAAATGAAGCGATGCCGAATATAGAACGAATCGGCAAA